TCATTCGTGAGTTTCAATGGCAATGAGTCACGAGTAAAAATCACTATGCAAGTAACTGTATCATTTTCACATTACCAGTTATAAAGGTTATACATTATGAACATCATCGGTCAACAATGAGAATCTCAAATGTTACCCTTATTCACAAATTCTGAGGTAGAATCAATATACTGTATACTGTACTGTTTTGATTACAAAAAAGTTGGTTGCTAATTTATGGATGTTTTGATCAATTTGAAATTCATAAAACTGATGGAGTCTTCATTTTGAAGGATTAGGGTAATGGTGAAATGCATGTGTTTTCAAGAAATGACTACTGTACTCATCTCAACTATACCAAATCACTAAACTGTACATTATACAATATTCTTTCCACTCTTGCATCAATATACATGTGTATTTCCAAATTGTAAGCATTTCAAAGTTACTTTTCCACATTTTCAAACTAGAGATTTCTTTCAATTATTATATCAAGGAATAAAATAACTGTTTCAGAATACAAGCACATTTCTTACAACAACAGAATATTTAAAAGAGAATCCATCTTAGACACCATATAGTCTTGATAACTGTAGGTAACACAATATGGGATAAACCTCAAGTTACATACTTCTCTCAAAAAGTTTTTCAAGAGGATGTTAACTTCCCCTGAGACACCAAGTGTTAAAGCATGCAAGGATGTACAGTACTGTTCATGTTTAGCAATTTCATCATAAATACATGTAGAGAGAATTCGCAACTCACTTATAGGCATGTTTATTGTTTTCTGTTTCCGTATAACATATAACTTATGAAGCATTGGATTACATCATCATTCATTGCGCAGCTCTATACATCCATAAGTGTGATCTTCTTATAAATCGTAGTCTATACATAAGAATATCACACTGATGGACGTATAGAGCTGCACAATAAATGATGACGTAATCAAACGCTTTAAAAGTTATATGGAATAATAAACATGCTATATGTGAGTTGCGAAATCTCTCTAATATCTGACCAAGAACAAAATTAGATAAAGCCAAGACTTTTACACACTATCCAATGTTGACTTCCATTTGCCATACTTATGGAGGGGGTGTATAATGATTAATGCGAGACTAATCTCAATTTGGTTACATAATATATAGTCTTGCATCCAGTCTTTATCTCTTTATCTCAATCTCATACTCTTAATTTCAGTCACCAGACGTGTCCATACCATGAGTAGTGTGGGACTCCAGTGTGGATGGTTGACTACCTGTGACCAAAATAATGCGAGGTATAAAAAGCAACCACTTTACCATTGAAGTTCGAGTCACAAAATCAGTATTGCACGGTACTATGAGCTGCTTCGTATATATATGTATGAAACATATGTTATTCATCCATCTCAGGCCAGTAATCGACCCTAAATCGTTTCAATGAGCCTTCACAAAGTCGCTCCATCCACATAATAAGTCCATCGAGAAGGTGCTGCTCGGCTACAAAGTCCTCATCATCACTGTCACTATCATCGTTAAATCCAATAAAATCACCAAACTTATTTCGTCTCTCTTCAGCTGCCAAAGCCCCGTGATAAATACAATAATTCTTCCTATGACCATTTATTGCTAAAACTGTTCCAATACAGTTTTTAGGATTAATGCCATCTAGACTCCTAGAAAAATCTAAAGTCTCCTCAAGTAGGTGTTTATACCACGATAAATAATTGTCTATGTGCATAAAAGCAAACTTAAAGGCATCACCCCTGGAAGGTAAAGTAACATCTGTTAAGAAAATACACATTCAAGGAGCCAAGGAACTTTGTGCACTGAATAAACTAGAGAATAAGGTTTTCATACTTAATTCTAAATACTTCACACTATAATGTTTCACATAATTTTATACAAAATCAATTTCATTAAATATGTAGGTACACAAAGGTAGGAAAACCTGTTTTGTTTATCAAACCTCACCTTGAGTATGGAAATATGACCTGCACAAACTGAGAGAGGAGCAGGTGTCGAGATTCCTGATCTACCAATAAGAGAACTGTACGCTGGCCTGGCTCAAGCTTGTTTATTAATAGTTGAAACGTCTCTGGTCGAAGCTCATTCACTGGAACGTTTGGCTCAGAACTAAAAATAATGTTTAATGAATTGTTGTTTAGAATTTGTATGTCTGTGGCCATGGAAAGTTTGGCTTAGAACTAAAAATAATATTTAATGAATTTGATTTTGGATGCTGTCTGGCTCATGCACTAGAATGTTTGGTTCAGAACTATTAATGATTATTGAATCAAAATTTAGAGATGTGAGATTATCGGTGGAGTATGTGAATCAGAAATGGAAATAATATTTCAACAAAAATTTAAATATTCAAACAAATGATCCAGTGCAACCACAATGCTCACACAGTGAACTTCAAAATTGTCAGAGCCAATTTTATGTGATGATCTTATCCACAATCTTACCTATTTCCACCACTACGTGTATTCATTTCCTCCCTTGCTCTCTGAGCACGGTGTCTGGCCCTTGCCTCCATGTATTGCTCTGACTGTGTCCAACTAGGGTTTTCTCCTTCTCCCATCAGACTATGCATGAAGAACCCAACACACACTACCATTGTAATGGCTATCAACACAGTGACTACCATCATTGAATCATGCCTGAAAATTGAATTACATGTACATAACTATAGTCTTGTATATATTCGAATATTCATTGCAAAAATTCAAATGAAGTTTCACAGATTTTTTGAAACATATATAGGAAAGAGCAATTTATATTTCATATGCTTTCATCTCTAAGTATTTATCATAAAGGAATAGGGAAACAATTCCAAAATATTGCATCATTTTCAAAATTATACATAACAGCATTATCATTCTTCATGTAAAAAATAATTCTTTGGAAGTGAAATTAATATAACTAGCCACTTACATCGAAAGATATTCACACCAACTATCATACCAATCTAGAAGCCGATTCAAGATTCTTGTCCACAGGCTCTAAAGCAACAAAGGAAAATTATCACAATTGTCAGGGAAATAATCTGAAATCTATTAACTGTCAGAAAACTATCCTAGACTTTCTCTCTGTAAATTAAGTTAACATTTAAAATTCCATAAAAGTTGCGATAGCTAGTATGTTTGTGATCAAGAGATCTTATCACTAAAAACTATTAAATTGCTAGTTCTTATGTTATATTAGGCAAGATGAAAGCTTTGTAAAACTGACACATTCATAGATTCAGAATGTTCCGGATCAATGTCAAACTGTTATGAGTGCCAATGACTTTAAAAGACATCGTGAAGAGTATTTAATATTCTCAAGAATTCTACTAACTGCTGCATGTTCATTAATGAGTTGGGGGAATGTAACAGTGTATGGCAAATTGCCCTTATTGGACAGCAATGTTGCAAGTACGTCATCAAGGGCCTTCATGCTCTCATTTTGTTTTCCCTCCTTCAAGCTCCATCCATCAGTTAACAGTTTGAAGGTTACTTTTTTAGATTCCTTCCTCCAGAGAATGGCCACCTAAAATTGAATAAAGTCCATTTTATTATCCAGTATGCCTATTCCATTTCAGATTTGCATCAATAATTACACCAAGAAAATGTACAAGGTTAACTCTTTCAGTCACTTCCATCCGTGTTCATTTGGCTCAGGGTGGAACACATTGAGGACTGAGTGTGTAACATGATACAAGAGTTCATGTACACGTTAAGCTAAAAGTGCATGATTAGCTAGTCCCCAAACATATTGTATTTATAGCAAAGTAAGTCTCTAGCTAGGAGACCAGACATGTGGAAGCAAAACATTTAAAGGATAGAGGTGATGAATGAAAAGATATCATTCCTTATGAACATGTTTAATTCCAATTAACAATATACCAGACATTTCATATATTGTCCTGCCATATTAATTTCAATAAAGTAAAACCAGAATATGTGTACCCTCTGTAAAGAAAAAAGGTACATTGTCCTTTATCAAACATCTTTTTTTATTTTTCGTTTATTATCAAACCAAACATTCACATAAGTATAAATGTATACCTTGACCAATACAGTACAAATGGAGAAAATTTCAAATTTTTTGTTCATATGGTAAAACCTTGAAGATGTCATAAATATGAGAAATCCAATACCTAGCAATGTGCTCAATAAAGAGATCTTCTGAGACATTAAAATAAATTCTTAGTTACATTTAGTGGGATACACCATTTTAAAAAGTTTTAAATCCAATAAAACTTTGTGGAAAATATCAATTATAGAATGAAAGTCTGATTAATTACAACCACTCTGTGATTAAATTTGAGGTAATATTCTTCAGATTCAGACGTCTCTTCTCAGTCCAAAGGGGTAGGGCTATCATATATAACAATAAACTTGAAATTGTAAGATAATTATACCTCTTAATCTTTCTCAATGAGCCATAAATGTGATATACAAGGGTTGATCAATATATTCGCTTTCTTTTCTATAAGTTCATTTCCTATAAATGCAAATCTCCACTCACCTTCAATGCCTCTCCATAGTTCTCAGGTTCTGCTACAGATAAAGCCTGTATGAATGGTTGCTGACTGTCAGCATGCATGTATGCAAATCTCAACTCACCTTTAATGCCTCTCAATAGTTCTCAGGTTCTGCTACAGATAAAGCCTGTATGAATGGTTGCTGACTGTCAGCATGCATGTATGCAAATCTCAACTCACCTTTAATGCCTCTCCAAAGGTCTCAGGTTCTGCTACAGATAAAGCCTGTATGAATGGTTGCTGACTGTCAGCATGCATGTATGCAAATCTCAACTCACCTTTAATGCCTCTCCATAGTTCTCAGGTTCTGCTACAGATAAAGCCTGTATGAATGGTTGCTGACTGTCAGCATGCATGTATGCAAATCTCAACTCACCTTTAATGCCTCTCCAAAGGTCTCAGGTTCTGCTACAGATAAAGCCTGTATGAATGGTTGCTGACTGTCAGCATGCATGTATGCAAATCTCAACTCTCCTTTAATGCCTCTCCATAGTTCTCAGGTTCTGCTACAGATAAAGCCTGTATGAATGGTTGCTGACTGTCAGCATGCATATATGCAAATCTCAACTCTCCTTTAATGCCTCTCCATAGTTCTCAGGTTCTGCTACAGATAAAGCCTGTATGAATGGTTGCTGACTGTCAGCATGCATGTATGCAAATCTCCACTCACCTTTAATGCCTCTCCATAGTTCTCAGGTTCTGCTACAGATAAAGCCTGTATGAATGGTTGCTGACTGTCAGCATGCATGTATGCAAATCTCAACTCACCTTTAATGCCTCTCCATAGTTCTCAGGTTCTGCTACAGATAAAGCCTGTATGCATGGTTGCTGACTGTCAGCATGCATGTATGCAAATCTTAACTCACCTTTAATGCCTCTCCATAGTTCCCAGGTTCTGCTACAGATAAAGCCTGTATGAATGGTTGCTGACTGTCAGCATGCATGTATGCAAATCTCCACTCACCTTCAATGCCTCTCCATAGTTCTCTGGTCCTGCTACAGATAAAGCCTGTATGAATGGTTGCTGACTGTCAGCATGCATGTATGCAAATCTCCACTCACCTTCAATGCCTCTCCATAGTTCTCTGGTTCTGCTACAGATAAAGCCTGTATGAATGGTTGCTGACTGTCAGCATGCATGTATGCAAATCTCAACTCACCTTTAATGCCTCTCCATAGTTCTCTGGTTCTGCTACAGATAAAGCCTGTATGAATGGTTGATGACTGTCAGCATGCATATATGCAAATCTTAATTCATCTTTAATGTCTCTCCATAGTTCTCAGGTTCTGCTACAGATAAAGCCTGTATGAATGGTTGCTGACTGTCAGCATGCATGTATGCAAATCTCAACTCACCTTTAATGCCTCTCCATAGTTCTCAGGTTCTGCTACAGATAACGCCTGTATGAATGGTTGCTGACTGTCAGCATGCATGTATGCAAATCTCCACTCACCTTCAATGCCTCTCCATAGTTCTCAGGTTCTGCTACAGATAAAGCCTGTATGAATGGTTGCTGACTGTCAGCATGCATGTATGCAAATCTCAACTCACCTTTAATGCCTCTCCATAGTTCTCAGGTTCTGCTACAGATAAAGCCTGTATGAATGGTTGATGACTGTCAGCATGCATGTATGCAAATCTCAACTCACCTTCAATGCCTCTCCATAATTCTCTGGTTCTGCTGTAACAGATAAAGCCTGTATGAATGGTTGCTGACTGTCAGCATGCATGTATGCAAATCTCAACTCACCTTTAATGCCTCTCCATAGTTCTCAGGTTCTGCTACAGATAAAGCCTGTATGAATGGTTGCTGACTGTCAGCATGCATGTATGCAAATCTCAACTCACCTTTAATGCCTCTCCATAGTTCTCAGGTTCTGCTACAGATAAAGCCTGTATGAATGGTTGCTGACTGTCAGCATGCATGTATGCAAATCTCAACTCACCTTTAATGCCTCTCCATAGTTCTCAGGTTCAGCTACAGATAAAGCCTGTATGAATGGTTGCTGACTGTCAGCATGCATGTATGCAAATCTCAATTGCTGGTGGTTCTCATAGGATTGTGAATACTTGCGGAATGATATCAAGTGTTTGATTTGGTTTTCCAGTTGACTCTTCATCGTTAATAAAACAACGCACAGTCTGAAAGTTACACATAGAAAATTATATTTTGGCTCATTGTATGTTACTATTTATTATTATTTGAGGAAAAATGAAGATTAATCCAAATATAAATTAAATACATTTCGATTTGCTGCCAATTTGTTTGGAAAAATCAGTCAAATGCTAGAGCATTGATATAGAGTAAGGTATTAGTGATTTTTCTTTCTATAATAATGTACAGCTTTAAATTGATTCACAGTATATCTGAAAAATACATTTTCTGAATAAAAATATTTGAAAAGTACTACTGACACTCGAGTTGACTTGGATCGTCCAACTGGGCATATGTCATCAAATATTGGCTGGGAAGATAATCTTGGAAGTATAAGGTATTTATGTGCATCCAACAGTTCATCTATGCTACTTCTTGCTAATGTTCTGGTCTGCAAATAATAAAATGATTTCATCAATTTACCAAAGAATTTAGGTGTTACTGTAACTAAAATCATTTGTTACTGAAGCAGAAAACATTTTGATCCTCCATGTTAAGGAATAGGAGAGTAGGGGACTAAGAGATTGTTTATATCCAAAATGAACAATTTTTCTTTATTTTTTCCCAAAGGAAATTATTAAATTAAGAAAATATTGAAAATGCAAGGATGATACATTAAAAAAGACATTCTTTGGAATAATTCATTTTGTTTCACTTTTTTAGTTTTTCCCTCAGGCACAATGTGCATTCGGAACATATTAATATATATCGATAATCATTACAAGTAAATTAAACTTGTGCAATCTGTCTGTTTTTACTATTTCTTTTACTTACAGAGAGAGTAGCTGCTGGTCGAACTGGATCATCATTGAATATCATGAGTGTCTCCATACCTTTACTTGCTCTATATTTACTGCTAAATTCACGAATATCCGCATATTTGAACGATGCAAAGGCACATGATATACGATCTCTAAATGCATATGCTGCTGCCAGGAATCGTAAAGGTGGCTCTCTTCTGTCATCAAACAAAACTGCACGGACCCTGTTGTCATGCCAACCATTTATGTAGTCAACATAATTTGAATCATCAAGCTGCAAAAGTCAATTGGCACTGTTTACACTTCTATATACATGTAAATTTTGGAGAATGCATTTTGATTTTGCATATTTCTGAGGACAAAGGTATTTTCAATCTTGACTTAATCATTCTATATTATTTCCTTAAAAGATCCTAGATTTCTTGTAAAAATTTGAAGGCCTTAAGTTCCTAACTGTACGTTTAAATTTACTTGAGGAATATTCTATAATAGGCATCTGCATGATAAACAGTACCATGGCTACTGAGCTAACATGGTCAAAGTACAAGTACACTCAAAGACCAATGAATTGGTGAACCTTCAAAACACATGTTTAGACTATAAGGATTGAAAATGTAATACAGTATGTTTGTTTTCATCAGACCCATCTTTATATTGATGAACCAGAGGTAAACTTAAGAAATGCGAGAATCGTGATAATGCTCATATATGAAGCGGGGGCATCAACATTTTACTCGAGGAGATCATATTAACCATTGGAAGAATGTAGAGAACTGTTTAAAATCAAACACAACAGGAATTTTTAATTACTGTAAGTGTATCAGAAATGCACTGACATCAGAAAATACACTTCTGGAGTTATTACAGATTTCAGTGGTGATTTTATTAGGAGGAAAATATGTATTTTACTTTTGCCTGATATCTACTAAAATAATGTGTATATTTATTTTGATTTAAGAATCAAATGATCTAATGTACCTGTATAATTTGAAGGAATTGATGGCATCTTTTGAGTTCAAAAACCTGAAAAGATGGCTTTGGGCAACAAAAGTGGTGGCAATTTTGAATTACCTTGACTTGTAATCATTGTAAACCTATAAATGAGGTACGTTAGGTACTTGTACAGTTTCAAGCAAATTAATATTTTTGGAAGTATGACCAAAAAGAGCTGAAAACATGCATTGAGCAGGTAGATGTACTTTTTAGTTGTCTGTGAATGTTTTGTTTACTTTATTTGGCAATATGCTCATACTGTTCTGAGTACATCAGGGGAGCATCCAGTTGTTATAAATTGACAGCCATCCATCTAGTTTTTCTAGAATGTGGGGTTTACCAGTATTTGATTGTGCTTAACCCCATAGTATTGAAAAAAAACTAGATCTTTGGTTGTCAATTTATTTTTAACAACTGAATGTTTTCCCGATGTACTGATAACAGTATGGGCGTATTGGCTTCTAAAATACTAAAAAACATTCAAATATGACCAATTAAACTACACCTACCTGTTCTTTTAATAAAATAGCAGTTTTGTTGTTATATCCTGTAATGAAAATGCTCGATACATTTCCACCCCCTGAATAGTTGTTTACATGTTAGCTGAACAAAAATGCAGCAGCAATTCTGTTCTTGGGAATATTTAATTATCATAATTAATTATCTCATCAAAAATAGCACCAGCTTGATAGAAAATTCTGATTGCAAAGGAAGGAACTTATTAGATTGTGATTTCATAACTCGCGTTCATCATCAATTTATGTATTAGTCACAATTATCATGTACATTTTAATACTATTTTTATTATAATATTGTTTACAATATAAGAGAGTATATCTATAAATGTCTCAATTTTTATTTTTTTTTATTTAAATTTCTATCTGAAACTTTTTACAAGCAATTCCTAATCCAGATTTTGGGCGATCTCCATTGTATTATAGTTCAATTATAAAATACAAGCCTCCTAGACTTCTAACAATGCAAACTTCAAATCTGAGCTCGCGAATGACATTCCTTGCGCTCGAACCACAATTCTCACGTCGTTAACGTGAAATCTTTAGTCGTGCACCATCATTTCCACACTCCCGAACATATTTCTCCACTTGTGAACAGAGGTCCGTGCTTGCAGAGGAATTCAAATATATATTTTTGTCAAAAGGCATGCCCAAGGTCACATATAGAAATCATTCATTGTCTGTGTTGGTCATTTGATTAGAACTTAATACCGAGATACCCATAACTCACCTTTGTAATGATGTCACTTGGAAACAGACTTCTGATGAAAGAGCGCAACTCCTGTACACCAATCCGCTGACTGAAGTGTTGAATTCTGCCATTAACCACTGCTACAATTTGTGGCACCTGAGATATGTGGAGCTTAGACACTAGACGACCATCCATGTTAGCATGCACTGAACCATACCCAAGGCCTATACAAGTGACAAATATGAAGTGGTTATAAATAGGTTTTATAAATCCCCTATCAATTAATGTTGCAAAGGCCGGGCAAATTGAAATCTGGGTTTGAGTCAGAGATATTAGGGATCAGGTATAGGACTGTTGACTTTCATTCCTGCATTTAAGTGTGAAATAAATCTTGTGCCAAACTCACCCATAACATGAAGGTCCTGTGTAATTTTCTCCCATATGTGCTCAGTCTGCATACATCCAAAGCAGAAATCTGTATAGGCATACACAACAAATGGTCTATAATGACTTTCTGCTAAAACTTTATTTTGGAAGTGCCTAAAAATTCAAAATTAGGTAGATGTAACACAAGTAAATAACACTTATTAATCAGCAATCTGCCCAAAAAATATATTCTCTCGGCCTAGTCATTAAATAACACTTTTCATGGAGTCCAATAAAGTTTTTAAAGAAAAGTTCCTTATAGATCCAAATGAATATCACCTATCATTAAATGCACATTCTTTGAAAATATGAAATCAAAATAAAATGGATCCAATGTATCATCTTCAACTCACACCAGCTAGCAAACATATTGTTGTCTAATAAAGATCAAACATACATGAACGTCATCCTATGCTTTCCAAATGATGATTCTCTTCCTCTCCCAAACCCGCCTCCGCCTCCAAAGAAATGAGCAAAAGGATCATGCTCTCTCCGCATGTGATTCTCCTCTCTTGCACTTGTTGTGCCAAAGTTATCATAGTCTGACCGCTTCTCTGGGTCTGATAAAGTCTGAAAGTATATCATGAATAACTTATTTATATTATCAATTTGGACATCTATACATCTATACATCTCCAGAGGTCAACTAATATAAACCTTCAAAGTACTCTTGACTAAAATAGAAGTTCATATTATCAAGGTAAATAGTAATTTCAAGGATGCTTAACAGCTATATCTTATTTGAACTCTAAGTGATTGTGGTATACATATATTATTGTATAAATAAAACATAATAAAAAAATAAAAATATAAAAAAAGTGATTGTGGTTACTCAATAGTCAATACTCAAGGGTTTGGAGTAGACTGTATATTGTTTTATAATATGATTGAAGGAATAGTCTACATGTAAGAAGAATAAAACAAGTAGATAGGAAAAATTAGGCCACATGTGTTATGTTAGTGAAGTCTAACAAGATGAATATACATGTACAAGTATTTACAATATACAAGTATTTACAAGACTGTATTATTACTCCTAATGCCTAAATAGTGGCTCCATATAGGTTAAGTTTGTGAAGTCTGAGAAAATGAATATAACATGTACAAGTATGTATCATTACTATTTACTCCCAATGCCTAACTCACATTTGACCTACAGAAATCATATAACAGTCGTAGCTTCCCAAAATCGAGAGAAATATGCAGCATAAATTATAAGCAGTATAAGCAGTACGATTTTCTATATCGATTTTGTGAAGCTGACCACTGTACACTCGTTCTGTTGAGCAAATGTGACTGAGACTTCAAATACCTCATAAGCCTCATTTATCTTCATGAATTTTTCAGTGGCTTCTCTGTCATCCTTGTTTTTATCAGGGTGCCTGAAATACAAAACATTTTTTCTTATAAAACTTGTACTTTTAAACACAGGTTTGAATCAATTCGCTGCATTCAAGCAGACTTCTATACATTTGTCTTATTACTACTTTTTAAATAGATTTTTATTAAACCTTACATTTTTCTTATATTTGTACTTCTAAATGTATTTTTTATTTAATCAGTAAATTTTTAACCTTACAAAGAATTTTCATATTTTTGTACTTTTAAATAGGCTACATCTTTAACTTATTTAGCACTATTCTTGAACCCTTTAAAAGTTAGTAGGATACTTCCATTTTAATGATTTTCAACAATTCTAGGAAATGTGCAAGAGGGGAATTTTCCATTTGCAATATATCTTTCAATACATTTTTTCAATCATCCACAGTGCGCAGAATTTTTTTCTTGGGAATACTCAATAAAAGACATCAAGTTAGGAAGGTCAGACTTCCAAAAATTGACTTTCCGGTTTTGAAGGTAAGATAGCTTTTCTAATATTGCTTGTGGGTCTGTGTGACCTGCACCATTGTTTTCCATGTAGTATTTTTACCAAAGTGAAGCTTATTTTCGGTTTGGAATTGATCATTGTGATACCAATTAATATTTCCCAGCATTATATCTCGATTCTCTGACATTTGTCAGTCTAATATGTTATGATTACAAAATTTGAATTTAAACTGCCGTCATTTTTGCACTTCAGAATGTCTATCTTAAGTTTTTGTCTTAATATCCATTTATTCTAATGTAATATTTCAAAATAACCAAGAAGTGATCGAAATGTTCAAATCTTTTTGAATGCTTTTATGAATTTATAGCCAGTTATTGTTGTCGAATGCCCATGGTCAGACAGAAAAGCAAACCATTTCCAGCTGTCACATAGAACTCCCTGAACTATCTATTTCAGGGATAGATCTTGAGAGTTTCACCATTCCCAGATTTCATGAGAGGCAGTTTACAAGGGCTAACAAGGAACAAGTTGAAATCTGGTGGTATGTTTCCTTTGTTTACAAAAGCTTTGAAAGCAGTATTTAATATTTATCATTCGTGTCTCCATTGGCCTTGGGAAAAGTACTACTTAGGTTATGTATGTACCTTGCATTAGTGTTTCATACATTTTAGAATGTAAATTGGCTCTGGGGAAAGCTCTCTTCTTTCGAGTTCTCCAGCCTGGCCTTCCAGACTTTGTCTTTTCTCTTGAGTATTCCCCCCCCAAAAAAGATTCTGCTCACTGTGCAATCATCATGTGAATTTATTCGTCATTTATAGATTCAATACATTAGATCATGGGCATTCAATCTATTGAGTCCAATCTAATTATCACCAGAACTCATTTTCCACCCTTTTCCAAGAAACTTCAGTTACACCGTCCAGAAAACTATTTGCCAAAACATCATTTGATTTTCACCTTTACAATCCTCTTTCATTCCTCTAAAATTTTACTCCTCCAAATAAGCAAATTAACTTGAAATTAATATGAAATATTATAAATCTGAAATTCTCACCACTGCCTTGCAAGTTTTTTGTATGCATTCTTTATTTGCCTAGGTGAAGCACTTTTAGCAACTCCAAGTATACCATAAAGGTCCTCGGCGACAACAACATATATGATACATAAAACAAATAAGAAGAACAGTCGAAATGACATTTTAAACGACTATATATATCCACTAAATTTCTTTCGGTTTCCAATAATTTAATTTGAAACGAGCAATAGTTGACTCTCGTTCTAATTATATTGTTTCCGTTTCCGGTTCATTACGCGCCAAATTTAAAATTAATTTTTTTGTTGTCTTTAAAATCCCGTATAAATACTGTAAACATACAAGTACAATGCCCCGTGTTGATCTAGATGAAGTGTTAAAGGAATTTGAAAAGTGGCACACGGTGAGTCAATAAAAATGGGGTTGGGGACCCGCAAGGCCGGAGGTTCTCTTTTGGAGGAAAAGATCCCATCTGATCTTCTTGAATTGAACCCTACAATACATGCGTGGGTTTACCTATGTCAAAGCCTGCTGACTGATTCTGATATATGAATAATCAGATCCAGCCACTAGTAGCCGGGATTTGCCAAGGGGGGGGGGGGTCACTTTTTGAAAAATTCCAAAATCACTTAAAAAGTGCTCACAATCACAATGGTGAAAAACCGCATGATTTTGAAAGAATTTTTGGGCTTTGTATAAAAAACCTCCTACCCCATTACATACCCACCTACCCACGTACGTTGGACATTTTTTTTAATCAAAATATTTATTCAAAAAACAAACGCAAAGTACATATAAATACAAAACAATACTTGAATCAATAAAACTATACAAAACGGAAATATTCATTAGATCTATATCCTGAATTAGAATTTATACAATAGTAAAATAGGATTTACACATATACTTTTAAACATTAGCAATATTGTTATTCACTCAATTCCAATGGTAAACCAGTGAAGTACATGTTCAAAACTATATGTCTGTACAAAAAAACAGTATAAAATAAAATAATATCGTTTTAGATTTTCAAATATTTGATATGTCTAAATACATAAGGGTTATGTACTGGGAGGTTTTGGATATGGGGTTTATCCAGAGGGAGATATGCATATCTACCTGAGGGACCGTAGGGACCGAAGGTAGATGTGCATATCTCACGAGGGATGAACCCAATATCCAAACCGACCGTACATAACTGCTTTATCCTATACCAAGTAGAGTTTTCTAATTTTCTTTCGATTTTTTCAATTTTTTTCACATTTTTCAAATTTTTTTCAATTTTTTCAAATTTTAATTTTTTTTCACATTTTTTCTTTTTTTTCAATTTTTTGAAAAAAATTAAATTTTTTTTTTTCGAAGCGGGGAGATATGCGCTGGAGCGGGAGATATGGCGGGAGATATGGAGGCTCAGGATATGGAAACCTCAATACGGGATATATCTTACCAACTTATCTCCCTAAAACTCTACTTGGCATAGGATAATGAGGTTTATCCCATACTTGGACGTGTTACAGGTACATAAAGCCGGTTTGTAAAAACTTGTATTTTCATCAGCGGGCAGATATAGCTTTACGTCCCGCTCCGAGCGGGCAGATATAGTATATCTGCCCGCTACGTCATAATCGCCGCTCGCATATTTGTTCATAATTTGTAACGTTCGCGTAATGACTGTAAACGACAATGGAGAAAACACAGACAATCGGGATCTGTTTGATGGTTTAAAAAATGGAAGGAGCATCCACTTAAATAATTCGAGAAAATAAATGTGGGAATATTTGAGAGAACAGAAAAATCCGCCCACGGCCAAGAAAACAAAACTGGACATGAATATTCTAGAATTCATGACCAAGATTCGTATGGGATAAACATATTATCCTATAGTCGTTTCAGGATATTGGGATTATCCCTTGGCCAATATAATATATTTCCCCTCGGGACCTGCGGCCCTCGGGCAAATATATTATATTGGCCTCGGGATAATCCCAATATTCTGAACCTCATATAGGATAATCTCTATATATCCAGTAGAACTTGGGCAATATCAAAACAATCAAAAAATGAATTGAATCAAGACCACGAAACTCTGTCAAAACATTCTAAAAAGACCATGAATAGGTGTGTCAAAATTTGTTTATGGAATTCTTTCTTTTTTACACACAAGTTTATTGTGTTTATGGAATTAATTTTTTTGATTCTTTTGATACACAAGTTTATTGTATTCATGAAATTCATTTTTTGATTTTTTTGAATTTTTGACGCACAGGTTTATAGTATCTATGGAATTCTTTTTTTATTTGTTTTGACACATGGTCTTAGGGTTCACGCCCGGTGATCGTGAATATAGGACGGAGGGGGGAGCAGGCAATTTCAAGGAAATTCAACAAATGAAATCTGGAAGATTTATTTTTTCAAGAAAAAGTTTACTATTGAATTGCTAAATGGATAGGCGCATGGTATGGTAGAATATGTTAGGTTTTCTGGAGTTTTTTGGAGTTTATAACTATACTCTGCACGCAGGGTATCTATACAGGGTACAAAATGTAAATTAATCAATAGTACAGGACGCGAGAAAGTAAGCTGATATATACAGAACGATTTGCTGGTTTTATTCCCAAACCAATCCTGTGATGAGTCAGTAATAAACTAAGAAAAAATTATTATTAGAATTATTAGAATTATTTGTTTTGTACAATGGTGCGATGGTACATTTGTGAACCGCTAAGTGGAAATGGTCTAATAACAAACAAAATAATGATAACAACGTACAAAATCATTATTTCTAATCCGCGTGATATCCAGTGGTATATATCGTCGCATGAGAATAACTTTGTACTATCTCACATTTTTACGGAACTGAGAAATCAAGGTATGAAAGTTTAGAGGTCTGTATCTTACTTAGTATTGCTATGTGAAACTTGATTTTTTGTATGTCACCTTGTCTCACCCTAGAGATATCTTATATGAAATATCATACCTTGAAACAATTTACAAGATCCTTTTTTAAAACTATGGAAATGGAGTTGATACAATTTCCCACCGGAATAACAGCTTATTTCTAATTTCAAATTGTCATATCTGATATCAACTGTTTCAACCAATCAACTCTCTAAGAATTGGTCATGTGACTTGCAAAACTTGGAGTTATCTTATATTAAAACAAAGTATGCCAATATGCATGTTATTGTATCTAGAATGAAATAATGTTTTGTAACACAATACCATGCCAGTTTGCATGCCTGGCCTTTCATGTTTTAGTTTTAGAACTATTACAAGAAGATCAAAAAATAAAATGATACAGTATGTGTAATCCCATGCATATTCAAATTATATGCCCTCAATTACTCTTTGTATTATGGATGCTCATTGGATTATTCATGGCCATATGATATGAAATAGAATTACTAATTTCCTCGAAAACCTAAATCCTTGCTACCAGGGAAGATGAAAAGTACAAATGACCAGTTAATTAAATCATGTGAGCAGTCAAAAGTACCCTTTATCTTCCCTGCTACCAGGTCTTATGGGGGTTTGAATGGCCAAATGCAATAGAAATACATATACGAAGCTGTCATCATTAAATGTTGAAAAAGACCACTTATTTGTTTCTTCAAATAGAGTACATAATAATAGGTTATATACTAGATATAGTAATCAAAACAAATAGTAACTGTCATATTTTGCACTACATTGCTCAAAGGCAATCACTGTCTGTATACTACAGACAGTGATTGAATTTGAAGAGCCTGATCAGATCGGCGTCATTGGGCCTAATATAAATATATTAAATTGCCAATTGAATTGCTGTCCTACAGACTATATAATGTTGTTCTTTTTCTGGTTTACAGTTCCTTTCTCGCCTAACGCATGAAAATGAGGTAAAAACGGATACTGTGAAAAGTTTGACTAACGATGTGGACAGGCATAAGCTCAACGAAAGAAGGCTAACATTCGGTAAGTTTCCCTTTGGGTTATCTATATGATTTAAGTGTTTTTGAAATGAGTTTCCAGATTGGAAACTGTTTATGTTGTTTTATGTTTATTATTGAGACGCATAGATCTTGATTGGAATCTGCCATTTTCAATAAAAATATCCAGGTCCTGAATATTATTATTATATTAAAGGATATCTTTTTTTGCCCGAACAGCTAGCACGTACAGGCCTCAGTACCATGAGTGCCTCGTTATTGTATTCAGAAACATGGTAGCAAAATAGTTACAAGTAATCGATCGATTATTTGATAAAAAATGATCTCCAAATGGTCTGTTTTCTTATTCGAATAATCCTACTATACGGTTCAACTTCTTTTACAGTTTAAACACACAAAATCATACTTTATTGTTAAAGTCCCTATATAAAGCTTAAGCCACTTTGGCTTTTTGTAGTCTTACCCAATGTTATCAAAGTGTGATATGTGAAACTTTGGTTTTTGAAGGACTTTTTGTTCAAAAAATTTGAATTTATTTAAAACTTACTTTTATAGGTCACGTGTATCTTTTATTAAGCCACGATTCATATCAATGCATAGCATTCATCCTCGCATGTTTGTTTGCCGAAAAAATAAGAAAATCGGTTCAGCAATAAGGTTGAAATGAAATTATCAGTGCATGAAAATGGTTCAGAGAAAAATGCATTTCAAAATTTTAGTTCTCATAGAAACCAATGATACAATGATATCTAAAATATAATATATTCTTCCTTTTAACCTGGTTAGACAATCAACATTGGTTTATTTTTGAATCTTAGCATATTTAGGAAATATTGACATAGAAAATGTTTTTTCAATTTTTTTCAAAAAGTTTTTGCCACCTGAGTGAGTCATAATAATGACATCACCAATGTTGCAAAATATTTTTGATATGCTTAAACATTGAAGTGGCCAATTAAATATGGCATTTTATTATTGAAATAGTGTGTCCTTTGTTCAATCTTTGCATTGGTGTTAAAAAGATAATCTTTTTTGAAATGTATGAAGAAATATTTGATGAATAAAAGATTTTAACTTTTTTTGAAAAATGACGGGAAATTTGAATATTTCAGAAATGAAATGCTCGCAACTTTAAAAAAAAAATTTTCAAAAATCTTTAAAAAAACTTTTAAAGTGATGGCAAATAGTAAATGTATGATAAAAAATATTTTCAAACCATACATGGGGACTTTAAACGTTTTACTTTGAACGAAAAAATCATTCCCTCTGATTTGCTTGAGACGGTTAACCTTTTCCAAATTTTAGAGCTGTCGAATCAAAGAAAATCAATCGAAAGTCTTCATGGAATTCTGAAGAAACGATGTGACTATGAAGGTTGGTGCTATTTATTCACATATTCTACATCAATTCAATTCTACGAAAAATTATCATTTACACGTTTGCTGATAGGTATATTGAAAATGATAAACGAGAGGTTTACTTCAATTGCGGCACCATTCTCAGTAAATATTGATATGATAAACATACGAATTTCGAATTATGACTTACTGAACCTGACAGCAAAATGATATCTTATTATGTGGTTCATAAAAAATATGTTCATAAAAAAAATATTGTTTTTGTTGCAGATGAAACAAGACTTATGAAAGAGAAAATAGAACTATTGCGACAAGAACACGCCAGAGAGGAGCGGGTAAGGTGACTGATTACGCGAGAAACCCTCGTTCTGTTTTAAAAGATTTTTCATCTTTGTCATTAGTTAACGTTAACGTCATTAGCTAATCTATTATAATGGGGAACAAAATTGATAGGCAAGCATAGAATCAAGTTTTAAAACGCTATCAAATGTAAACTTCGAGTTGCCAAACTTAGATAGGGTGTGTCACATTCCTATCCTATCAACCAAAAAGACCAACAAAATCGATGGGTTGTTGATATATAATTTCAGCTCCATAGAGAAGAATTGGCGTCTCTAAAGGATAAGCTGGACGATGCAATTGTTGCGGGAAAGGCTGAGCTCGATGAAGAAGTGACGAAGGCTATACAAAATGGTAGGTACTCTATCGTGTGTTTTTTGAAAATAAAGAGATCGTCTAAGCCCTAGTGTATCTGATGTCATTCTTCAATTTCAGCATGGGCTTTCAACTATTTATTTCAGCCAAACCGTTTGATTGATTTCAAATTTTCTCTTTCAATTTTTTTTTAATATAATTTATTATTTATTTATTTCATTGATATATTTTAAAATACAATTACAATAGCATCCCTAAATCGCCAGAGGGCATTATATAGGAATGGTGAGAGGCTGGGGGTGGCAGGCAGACAGGGTCCCGGGCCGGAGCAGGTGTGACAGGACAACAGGATATCAGAAAGAGAGACACGAGGGAGGGAATTAGCTATTGTCTATAATGAAGTCAAGTATCAGTGAAATGGCTTTAGAGTTTACATCTATGCTTAAGTTTGGGCTTCCTGTTTTCAAAATGGAGATAAAATCGTACTGGGAAAGATTATTATTGAGAGGTTCTAATTCAGCAAGTTTATCCCAAGTTTATCTCTTTCAATTCATTTCTAATTATCAGCAATGTTTCTTGATGTTCTCTCGAAAATTCTGTCAGCATATAAAGACAAACCTTTTGACAGATTGATTCGCCTCGGGGATGTTTCCTAGTATGAAACCTAAAAGCATTCTGGGTCAAAAAATTTACAACTAATTACTTTGACCCCTTATAATCAGAACAATATTTATGCGCAAGTGCCAACGGGAAAGTACCCACAATGGTTACAGAACGCAGCAAAAGAACCTCTTAAACTACACAATAATATTGCATGCTAGCCCCCCTATCACACCAAACTAGTGCCAGTCCTACGAAAACGTCGTAAAACGGGCTCAATCTGGCTGTGGTCGGGAAATATGTCTAAAATAATTAGCTACTTCGTTCATAAACAGTCTTCAATACGTCCATCTCGTTCGCAGTTCGTTCAGGTCGCACCACGTCGGTGTGCGACGTCGTATAACGCGTCCTTTAGTCTAGAAGGTCATCATGACCTGATTACAGAACGGTATGGTCGCCATCGAATTTTGAATCGATTCAAAATTCTAAAATCACCTTCCCGTCTGAGAACGTTCATGTCCTTAGAAAGTTGCACCTACGTTCATTCCGTTCGCACACAGTTTAAAACCAGTTTTGAAGAAGGCAGTGGCAACTTGTTTGGTGTGATAGCTATATTTTTGCTAACTCGTTCATAAGCATTTAAATACGTTCTTAATCAGTTTAAACTCGTTTGCAATTAGTTCTACCTCGTTCTCAATACTTCCTCAGACAGTTCAACTCGTTGTTAAAACGTCCCTAGTAGGATTGAAGTACGACGGTTCCGTTCGTAGTACGTCCAGCTCGTCGTTAGTACGCTGTCACTCGTTCTAATTGTAGAACGTATCGACCACGAGAACATTTTGAGCATGTTCTAAGTTCTAGAGGACCTACACGTTCGAGTTCGTTCGATGGAGTTTGTAAATAGACCCCAAACGGTTCTAAGTACGTCCAATCCGTTCGTACACAATTAAAGCCCGTTTTCAAGAACGTAGTGAAAACTAGTTTGGTGTGATAGTAGGGTAATATTGCTAATTTTACTGTTATAGTAATACTATATTAAATGGACCTGATTAAGATGGTATGCATTAGCCAACGGACAAAAAACAAGTAGTGTGCTGACGTTACTTAACAATTTTTGATATTACGCTTAAAGACAATGATTTTTAATTTTTTTTTAAACCGTGTCCACTCTCGTTTGTGTAAACGTTATCATGATTTTTACATTTTAAGGTAAGAAAGAGATGGACCAATTGCAAGCAGCCTTGCACAACAAAGATGTCGAAATAGAACACCTCCAGATGCAAAAACATGAGATTGAAAAGGACAAACAAACTGAGTTAATGAAACTGAGACTTGAGGTATAAAGTATACAGTACATACAGTATCAAATATAACCGGGTATAGTCAAAACGAATGTTGTAAAACTTTAGAATATTTTATAAAAAAAATCAATATTTAAGTCGATTTGGATCTTATCAGATAACAAGGCATTATCTATTTAACATGCAACATGTCACTATCTGCCATTTGTTACAGACGCCGAATGCCGAACACCGTCCACAGAAAAAGTTGGAGACTATAACAATAGTGTTGGTGACATAAAAACCGACTAACAGTGCGAAAGAAAGAACGATAATATACTCCCCCATAAGTTTGGCAACCTTAGCTATCCCATTGAATTACGTGTTAAAGCCTCTTTACGTTTGAATTTTTATTTACTTAACCTGTGATGTTATAACTTATAATATTAATGGAAACATAACTTGACTTTATTTCCAATACCTCCAAATTTTCCCAATATTTTTCCTAAATTACAATATGTCGGATATTGATGATAAATTTGATGAATTTTTGAAAATCGTCATTCCGAAGTAAACGGAAATGTTGGGTTCGGGGCATATCAGAAATCAGGATATCTATTCGGTATACGATTGAGCAAAAAATATTTTTATATAGAAAATGGAATTGTCTAACTTTTTTGTTCTCTAAGTGTTTAGTTTACTTGATGAATACTTAAGTTACAGCGCTTCAATGTCATTTTTGAAAATAATTTTTCGCCTCCTGTGTTATTTCAATGGGAGAGGTTTTTTGAAAAACAATTTTGACTTTAAAGCCCGAGGAAAAAAATTGAGAAAATTTGGAGGTATTGGACATGAAAGTCAAATTATGTTTCCATCAATAGTATAAGCATTTTCATCGCAAGTTAATTTAATAAAAATTCAAAGGTAAAGAGGCTTTAATACGTAGTTCAATGGGGGAGCAAAGGTTGCCAAACTTATGGAGGGGAGTGCACATGATAATTTAAGATTGTTCATGTGTTTAATTCCTTTATTTATAGTATGATTCAAAGTTACTAAAGATTCAGAAACAAAATGTAAGCAAGTCAGCACCTTCAGCCTCGGCAAACCAAGATATCTTCAGAAAGGTAAAATAATTTCCTTATTCGTTGTTGTTGGGAACATTTTCTTCAAACATTTCTCACAATTTGACTATCATATATTGATTCAATACATTTAGTTAAAATATAAATTGCTTATCTAAATGATTACATAAAAGAGTATGAGACATTGTAAACAACATGTATGTTTTATGTATATACAAGTATGTAAGATGAATAGTGTTTTCAAATAGCTAGGCGATTGGGCGCCGTAACCAGGAGGTTGCGAGTTCGAGACGCGGTGTGCTCCGTGCGTTTATTCATTGCTAACCTTGCCCAAGTCGGTCTCTTTTACTTATCTTGATTTCTATTATGACAAATAATAATTCAATATCAGGATAAGTAAAAAAGATACCGACTTGGGCAAGGCTAATACAAGGCTTGTACCTAGCAAGACAGCTTGGAAATTATACTTTACTATTGGATAACAAGATATGTGTTCAATTATTGTTTAGAAATTGCAACATATTAAGACAGAGACAGAACGAGAGGTTGCAGGGCTCAAACGTACCATAACTGACCTGGAACAAAAGCTTCAAAAGGCATCTCTTCAGACTAGTCAGATGGGTCAATCAGGTCCCCTCAGCAAGAGAAGACGTTTCCCCTGATGAGGACAATATAGACATTCAGAAATGACCAGAGCTTTGAGAAGTAAAAATATGTGGAGTAACATTTTTGAGTAAACATACATTGGCACCCCAAAAAATAAAACCATTAAATAGAAGATAACTTTGAAATGCTTTTTATTTGAAGTTTCTAGCTCAATTTTGAAGGAAGTTTTTGTGAAATTCAAAACAAATCTTAAATTATTTTGCCTCCGCTTCTGCCACGATCGCAACCCCCCTGACTGAAAACCGAAATTATTTTGGCGATCGCACCCTCCTGACTAGCTGGCTACGCCCATATTCATTAAACGTTTTGTTTTTAAGTCACATATATCACAGACGGTAGTGTCACATAAAAGCATTCTATTTCCTCTACCTATGAAGACCTATAGACACGATAATACGATACGAATCTAGAAAAAAATAAGACGTTGGGTAGTGATGTGAAGTTCTGTGTTAGTTGGCATAGTCATTTTGTCCTGTCTTTCAGAATCTTTATAAGCTGGTCGATTTTTTCATATTTTGTGAAAGGTGCACGTACTTCAGTTGAATTTCGGTAAATGGTGTAAAGAAAAATTTGAGGCCATTATTGAGAAAATTTTGTTTTTTAATTTCAGTATTAATAAGTATTCAATTTTAATGAGGGTAGCCAGTAGTCTTGTCTGCTTCATGCCTGGCATCGTCATGTTTAGGTTTTTCAATGTTTTTAGACATTACAATTCAACTTGTCCCTCCTTTTTGGTGTTACTACGATCATTTTATGGCTTGTTATTTCATGTCACTACATATACTTTATTTGACACATCAACTTTTACAGCTGTAAGTGGGGTATTCCATTTCCGCGATTCCATTTTTTGATAAAGCCCTAGAAATACATAGTACTCCTATGTAATTTAATGGTTTATCATGTTTATTGCTGAGTTTTAATGTTTTAAACACCCCAATGGCGTTACACAACCTAATATTTAAGTTCATTTTAAGATTCATAAATAGTATCTGTATTTTCAAAGATAAAATAAACACATACAGTCAAAATATATATTGTTCAATAATATTATTTCCACAGAATCATACATTACATGTGTATACTTTCACAGTGCAATATATTAAATTCACAAAAAATTAAGTTGGCATAATGATGAAAATAAAATCTACATACATACCACAACAGTAACATATTTAAGCAATGTTGGAATGTACATTCTCATTTTCATGTTTTGGAATGATTGTGATTAACTACTTTAAAACAGTCTGGTCTAAAAAAAACACGACTGATTATATGACAAGAGTACACAGAGATGGGCATAAAACAGCAAAGGCAAGATATTTATTACAAGGATTGTAACTTGTAGGTCATCAATACATATATATGTACATACTACAAATTTTTTAAAAATGCCCATAAGTTCAACTTAAAATGTCCTGTTTAAGAACCCATATTCTAACCATTCAAAATGGATTCTAGAAATACTATTCCTCATGAATGTACTTGTTGGGACTCGATAAACTTGAGTTTTCTCAGAAGAACTCAAGGTGATGAGTCTCAACAAGCAGATACATGTGGAATAGTATTGGTAGAATCCATTTCAAGTAGTTACTTGCTTTCTGGAACTTTTTGTTGGCTCTTATAAGGAAGTCCTCAATGGATAATGTGTCAAAGCATGTTTATTGTTTATTGTTCAATCTATGTTTTGCTTCTCACTAATGGGAAATTTAGTTTTTGATTTTGCTAAAATCGCCAAACATAAACGGGCTTTTTAAAACACGTGATCCAAAATAGGACTTCTGGTCAGGTCACCGAACCGTTTGCTACTCATTCTGAGCATAAGTTGGGCCCGGTCCAGGCAAGTGATCACCAAGTCCAAAGATAGGCCTATCCATATACTCAGATACTGTTTGAACAAATACATCTCACTGCTCTCTTTATTATGCTGTCAAAATTATTGACACGAAAATGTTTATTATTCATTCTTGGAATGTTTTGAGTCATCCAATATTCTTGTACTCGTATTTGCCGTAAATTCGTGAAGGTAGGCATTATAATGAAAAGCGTCTCCAGCGCCCTGACAGCTTATACGACATTTGAGCTCATTTGTGTCTTGGGCATTATGATCACTCGGATATTCTGAGCATTATTTGAAAGTGCATAACATCTAGCGTTTGTCATTAGTCTAGATCACCACCAACAATGCAACATACATTTACATACTCAGATACTGTAAGAATGAATGCATCTAATTGTTTTGTCTTTTCTGTTATCGAACTTATGGACACGAAATATGTCTACTATTCATTCTTGCTTGGAATGTGTTGAATCTCTCCCTCAGAATTCTCATCCAATATTTGCCGTAGTTTCTTGCATGTGGGTGTTATACTGGAAAGCATCTCCAGTACCTTGGGCTTGATAGTCACCCTGAAGCGCATAAAAGCTGATGAGACCGTTTGTGTCCTGGGCATTATGATCACTCGGAACAGTCTGTTCTGGAGACGTCTCTAGTGTGCTTTGGGCATCTGATGACATTTTGCGCCTCTTTGCAACGTGTAACTCATTACCTGGGGATACAAGTTCTCTTCCACTTGATTGTTTAGGATCAGCTACGGGCCAGTCGCACTTGGAATATGACACTTCGCTATCATCGCTTGCAGAACCAGTTGAATGACGAGCAGATCCAGAGGTGGTCGGTGAAGAGCCACTCGCTGTCATGCCTAGATCATTATAGTACCCGATAGACGCCGGTGTCTTGTATACGTTTGCGGGAGTTGTAGCATCAATGGCGTTGTAATTATATCCTCCGACTGAATTTGCAAACATAGACGTTTCGTTCATTCCAGCATATTGACCGGAGGTGTTAATTGACTGCTGATCGTACCAAGTTATATTTCCGTTTGATGGGTACTGGTCCTGGGAATGTTGCTCAGTATAATCCGACATCGAATGAGGAAACGATTGTGTTTCATGCACTTGTTGTAGCATTGGCGGCCTAAGTTTCATCATGGGATGCTGTGGCATCGGAGGGTGATTCGAATACCCGCCGATCGGGTTCATCAGTGTTGTACCATGCGGCATTCCAGCGGCGCGCTCTCCACTCCTGTCAAAACCTCTATCGTACGTGTCTCGGAAACCTTTGGCAAATGGATTGTGGTCAATTTTTAGCTGAGTAATCTGGAAGATATTATTCAAATATGATTTCTGTCGTAATATTAAAATCAACGCTCTCGCCCTTCCGACGCCGGATTTTCTCGCATATACGCCCCCCTAAATTTAGGCCCATGGGCCAAAAATCGAATGTAGTACGCTTATACGCCCATGGGCCTATAAAAAATGACTATTTATTGATTTTTTCAATAAATTCAAGAGTATTTTATCACTGGCAGATCGTTCTGTCATTACTTTGTTTCAACATTAAGTTCAACGCTGTGCCGTAAGTGGCATTGGTGGATCGTTCTGTTGTTACTTTGTTTCAACATTAAGTCCAAGGTTGTAGGTGACATTTCCTATAATTCTTTCAAAACATGCGGTAGGACTACAACAGTAGGTACGGTAGTCTTTGAGGAAGATGGCTGATGCCCACCTTTACGCCCACTGGGCCAAAAGTCGAAAGTAGTACACTTATACGCCCATGGGCGAAAAATAAGAGGTAAAATAACAGACGAAATTACCCCTTCTTTCAGTTATACGCCCAGGGCTTATATGCGAGAAAATCCGGCAAAGACTCTTTAATTGAACTCTTAAAAGTAATTGATGATTAAGATTAAATATGCAAAAATCAGAGGCAATGTGGATAGGGAGAAATACTTTACTGTACGCCCGGTATTATTCGCGAGCTTTAATTTCGCGAATTTTGCGAAAACACGGTTTCGCGGCTATTAAATTTCGCGAATACTGTATTTTATCGTATTCGGGGATTCCCCAGTATATGATGTCCAATCAAATTGCAGGCTATGATCACGTGAACAATCTTGCGCACGTGCGCTTTCATTGCCGCGCATGCGCATAGTAAAGTCATGGAGTTGCACAGTACTATTGAAGTACTATAACTCGATCCAAACTAGTAGATAAAACGAAATGCATCAGAGCCCCGGGTAAAAACAAATTCCCGGGGATTTAATTTGCAATTTCGCGACGATAATTTTTCGCGATTTTAACACCCTCGCGAAAAGCGCGAAAGTTAATCGCACGCGAATAATACCGGGCGTACAGTATTACTTAATAAAATAATGTTTTATACATGAATTCATCTGGAATCTAAAACAGCATTATCGTGGAGGTGAACGGATCAAAAGAAAAATACTAGCATTGAAAACGGTGGGTTAAATATGGTGGACATTTTTTCTGTGCAAAGTGCTGCAATATTGGTCTGGGTATCACGTTTAAAAAATGCAAAAAATTATGAGTCAAGCTGGAAGCATATGTTCCTTTACTTTATAAAAAGAATGGGACATGTAGGTAGATTTGATTACAATATAAAATAAAATATGCAGAGTTGAAACCAAAATTAAAACAGGATGAAATGCCATCATTTTATGTTGATCTTGTTAAACAATGGTTAGACAATAAAGATTTCCATAATGAATTAAACAATGATGATATATTATGGAATAACAACAGTTTGAGATATGGAAGAAGAGTTATATATTTTGAAGAATGGGTTAAAATGGATATAAAGAAAGGAGTGGTTTCGATATGGTGAACTTTTTGAACACGTGTTTCTCTTAAACCAGTCATCAAAGCATTCTGGAAATTTTACACATCGTCAATTTAATGGTCATCTTTTGGATGGTAACATTACAATTTGAAATATATATATATATAAGCACATCAGACACTTCTTTTGTTCTTGGTATCATCTGTTCAGAATGAAATGAAACATCTATCCGAACCTCACTGGAACAAAACGACATAAACACAACGTGTTTAGGTCTCTCAATATTGTAATTGTACAAAGGAAGTTTGGTTGATTTTAAAAAAAGTATCTTGTTAATGAAATAAAAGGTTTATCTTAATTTTTATCTTTTTTGGGGGTTTTGTTTGAAGTTTTTGCATATTTTTTCTTAAGTCAACCAAAATTTCCTTTGTATAGATATAATATTGAGAGGTCTAAGAAAATTTTGTATATGCTATTTTGTTCCAACAAGGTTCGGAAAGACATTTCATTTCATTCTCAAGAATTGGTAGAAAGGGACAAAAAACAATTGCACTAAAAAACAAAAAATGTTAACAAAAACAGTTATAAAAAAAATATATAAATAATTTTGCATCAAATTATTGCCAATCAGTCAACATTACATCAAGGACCATGTTTTTTGCAAAATGTTTTCAATAATTGGTTTAAGAGAAAAACATTGTTGAATTCAGTTCACCATATCGATACCTATCCTTTAGACAAATTATTGATGAAAATGATCAAATAAAGGAGTTTGAGGAAATTTTAAATGTCATAGGCCCAAGACCAGAGTTAAGAATGCAATATAATAATTTGTTAAAATCTATTTGTATAATAAAACCATTGTTCACAAAATCAATGAAAATATGTATAATAATATTGTTATAGCAACAGCAAAATTAAAAGATTATAAAAGTATGATTATTAAAAACCAAACAGAACTACCTAATATTCCTGAAAAATGGGGGGGGGAGAGTGTAACATAGATAATTATGAAATTGTTATTTAGAACAGTTCAATGTCTGAAAGAGCAAAGGTCCCTTTATTATAAGATAATATATAAAATATACCCAACAAATGAACTACTGTTTAAGATGAAAAAGAAAGATTATAATGAATGTGAAAAATGTAAATTGAGAGACATATACAAGGATTCTTTGTTGAGTGTCCACATATTAAAAAGGTTTGGGAATTGGTGAAAAAATATTTTCACGATAAATTTAACAAAAATATTGATCTTAATCCAACAGAAAAATTGTAAGGGACAAACGATCAAAAAATTAATTTAGTTATTTCAGTGGCACATAATGTTATTATGTGCCACAATTATATTAAAAGTAGAGCTGCAAACTGTCAACCCACCCAGAATATTGTGAAAATAAATGGCACTCCTATTGAGGCAGTAAACACTACAATACATGTTGGAATTCCGCTATCGGTCTCTGGTAACATTACCGAATACATTGAAGACAGTCTTTCTAAGGGCTGTAGAAAGTATTATTCACTACTAGGCCTCGGATCGGGAGTCGGTGGTATGCGACCTTTAACCCTGTCGAAGCTTTATAACACTTTCGCCACCCCATCAATGACGTATGGTGCTAGCGTTATCCCTTATTCATCAAAAGATATCAATAAACTCGAAACGGCGCAGCGAAAAATTGGCAGGAAAATACAATCCTTTCCCGAATGGGCGGAATGCCCCGTAGCCTACGAGCCACTTGGATGGGAAGGTATAGAATACCAGATCGATACAGCCAAACTAATGTTCATATGGATGTTACTGAGTTTGCCTTGCAACAACATATACAAAAGACTGTTGATTTTACGAATGACACTCATGGAATTTGACTTTAAAGGAATTAAAATGACATCCCCCATCGCACACATGTGGTGCACGGCCAGAAAATACGATCTTTCGGAAATTGTAAAATTAATGTTAGATGGACAAATGATCTCCAAAAGTAGTTGGAAACGTCTAGTAAAGTGTAGAATTCGAGACCTACAAGAATCAATGTTTCGAATAAGATGCATGTTATACGAAGGTTTATCTTATTTTATCAATGGTCACTCATGTCTAATTCCAAATAGCTGGTATGTTTTGTGTCAAAGGATGCCACGATTGAAAAAACAATTTACAACTGTTGTGAAGTTAATGACTGGTCAATTAGGTCTAAACGGTCACAAAAAGTGGGATATCACAAAAGAAAATAGTCGATTGTGCAATGTCTGCAACTTAAATGAAATTGAATCAATCGAACATTTTCTTTGTCATTGTGAGTTGTATGTTGAAGAAAGGTTAGCACTAAACGAAATCTATGAATATAACGATACAAGTAGTGTTAAAGATCGCATCAATCTGATCTTAAATTGTACAAACAACGATCTTGCATTGCAAACTGTCTTAATAATTCATTCAATGTATATCAAGAGACAAGCAACGCTCACAACTTCGCTCATTTCAAAAACATGAGCAAATAATTTATCTATTTTCATATTTATGTATTAACTCCAAATTAATGTACAATTGTAACTCTCTTATATAAGAGGTAAATAAAGAATACAATACAATTAGCAAATATAAAAAAGGGAGACCATCCAAACTTGGAGTTTTATTTAACTTTGAAATATTAGAAAAATGTAAGTGTTACACAACCTGTTGCTGTTGCTAGTATTGTATTATGTTATTTGTATACTTGTATCTCTCATTAGGAAATAAAAAAGGCAGAATGAATTTAATCAGTTCATAGTACGACGAAAAACAAACAATTGCAATCTATGCTACATATATTCTCAACATTTCAACAAGTTAGGCAATCATCTGATCATGAAGATCACATTCTACTACAATGAATTAAATGACATGCCGATAGATTTGACAATTCAGAGAAGGTTTCTGTCCACAGACTTGACCGTACCTGTTAAACATACAGTCTACAATACATTGAAGTAATACATTGAAGTAGAATATGACACCATTAGGAGAGAATGCGTCATTGTTCAATATGCCAAAACTAAAAGTATTTTTAGGATGCAGCAGTCGAATCTTTTCTCTTTTTGGTAGACGCATTATCATTATGGATATTTGTTTACAAATATAGCTTTTCCTTGAAATCACATGTCTCAAATGATATTTCAAGATTTAAAATCAGGTTTTACCCTGCATCGGTGCATGTGTATTAATATTTTCAAAGTGCACTCCTTGTCCCAATACATAGTGTATTATGCCTATGGGAAAATTTAAACTTTATTGTTGCAGAAATACCAAAATGCCAGCATCAATCCTGTCTCTTTTGGGACACCTTGTATACTTACATCTGTATTCTGGTATGCAGTAACTGCAATGAACTGTGTCTCGGGAAAGCTATGCGTCTGGAGATTCTTCTGTTCTCTGGACCCACACGTGTTAACCTCTATCACGTGTATGCGAGGCTGGTACTTATGCATTGAGTTCAGCACAATCTAAAATTTAGATCTTAAAATTATATTGCAATGATATATCAAAGACAAATTGATATGGAGCATAAAGTAAAAAATGCAACGATATTATTTTACGTTTGATTATCAAAATAGAGAAATAATTTAAACATTATTTCTTTTGGCCTCACTCATGTCATGTAGCTATTGAACACAGGGTAAGTACCTTTAGCGTGACCGTTGAAAGCTCGGAGTTCTGTACGGCACGAGGTTGATGAAATTTGAGCAAACTGATGTTTTCATCGTTTCAGAAAGATCTGCTCTGATTTCTAGATATTCTTATATGTGAATGTCTGTAACAATATCCTGGACAGAACTTGACGGTTAATTTCATAGTTAAACCTACACAAACTCCGGATGTAGTATACGGTATAACGCGCGGGTAAGATACGGTATAACGCGAATTCGAATTCCGTGTGTTGTACCTTACCGTTAACCTGCGTTATACCGTATACTATAATATTCGGGGTTTGTGTAAGTTAAAGGTTTAACTAAGAAATTCACCGTTAAGTTCACTGTCTAGGATGTTGTACAGACATTTACATATAGAAATATCTAGAAACTAGACCAAATCCTTTTGAAACGATAAAAACATATGTTTCCTCACATTTTATCACCCTCGTGTTGTACCGTACGCCGCGCGTTCAACTGTCACGCTTAAGTTGGTGCGGAAGTCTTACGCTGTGTTGAACGCGTTAAGTAAAGTAATAAAATATCGAACTTACAAATCTCTGGTCGCATGTTTTATTGTTTGTAAGTTTAAGCTTGCTGAAAACAATGTCCTGCTTCATCCAATGGGCCCCAGTATTGGGGGAATCGGGATGCAGATACACTCGTCCATCTGAAAATGAGTGTCAAGATATTTGTATTGAAACAATGACGTAATCAATATTAACCAAAACTAACCAACATACCAAAAGTTTAAATTAGTTTTAGAATAGGTACAACATTGTTACGTTTAGAACATGTAGAAAGATAAGTATAGACTTATGTGATTAGAATTAGAATTTATTTGATTTTTCCAAAATTGTTCCACCTTTGTTACCTCACAGTGTTACCATCTTCGACTTCCAAGGTGTTAAATCACACGTGAAGTTGGAGCAACTGAAACCTTGTGAATCAAGATGCAGTGTTACCTGATTGTAAAAATCAGGTCCATATGTCTTGATTTTTTTTAATTGATACTGAAAACGCTTCTGGCTCACATTATAAGGGCTCAAAAACGGAAACATATCCATTCGAATTTTTACGAAACATGTACAGTATTGTTTGTAATAAATTTTGAATAAATAAATTTTAAAAAAAATAAAGTAGTTATGGCCCTCGGTATTGTATCTTAACGGAGTTGTGTTTTTCAACTATAACATAATAAGTACGATTCAGTATAAACTACTAAAATTGATGTTTTTAACCATTTCCGTATCATGCATATCAAAAATATTATTTTGAATAGAAATCAAGTCAAAATGACCACTTTGTTTAAATATTCCAGTCCAAATTTTGAATTAAAAATGAGTTCAAATATTTGTAAATCGTGTGTTTAATATATAGCAGCATAAACATATCTAAGTATGAATTTCCCTTCTGCTGATGAGGACAATTGAAAGATCTGACTTTAATCAAAATGATTCTGACTCGGAACCTATTTACGTATCCATGACAACTGTAGAACATCAGTCCGGTTTGAACAGTAAGGATAACAACGGAGGTAAACCAAACACATGGGTCCCCGCCTGCCTGTGAGTTTCAACCACGTTTGGCCCTCAACTACAGACCAAATTACACTGAGGGACTCTAAATAAGTTAATCAAGGTGCGTTTGGAGGAAGTATTTTCAGTTCGTTACTATGATGTCAGAAAATGTGTGACCAACAAATCACTGCAATATATGTGTGACTGACAGTATCATGCAACCAGTAACTCTAATTAAGGGTTCACCTGTTGCAATATTATCATTAGGAATAATATGATAGAATGATCCCATTTATATACACGTACATATTATTGAATAGTAGTTACTGTACTTGTAGACAATAAGATTGATTGAAATGAGTCATGAGAGAATCCTTATTAATTATCGTTTAATAGTTCCTATTTGATTTTCATTTATATTTCATAACTTATTTATTTAATAATTGAATTCGAATGGGCTCATAACATTTTATAAATTGAAATTGCCAGAAAAAAGCTCGACGGTCTGGGAGGTATATGTATTTCAAAAGGAATAGTCGACTGGGACTTGTGTCGTGTGTGTTTTATTAACGTTGTTATTCCCAGACTTCCCATCTTTACGTTCACTTGTTACATAGTTTGCTAAAATAGATAATCTCTGAGTGTGACCCCAAGTGACAGGAAATACATCAACTTACACCAAACTGCCAAAAGGAAACGTAAGAGGGAGAAATATATATGGTAGAGTGTAATGATCATCTGATCATTGTTCTTACTTTGTGGTAATTGTTCAGCTTGTCCACAAGGGGTCCATTTTCCTGCCTGAAATTTCCAGTGATTGGGATCGGACAGAACCATATCTATGAAGACGTTGAAGTGTTTGTGGGGGTCAAGTCCTGCCAGACTAAATTGAAGTGTGGGGAACATTCTCCTGAAACACAAAATACTTGGAAGTTGAAATGAGGATATATAACTTAAGTTACAAAATACAATACGTAAGAAATTAAATTACTCATGCGAATTGTACTTAGTAAATGTAAGTTACAAAAAACAATACGTTTTTAGTCATTACTTGTGTAATGCGAATATTGTGCAACAACGTAATATGTACGATAATAAGTGATTTCAAGTTCTTATTCAAAAGTGTATGCCATCATTTTAATCGAATACTGTTAAATTTTAGAATTTCAAATTTTATTTCAAATCGTATCGGCACAATTCAACTTTGATAGAGCTCTCAACACGAAACCAATTTAGCAGACTTTCTTCGATCATTGCATATTTACATTTTCTCCCCCCAACCATTGACTTTTCTACGAGCCTCATTGCCCATTTGAAAGGTTGATCCATTAAACGCCCACCCTCTTGTCGAATAAACTCCCATGCCAAATAAACGCCCAGCGGGCCTATCCGCGAGAGTGTCTGGTAACCTTTTTAAAAAATCTAAATGGTGTGCAATCACCACTCACCAAACATTTTAGTGATTTTTGCAATTTGCACAAGGGTGGAACTGAAAAATCTCAACAGCTTATTTATCAATGTTTGTTTTCTGTGACAATTTGATTGATTTGTTTTCTTTGATAATTTGATTGAATGTGGAGATTGTCCCCAAGAAGAATTTCTATTTTTTCCGCCAAACATAATGCCATAATCCGAGGAGAGATCTATAATATTTATTTATCTGTTTTTTTTATATTTCCGATTTGAAGATAGTTATAATGGCAGAACTGCGAATAATATATTTACGAGTACAGCTATTCTGAATTTCAGATACTATAATTTGTGATTAATAGTAATGTTTCATTTCGAGATTGTATTGCGTGTTCATGACACATTTCACCTGTCATGAGTATTGCAAAACAATTGACCAATGCTGCTAATTGGTAAATCATTAGTTTCGCTTTAACAGGATAAACACTATTACTGATCAAAAAGTTACAAAATACATCAGACGCTGACCACAATGCGCTGTTTGTTTGACAGCCACTAAAACGATCACATGTTAAACACATCATTTTGAAAATGCATGGGACTTGCATGAACAGAGAATGAACAGAGAATCAGAGATATGGATATCATTATATCCCCATCATACCTGTATATTGTATTTACCGCAAGCATACAGTTTTTACCCCGATACAGGTTAGGTGGTCAATTAACACCTGCGAGATTTCTCCCAATACTTATTTGTGACGGGACCCATACTACTATGCATTTGTATCTAGCATGTGCCAAAATTCAGCGTCATTTTGGTTAAAAAACAAAGCGCGGGGATCGTTTTCAAAATAATATGGTCCTAACTTCTGCTGAACTTGGGATGTCTATTTTCGCTCTTTCTTAATAATAATAAAAAAACAAAGAGAAATGGTTAATGGTCCTCGTTCAGAACACTAGAGAAAATATCAACAAACGTATGGAAATGTATAAGACAAAACAAAATTGTTAGTATCATATTGTAATTGTGATATATTGTAATTGTATTTTGTAATTGTATTGAGTGACGTCATATCCATCCCATCCGATCTTTGATGCTTCTAGAAATCACAGTTGGAGATAACAATGTTGATTTCAAACAAATTATATCTCATTATTTCAATAACTTTTTGGAAAATATGACAATAATAATGTTGAATGGAGGCCCCACGCAATATTAATCATTAAATATTACACTTTACACTTGCAAAACACCATTATGAAGATTGAACAAATGACACCTATTTTGATAATAAAGTACTAGTATCACATCTAATGTACCACTTAAATGCTAAATAGCATACTAAAAACATTTTGACGAAGTGACATCATCATGAAAAAAATTTAAAAAAAACTTTAATTTCAAAATAGGCCAATGTTGATTGTCTAACTAACTTGTAAAAAAGAACATAAATTATGTTTTAAATAGTCTTGCTAGGAGCCCCTATTACCACCCTGAAAGTACTTAACTACACACCTTCTCTCACAGGTGAGTAGTGGAGGAAGAGCTCACGGGGCTTGTGCCAAGACTATAACCGTGACTACCATTGTTTCCATGAGAACGTTAACTAATATTTAAAATATACACATTTTTCTCTGAAGCGTTTTCAAGCATGGATGAGTTCAATTTTCGCTTATTTATCAACAAAGGTCCATGTGCAGTATGGCAAGTGATTTTAGGCGATGATATCTTTCACCATGAGTACTTTCTGGGCATAAATACAGTGGTTTTTATTAAAACAATGTTTTCTTTCAAGTGAAGTTCCCATGATTAAAATATCAATCAAGCAATTCGAAAAATTATGAATAGGGACCTAGGGAATCTATTTACTCAAAAGAGGATCTCCTTTTTCTGATTTTTATTACATGAAAAGCTTATTCAAAAAGGGGTCTAAAACTTCTTCAAAAGTAAAATGGTATTGAAAGTCTAGTTTTGAAGATATCAATTTTCTATGACCAAAATTATGCTGAAAACAATGGATAGCACGAGTTTTCCCATTCCACATTGGATATGTGGTTTTTAACTTTAACGCATTTCAATACCAATCCCCTTTTCAGAAGTTGTTAATATAGTGTAGAAGAAACTTTCTTTATGGTTAAATTGAGAAAAAACAAGATCCTCGTTTTAGAAAATAAGCATAACATTTTAAAAAAATACCAAGGCGGGGTCCTAAACCATAATTTTCAGAGAGTTGGATAGATATTTTACAATCACGGGGACTTCACCTAAAAGAAAACATATAATTGTTTTAATAAAAACTACTGTATTTACATGTAAGAACTTATATATAAATGTTTCTATTTTTACATAAACTGTTTCAATATGGTCATTTGATTGCTTACTTTTTGAATTCAAAGTAGTCACAAACATTTCTGTTTTGACTATATTTAGATCTTAGCTTCCCTCATTTGGATCAATTTGACAAGTAAGGGAACAAACTGCGCATCTTGATCTACCAAGTTTTGACGACAGGAACATACTATGCCGTATGCACAGTATGGAATCGAACCATTGATGTACACGAATGTTTTACTTACCGTCCTTGTTTAGTTATGATCATTTCGGTAGTGTGTTGGTGAAACTTGCTCCAAATGTCTCTATTACAGAGATAGACACATGCCTTCCTGGCCGGATATGTCGATTCTTCGGGTACAGAGAAATTATCCGTTTGCGGGTACATGGCGTAGTCGCTTCTATTTTGAGTGTACGCCATGGGATCTGCTTGTTGTTGAGAATGTAGAACTTGCATTTGAGACTGTGTTGGCATGCTACTCGCCGGTGATTGATACATGGAACCGTTTTGATTTTGGACATGATATGCGTAATCTTGATCATTCGGATAGCTCGCCGCTGTGATACTCGTGTTGCCATTTTGAAGCGTTGTGAAATCTTCAGTTGCACAGTCCGCTTCAACAGATGCATTTCCGTTAAATGGTCCGGATCCTGCCGGGTCTTCTTCGATTTCTTTGGGCGTGTGACTATAACTCTTGAGATTTGACAATGCATTGTTGAATTCGATGTTACTGTTAACATCATACAGGCCCGCTTGGGTATCATCTTCAGTAGTGTCTATTGTTGAAGAATTATCTTTAGCCTCGGGATTGCTTTGAGCATCGTCCTTGGAATCTTCTCCAATATCTTTGGAACCATCTCCTTCATTGTCCTGATCGTACTCAGACGTGCTTCCTGATTTTAACATTTCACTAGGTATTCACAAGTTTACCGTTAGAGGTGTAAAATGTTGTTAGTAACACTTATCAGCTTCACAAGTTCAACACGTAATTGTGTTAAACACGTCTGTTTCCTTGTCTTTCGCAACGGCTTTATTTCAAGGGCATTTATTAGATTTGCCGCTTCAACTGCCTCAGTGTTTGGCATTTGCTGATTAGAATTTTCAACCAATGTTCTTCTAGCGACGAAATCTTACTAAGCTAATCGAAATATTCCAATTGGTCTGTTTATAAACCCAGATTTATTTAATTTTGATGATGTTGTTTTAGATTTAGATCAATAAACAAACACTATTTTGACAAATTTGTAAATCTTTCCCCGTTTTGATATTCTGTGGCAACTGTATGACTGTGGACGAGTTTCCTGTTAGTTAAGAATCTACAAAGAACATCGGATCTTATAAGGAAATTGCCCCTGTCCGATGTAATTCTGATCAGCCAATAAGAATGGACACTTCTAGAAACAAACCAATAAGTTGGCTAATATCATGAATATTATAACAAACAAACTCAATTATGTTATTTGAGGCAAAATAGCGCAGCATTGTTTATGAATCAGTCTTTTAATACTAAATTCAAAATTGTGATCTAAAAAGGATCGTAATTTATTTAATGACTTTAATACTCACTAGACTAAATGATGTGTTTGGATATTCAATAAGGCCTAAGGAACGGCATAAATACCCACCCATCGTCAAAAGGACTTGTAAAATATCAGAGACAAATGAAGTCTAGAAGTTATTTTATATCTCATATATAGCCGCTAAGCCTACATGTATGTTTTGAGATAGACAGTCTCTGAAACTGCCCCGGGGAAACTGCATATTATGCCCGGGAATACACGAAAGAGTCATTCCGAAATAGTACACTTGAATTAATCATGGACCTTTATCAGTTTATCAAATGTTTTCAGCTGTTTTTTAACATATATATGTTTATTTATCTAGAAGATTTCACATTACATACATTTCAACTGGTGAAATCGTTTGTTGATGAGGAATGGCTCGTTTAATGAGTTCGATACAACGGACAAGTTTATTTTGTCCAGAGAAAAAATAAGGTCATCATTTATAGTCCGTTAAATCTTTAAATACTCTATTTTAGTCCGTATTAAGAAACATTTATTTTTCAAGACAAACTTTTGAATTGCTAAATGAATAGGCACACAGGGTAAAACATGTTAAATCTTTTAGGATTTCTTTTGAATCGATACGCTTCTAGGATATGAGATCTATCAAAAACGGTGCCACTCCAACAACGTGCACAAGTTGTCCAATGAACAAAACATAATATTGAACACAAAATGAGGAAAGGGAAACACGAAGCAATGCATTTTAAAAAAACTAGAACTTGCCATTTAGCAGTGAACGGTTTTACTATCAGATAGCAAACTTCAGTCAGGTAACAAATCAGGTATACAAAAAGATCCCCCTAACTTGAATAATTTTAGTATAATTAAATGATCAATTGTCCTTTTTGAGTTCGATAATTAATGCAAGAAGGAACATTTCATTTTTCATAAGTTCTGTGTAGAGTATCGACCCGACTGTTTTCAAGTAAAGAAGTAAACAGTCTAACACAATCTTTGTCGCTAAGAATTATCTCAATTTCATGTAATTTCTTATAATTTCTAAAGGAGTTATGCTTTCTTATTATTACACTGGTCAATAGCACATGTTAACATCATATCAAAATGTGATTAAAATGTCAGGCTAGTTGAAACTTGAAACCATGTCCTCAACTTCTCTGATCACCCCCCCCCCCTATCTATGAGCATTAAGACAAAGTGATTCTGTCGGAATTTCTTTAAGGAAAGGTTCAAAAGATTAGCTGTATGATGTCACGTATATCAAGGAATTAGCCTAACTACAGTAACTAAGGAACATTTTGATTCTCTATTATATTTTATCAAATCAATGAACCATTAGACATATAAAAAACATAAAAAGATAAAGGTTGTGAATTGAATTTTTTGTATTGAACAAGTGTTGATTGCCAAAAAAAGGACATATAACCTTTTAATGCTTGATACAGACGGAACCGCATGATAGAGAAGGGCCAAACTTCATTTGGTACTTGTGGAGGGGCAATTTTTATTTGGTGCTTGTACTTTTAAAATGTGTATCCATTGAGTGGATCCAATTAGTTCCATTTGATGCCTGATACAGTGTTAACGTTTTATTGAAGGGGCAGTTTCTTTTTTTAAACATTGCAAACATCTTTACACACCTCTATTTTTGACTGAGAGTATTGTTGGATCACACATTCCTCGTTTTTTTATTAGAACAATATCACTTTAGAACAAAAAATGATGACGTGTCAATTGAATTATATACCGACAGATCGTGAATTAGTAACCCATCTCAATTTTGCAAAATTAATTTCCTCATTAGAAAATGAAGATCTTCATTAATTTTGGCAAAAGTTGATTGTAGTAGACTGAATTTTGGTAATTAAACTGCTTCGTACAGCTCTTCAAAATTGCTTCAAATGTAAATGGTCAGTCAAGTAAAACTTGAATATCGCACCCAGTCTCTTCTGCACTAAGGTTCCAATACACCGTTGGAAAGCTGGGAGTATCAGCTTTAAGAATCTAGCCTCCATTTGAATCTTCGCTGAATGCAAAATTAGATATTAACCCTTTCATCACCAAGGGTTGAAATTAAGAAATCAATCATGCTTTTTCAATCAAAATATATTTTGACAATCGGTTTCTATTTTCAATCTAAATGTCCATACCAAAAAAGATTGTGGTCTCGGCAATGCAGCAGTATAAAATTATATGATGATTACACTTTGTGATTAGGATTACATTTTCTCTTACCACCCAAATAACCATGAAAACAATGCAAAGTTTCTCTTTTACACCATAATTTTCATTGATTTTTCATATAAAACAGAAGAAAGTACTTTAATTGAATAAAGGATATATTTGTATCACTCTCCATGATCAGTTGTGTGATTTTGCTTCTCTCTTTAGTTTATATGAGGGTGGGAGGGTGGTTGTATGCGAAAATATATGGTTTCAGAATGCGTATATGGACTGTTATGTCTGAGAAGATATTCATTGGAATCACTCAATATTAGGCATTATGCATGCTTGAGATGGAATTCTACGTTAGAGTGAAATAAAAAGAAACTGTAAGCATGAGTAAGTAGGTGTGACAATAGAAGTCAAAGGTCAAATATTTGGCTTGATGGATTCTACTTAACCTTGATAGTGCATCACCAATGCCACTTGTTTAGATTGCGGGCAGTGCTCCTAATTAGCAATTAATTATATATAAGTGAACATTTAAGGGTAAATTAAAAGGTCAAAGGGATATGATGATACCCAATGTTGTACATTCTTAAATACCCTAATTACATATTATTTTCAAATATAAAATCTTATTTCTACGGAAAACAAAAATTCTTACGCATTAATGACCCCTATCTCACCCTATCTGGATTAAAACTCTTAAATATAGGTTAAGTAGAATCCATCAAGCCAAATATTTGACTTTGAGTGCCACATTTTCGGGAAATAGTGTAAAAAAATTTCCCCCGGGAATATCCTGTCCACTGACATGTTCCCTCGGCCTGCAGCCTTTCAGGATATTCCATCGGGAAAAATATTTTGCACTGTTTCCCGAAAATGTGGCAGTCACTATCCTATTGAGAATGGTGAGCTTGACCGATTTAGTAGAATGGAATATTTGTATAATATTTCTTGGGGAGGAACAAGAACTGGCAAGGCTGTGATTTTAATAAGATACATCATCAGTTTCAATAATAAACATGACAATCATAATGCCTACTTATTATCACCTTTTGCGGTAGACTAATTCATTAAATTGACGAGGAGTAAACAATACTATATCGTACCATTCTAATAAAGCATATTGAGTCTATACAATTATTTTATCCTCCATTCGTAAGTCTTATTTTTTCTACGAGCCCTGACTTAGACTTTCAATGCCCTTTTATTTTTTAATACCGGACAAAAAATCATCCTTGGAGATATGTGGCACAAGCTGTTGAGACAGAGAGTCTCCTAGTAAGTACAACTATATATTGAAATATTGAACCATTTCCATGCATGGATGAGTTCATTTCTCGCTTATTTATGAACCAATTTTCTTTATTTTTTCGGCAAAAAAAACATGAGGATAAATATATGCATTGGTGCGAATTATCGTTTATTAAAAGATAAGTGTGACCTCTAAAAGTAAGTTTTAAATAAATTCATGATTTTTTCAATAAAAAGTCCTTCAAAATCATTTTTTGAAATTAAAAAGAAAAATTTCACACATCACACTTTGATGATATTGGGTAAGACTACAATATAAGCCAAAGTGGTTTCAACTTTAAGTCTACAATGACAAATGTACATCATGGGCTATTTATTATGATGAATATTGCAAGGTGATAATTACCAGGATATTAAAGTATCAATTGTATGTAGCTGTTTATTTATGTTATGTCCAGTATTTATCTTTGTCAACAACTGTTACTTGTGCAGGCCCGTAAGACACTTTTCTCCAAGGGGTACGGTTTTTAATGAAGAGAACATAAAATTGTCGTTTTTCCCGCGTACATCTAATCACTTAATTCAGAGGGTGGGGGGGGGGGGGTCAGTTACCCTCTGTATTAAAGGCAGAATCAGATCTATAGGGGGTGACAAAATTACAAGCAATGTGCATAATTGACCTACCAATCTATTGCTTACAATATCAAATACAATATCTCCCAAAAGATTAACAATATGTTATAAATTGGTGAAGTTATTAATGATTCAAAGTGCAAAAATGGGTGAAAAATGTTTAAATTCTCCCAAATAATAAGAATGGTAACCATTCTTTTAGAAAAATAATACATTATTGTAAAAATCTTTCGTTTTCCTTGAATAAAGTATGCACTTTTGTGATTTTTAGAAAATAGACATGTCAAGGAATGACATGAGCCAAAAATATTTAAAATTGAAACAATTTTTCGTTTAGCCTGCTCGCTATCTCTGATTCTCTCTTTAAGGCCACTCGGCCTATTTTGTAGTATTTTATTGTTTTCATATTGTTTTTATACTAAATATTGTATGAGCAATTTGGAGAAACATTAGAATAGGCCTAGGAGGAGGGTGTGCTAGAAGGCAATAGAATCAATCTAAAGAAATTCTGATTTTTTTAATCATTTTCTTCTCAGAGAAGCGAGTGGGCATCACAGGAAAATTTTACCAATTCAAGATGCTGTCTGGTTAATTCTTAGCACTTTTAACATGTTTAATGTGTTTGAGTAAATGCATGCTTTAGTTTTTGGGATGCGGTGTCAGAATTATTTATGATTTCATTATGTCACTTGCTGATTTCTGGGCACTGTTAAAGTGTTTTAAATTAACAAATGCAACTTACAAACATTCCCAATTGTTTTGTGGGGGGTGAGGAGTGCCCCCCCTAGAAACTTTTACACTTTTGAGATGCTATTTAGTGCTTTCTGGGCACTTTCGAAGTGTATGAGTCAATAAAAAATGTTAGATGTTTTTGGGAGGTGTCAAAGAGGATAAAATGGTGAGGTGAGGTTACTTGTGCAGGCCAGAGGGGGTGCAAGGGGTTTTCCCTCCCCCCAGAAACATTGACCATTTCAAAGTGCTATTTGATGATGTCTGGGCACTTTAAAGGTGTTTTTAATTAGATAATACATGAAATTCATATTTTTTGTGGGAGATGTGATGGATGACCAACTCTCCTAGAAAATTTTACAATTTTAAGATGATATTTGGTGCTCTCTGGGCACTTTTAAAGTGTATGAGTCAATAATAAAAAAAATGAACAACAATCACAATTTTTCAAATTTTGGGGTGCCAAAGGGAAGGGGGTGCCAAAGGGGGAGGTAGGGTTGGGGCCAAAGGGGGGAGCAAGTGCTTGTCCCCATATCTGTCCCACAGAAACATTGACCATATAAAAGTGTTATTTGATGAAGTCTGGGCACCTTGAATGTGTCTGAGACAATACATGAAATAAATTCAGAATTTTTGTCAATAACGCAAATGCGAGTAGGTAGTTACCAGTTTCACCACCAGGTGGCTCGTTCGGGTCAGATAGCATGGTGGGTATAGTAGAAAGTTTCCTTTAACTTAAATTACATCTGTTTTAGTGGTTCAATTTTCATATAACCCTTATGTATCTAATAGTTATGCAAATCAAAATATATCCAGTAAATGAAAATGTTACCTGACCAATACAAGTAAAGATATTTCACTTTTTGTGATTTTGTAACATGGGCTCTATGGAGAATCAACCCGAACTAGAAGTCACACTTTCAAAAATAATTAAATTTTCATACCTGATAAACAATTTTCGAAACCATATTTCTAGATGTACTTTTACATGTAAATTTCAAATATGATATCGCTTTGACTAAATTTTGAATATTTAATGACGTAAATCAAGATTATTTCTACTCGCATCTAGTCGATTGTTTTGTGGGGGATGTGAGGGGTGGCCTAGTTCCTTAGAAAATTTACAATTTTAAGATTCTATTTGGTGCTTTCTGGGCACTTTTAAAGTGTATGAGTCAATTAAAAGATTAAATCATATTTTTTCTATTTTTTGGGGGGGGGGGGGCGAGGGGGTTGAGGATGCCAGAGGGGGAGCAAGTGTGAGTCCCCAAGAAACATTGACTATATCAAGGAGCTATTTGATGATGTCTGGGCACTTTTAAAGTGTCTGAGACAATACATGAAATAAATTCAGAACTTTTCAATTGTTTTGTGGGGGTGTGAGGGGTGGCCCATTCCCCCAAGAAACAATTTTAAGATGCCATTTGGTGCTTTCTGGGCAATTTAAAAGTGTATGAGTCAATGGTATAATACTTTTTTCAAAAAAAAATCCCAATTTTTTTTTTGGGGGGGGGGGGGTCAGGGGGGTGCGGTCGGACCCGTCGCATCCCCCCCCCCCCATCTGACGGCCATGTTGTGATTATAAAGTAGGTTTTCCATAGGATGAAAAAGAGATAGCATTTTGTGTCAAAGCCAGGTAATAAGATTTTTTGCATTCTGTGATAAAAAAGAGAAGGACACTGTTCAACACAGAATCTTGGAATCTATTCATTTTAATGAGGAGCGTCAATCATTTTATTTTAGTTTAAGCCAGAAATGTAATGAAGTGTTATTTTCATACTTTATCTCTGTAAGTATAGAAAAGAAACTTGGTTTTATTTTAGGTGATGATGTATTTTTATTATGGGGCATGATCATTTTAGAGTTGTTGATAAGATTGTTAAACCATTTTCAAGTAAAGTATACAAGCCTAGAGATACAAGGGTGTCTTGATATCACACCGATATCTTATTCTTAATGTATGATATTTTGATTTTAATAACTGTGACATGTTTTAGAGGCACCTAGAATTCATATAATTTTATAGTGCCATCGTTTCAAAGATGTAGTTTCTGAATAATAAATAAATGAAATAAATAAATAAGGAGTGGGTTTTATTACTGCATTTGTATTTAACCATTCGGTGATTTTTGAAAACTAAAAACCTGTATGCCCAGAGGTATCTATAGAAAAATCAATACCATGTTGTATTATATAAGCATTACAATATGCACATCCTCCGATCACAGGGCTTCAAAATCCAGAATATATTCTTTCTTTTTACCCCCTGCGATAAGCAGTGAGCATTTCCCCGATTAAGAACTCGCAATCTGATTGGCTGTCGCAACACTGCGACAGAAATCATGTATAAGTCATTGCGCATAATTAGATCATGTGATATATTTATAATCTGGCGCTTCCAAATTGGTTATAGCAGGGGGAAGAAGGAGGTACGGATTCTGGATACCTGCTTAGGAGGATGCAATATGCATAGAGATGAAAGGCACTGGATGGTTGGATCGGTCTATGGTTTTAATAGCAGGCAGGCTCTTGTTTTCAACAGGAAGCCCGGTAGCCAGATTTTGCCGTTTTGGGTCAGTTTTCAAAAAATCCCAGGTGGTTCATTTGACATCTGGTCCTGCGAAACCACTGAAAAAAGTGCTCAAAATGATAAAAAAAAATATACTGCATGATTTTGAAACAATTCCCCCCCCCCCCTAGCCTGACGGGCAGCCTCCCCCTTAGAATGGGCCCAGAAAAAATTGTTGCCCCAAAGAAATTTAGGGCCCTTATTAACTGGCCTCTTTGGGCATTACTGGACCTTGTTGGGCCTTATTTTTAACTCCAGGCCATATTATCAAGTAAATGGGCCTTAGATTTTCAAAATTAAGAACGTTTTAGGGGCCCAAAAATTGATTTTAGACTTAAAATAAATTTGCCCCACCCCTTGTTAGTTTTCAGATCCGCTCCCACTGAATGCAGGGCTCAGACATGCAATCTACTTGAAACGTTTCAAGTCCTTTAGATATGAAGTAGCTTTGATTTCATATCTTTATAACTAGCCTGAACTCCCTGTGAAGTCAGTCAGTACCAACCATTTTATTTTGCACGTTATCCAGTCTTCACACTTTTATCGGATTTCATTTTTAATGCATACTAAAACTATTTAATACAAAGAAAGATGTGTTCTAAAACTTACATTTTATAATCAAACAATATCAGTCTTATATTTACCAATGCAGTGTGAGAATATACGATCGAATAATACAAACAAAGATAATGGCAACTCCGCGGAGTAGCAAATCCCATGGCCCAACGAACAAAATATCAATTAGCGAATTCCAATCAATTATACTCATTACTTTGGTTAAATTGAAAAAATTAGATTTTAGAATTGCAAATTCCTGCAAAGCAACCATTTTGAATTTTCTGAGATACAAATCTGAAAAATAATACCATAATTGTGATCTACTCCAAAATTCCTTCAATTTGAGTATAATATAGCCATACTTTGAAGGGATCGAAAAATTAGTGCGAAATCGTACATTAGACGGTCATTTTGAATTTTACGAGGCTCGAATCAGAAAAAAGATACAATATTTGCAATCTACTCTTAATTGCCTTTCATTTGAGTATAATAAAGCTATACTTTAGAAAGATCTAAAATTTAGCGAAAATTTCTGTTTTCCTGTCCCCCCCATACACGGCCCCTGGGGGTCAGGATGAAAAACACAGAATATACGTGAAATAAATAAATGTTGTGAATATACTACCAAAATTTCAAACTATAATATTAATTACTTTGGTTCAGAATGAAAAATTTATGATTTTTGCGAAAAGGTCGCGTCATTTTTAAAGCGGCGGCCATCTTGAAAAAAAAATTTTGCGTAAAACTATACACCAATATACATCTTTCCACTAAATATGAAGAAAATCCATCTACTAGTATTTGAGTTATCTTCCTATCCCTACTGAACTTCGTTCGTTGGGATAATGAGCCAATGCAATAAGAACAATCAATGAACACGTACAACTGTACAACAAAATACTCAATCAGGAAACGCCTTATCCAGAAAATATATATCATATAATTTGGAAGTTAAAATCAAAAGTAAACGTAATAGATTAAAAAGTGTTAAAAAGAATAATTGGAATAGGTGGTGATCCTGATAAGTAAAGCTGATTATTCTTAATGACTCACCCAATAACATATCCAACTATATATGCTTGATCCTATCCTACAGTACTGTTAAGGCTAAGAGAGACAGAACGCGAGAAACCGGGCGCAAAACGACTGATGTGTCTGAGGGTGGGGGCACGTATATACTCCCTCAGAGACAAAGCAAGAGGCAGGGATTATCCCAAAAAGAGAAACATCAGTCTTGCCCATTTGTCAATGACACGTGGCTAGCATGTCAAAATATTATTTATGACTGACCTAATGACTGACGCTGGTGTCGAGAGAGCAGAACAAAATTAAACATATATGATTGGATGTACAATAAAAATATAAGTGTGCCAACTGACTTCATGGAAATACAATTCCCTCGGAAACAAAACACAAATACTTTTTATAAGTTCAAAATGAGCCATTTGATTGATTCATAAATAACATCTACAAAGTATTCCAATAGTAATTTTCAATTTCAATGGTGAAACTTGCCCGGCTACGATTATACACGGGGAAACAACACGGAACGAAGGTTGTTCAGCTTAGCTTCCTGGCTTACCTCTGAAGCTTGTACCCTGTAATCTCTTTATATAGGTTAGCGAGGCGTTGCGCCTTACAGTTTTAATCTTTGGCGAACACTTGAAGACCAAAAATTTGCTTCGTTCGCGAATTTAGCGCAGCATAATCGACAACAAAAATGGCCAGTGCTGGTGCTAAACTAAAGACCGTGCTTTTCCTTGGAAGTGTACGCGAGAACAGACTTGGTGCACGCGTGGCTACTTTCATGAAGTCACAACTCGAGAAACACAACTATGAAGTGACTGTTTTTGGTAAGTTGAAGTCGAATTCATTCACTGAAGAATATACTTAAAAAAATTGGGTTTCTTTAGGCCTAGTCTCTGGCAGTTATCTTTGAACGAGATAAATCGTTACCTGTACAGTGGTTTCAATGCAAAATGACACAGGGGAATTGGAAATGTCTCTGGACTACAGCATCTTGATCCATCAAATTATGACTGAAGGAATACACTGGTTTAACAGTATGGGACTAAAGCCCGGGACTAAAGAGGTTAATATAAAAGTTTATTGTACAAACAAACATAGCGATACTAGACCTCACTTAATCACAGGTTGGTATCGAAATATTTGTCCGCTGTGACGGAGCATGCTATTTTTCAGAAAAACACTAAGAATACTTCACAATTTATTTTTTACTCATATGCTTCGTTATACCATACAAAATTACTTACTCCATGCAATGGATATATCATTTGCGGGTAACTTTCACTTCTGTTTGAAGTCCAATTACGCTGGGAAGAAAAGCTATTGAAAATGGCGCCGGAGTATCATACTTCAAAATGTACCATTTCTTGTTTAACTTTCTAATGGCACGATATAGTGACATGATAATATTTACACATGGTTTCAGCATAACTATGAAGGTATAAATGAGATGTTGATGTATTTGGTCTTTTTAATTCTTTTATAAAAAATAATGTTTATTTTTTTTGTCCGCTGTGACTGAGCAGTTGCAAATGTGAACTGTGAAAATGCTCCGTCACAGCGGACAAAAAATATTAAAATTATTTTTTATAAAAAAATTAAAAAGACCCAATGCGTTAATATCTCATTAATACATTCAGAGTTATGCTGAAAACATATGTTAATATTATCGTGTCACTATATCATGCCATTAAAAAGTTAAAAAAGAAATGGTACATTTTAGAGTTTGATACTATGGCGCCGTTTTCAATAGATTTTACTCCTAGCGTTATTGGACTTCAAACAGAAGAAGGTTACACGCAAATGATATATCCATTGCACGGAGCCGTAAGTAATTATCTTTGATATAACGAAACATGAGTTGAAAAATAAATTGTGAAGCATTCTTGGTGTTTTCATGAAAAATAGCATGCTCCGTCACAGCGGACAAATCTTTCGATACCAGCCTGTGTTAATGTCAAATCAGGATATGTAGGCTAGATCTGAGGACACGGGGAGTTTAGGTTGCACCATGGTTTTTGTTGATATCGTGTTTTAAAGTAGCAACAATTAGTGCAGAGGGGCCATTCAACGATCATGGAACGGTGTCAAAATATATTAAGTTTGGATATTTCATCAAGATTTACATTTATTTTTATTATCTACATTGTACAAAGAAACCCCCTACATGAGAGATTTCAGCTGATATTCCTCTGGTGGATCTTAAAAATATAAAAGTGGATTTCCCCTTTTTGAAGATTACTGAATTTACACTTCTTATATAGCCGTAGGGACCGGGGGTTCGATGGGTTCGGACGAACCCCCGGTCGGGATTTCCCCCCAAAAAATATTTGTGGAAAATTCATTGCAATAACCAATAACATATATTCAATTTATATGACTAGTAGATACAAATAGTAAATTTACACTTCTCTCCAAAAGATTGGCAACCTCAGGCACGGGGTGGGATTGTTTAATTTTGGGAAGACCCCGGAGCATCATAACATTATGCAAAGAAAAAATATCAATAATTTCGCACAACTTATTTTCCAACTTAAAAGCTGCTCCATCTACAGTGAAATAAACCAATTGTCTTAATACTGATGAAAACACATTTTCTTTCAAATCTTTTGAGGACTTGTCAGTCCCGGGGACTTAACGAGATTTTTTTGTTTGAAATAAAACAAAACGGAGGGGCACATGTGTCCCCGGGGCTGACAAGTCCTCAAAAGCAAATATTAAATAATAGAAACATTTTGAAATGAGTTATTATAAAAAGCATATGTATCATTTATACACACAAGTATTTGATCGAATGGGTATTTATTATCCATTACTTTTTAAGGAAAAATAAATCGATTGCGAAAAAATCAGTTTTGCTTTTTTCAGATGCACGTTCATCTCGGAGATCATTTTAAGATTGAATTGTTGCTGTTCCAGTGTATTTAGTATTTACTCTATTTTCAAGAATATCGAACTTTAGTGGATCGCGTTTATGTCATTAGTTATAATATGTTTAGCAAATAAATGGATTAAAGTGTCTCACATATTCGATCAAAACTTGCCATGCAAACATGTAAGTCTACTTTACTGGGCCCCCCTTGCTGTAACAAGGAACACAAAACACATTAAAACGTAAACATAAACCAATTAGTCACTTCACTATGAAAGTGAGGGGTGGACTAACACAATATCAGTGGTCATTTACTGTGTCAACTTAGTAACCCTTGCATATCGTGCTCACTCAAGTATTGAATTTTTTTTTTATGATCTAAATATTTGTGGTTTATAAAAAAGCGATATATTTTAGTTAGAAATACATTAATAAATATATTCATTCAAACAGCACTAGAATGCGGGAAGAAAGAGCAATGGTGACAAAATGCAGACAGAATTTTCCGTAAGGGTTTCAAACATTTCTGGACACAATCATACATGTACTTCATTTGTACTGTTATTTTTAGTGCTGTATTTATAGATATAATTTCACGTATTAAAATCATATTTTCCAGCAATGACTTCAAATTCGGAACCACACACATATCACATTTTCTTCAATAACTCCAAACATGTGTAAACATTGACCATGTGCATATAAATTCAGATTTCACGAGCTCTTTCCTATTCGAGTACCTCATACACCCCTGCATGGATTTGGGTTGGATTCGCCTTTTATACGTGAGCCGATACACATCGCAAACGCTGATTGGATAAAGATTGCGAGAATCTTTAAGGGAGGCAATAGGTGAGTATGTCTGTGGTACTAGATACAAGTGTAAGGGTACACACATTACGTGCAGTGGAAAGTTATGTTCAATAAAAAGGCCAGATACACTCATCTTTTGCTGAAGAAAGCAAAGGCGTAAGCAGGATTATCAAATAAGTCTAGATTTATTATTTCGAATGAGTTTTCATTTCATTTTCATAGTTAAGGGAAAAAGTTCATAATAAAAAATATTAAAAAATCACGTGATGTACCAATATGCATTGCTTCATGATAATCACTTTTTATTTTCTAAAAAACTGATCAACTGATAATCACCAACGGATTAAAAAATTCAACAAAAGAAGTAAAAAAATTGGGAAAATTTGGAGGCATTGGAAATGAAATCAAGTTACATTTTAATCAATATTATAAGTGTTTTCCTCGCAGGTTATGTAATTAAAATTCAAATATAAAGAGGAGGCAGGGAGCTTAGGTTGCCAAACCTTTGGAGGGGAGTGTATTTGCCAGAAAGACAGAGGATAAGCCTACCACAAGTTTCAAATCGTGTGTCTAAAAAGGATTTGGCAGCATTCTTGAATAAGATAATAACGTTAATAACGTAATTAATAACGTTAATTTCTCATAAACAAATCAAAGTTTATAATGATTCACAAGTTCATCTAAAATGTTTTCATTTCTCAAAACATTCATGATTCTCGTCATTAATGATCAAAACAGCGGAACGGTGATAGAATGTTTCATTCCATATGCAATACAATACTATTTGTCATCTGTTACTTCTATCGTCAGTACCAATTGAGAGTATTCGTGCAGCCATTACGACTTTTATTGTGCGCCATTCTTCAAAAATATTTGCTATTCAATATACTAGTTTTCAGTAAATAACTGTAAGTTCATGAGGTATTACAAAATACCCTGCGTGCAGAGTCTAGTTGACGAAGCTCTCTTTTAAGTAGTGAAGTCAAACGAATGCAAAGGGTAATTACAAAATGAAATATCAAATAAAATTCTTTTGATTTGGATTCTTTTCAAAAATCATCTAAAACAAAAAGTGTGGGAAAATAGCATGTATCAGAATTTGACATATCTTTGAATGAACTCTAAAGCATGAATTGGGATTCCTTAGAGATATGTTATAATTTGCCCTCAACAAAAGTTGGCTCAATGTATGCTAAGTTGCTAACCCATGATTTGGATTTCATTGAACAATTAAACAAGTGTTATATTCAAATGTATGATTTTGCTACCAGATTTTAATATCTTTTCAGTAAAAGATTCACCAAAAACTATTTCAATATAGAAAATCAAATTGTTGCCAAACTTTTGGAGGGGTGTACATTGTATGTATGACAAATACAAAAAAATGCTTTTATGTGAGGTACACCAATGAAGGGGGAGATTTGTGGATACATAAAAAATCGAACCCCTGGTCACCAATTGCTGGCTACGCCACTGTCTTAATCCTGAAATTGATAGTTTATCCATATATTTTAAGAAAATAGGTATGTCAAAGAAGATATTAAGCCAAATGTTGTCTTGATATCTCAGAAAAAGTTAAAATTTTCCTATTTTCTCTCTACAGGCCTTGTTGCCACTCTAAACTCTGACTTGGGTATGATTTGGTTTTGGTAAAACATGAATACAGGGGACAGGAAATCTTTCATACCCCTCGATACCTGGTTCCACCACTCCCGCGATGATTGCCTTGTTTTATAGATCCAGATGTAATGGAGTTCGGTATGTTGAAAAAACCCATATTCTTTTATCCTCCCGACAGAGCAGGGGCTCCTCAATGGCTGATTGATGCAGAAAATGCGGTAAGTCAGTAAGATCAACACAATAAAGCTAACTTGTGGGTGGGTTACGCGTCGGAAAGATAAAAGGAACCGCTACTGTACCACTAGGCCCAATATTAAAAACGTATTTACAATGACTTTATAATTATTTCGTCTATTAATGCATTGACTACATCTACATCAATAATCTGCAAAAGGCTAATAAATAAATCTATGGTTACTCCCTGCTTGGCCCATGTAACCTCTAACATTAGATTGTCACCCATTGTATATAATTTCGACAATGTTTATGTTGATAACTTCTACAGGTTAAAGAGGCCGATTGTTATGTGATCGTTAGTGCCGAATACAATCACTGCATCCCACCAGCCTTGAGCAACATGATGGATCATTTTGGAGGCAGCAGTTATGCGTATAAACCCAGTGGGATCGTTTGCTACTCTCCAGGTTTGCCATCGACTTCTGTGTATCATCTTGTCATTATACATTATATCACCACGTTTATGGTTCCCGCTGTTTTTGATTTTATTCAATTGAGAAACTCTAAACTGGTTAAACTAGGTGAATAAAAAATATGGTGGTTGAATATGAGGCTTACTTTAACCTTGGTTTTTCTTCAGGTATTTATGGTGGTATGCGTGCTGCAATGCAACTCCGAGCCATGACAGGCGAATTAGGATGTCTCAGTGTATCCAATATATTTGGTATTCCACAAGTGAACAAGGCAATCGATGAGACAGGAAAGCCCTTGGATGACCACATGGAAAAGGGGGCAAACAAACTTATTTCACAGTTAGATTGGATGGCCCAGGCCATGAAAGCCCGGAGGGACAGTGTTGGAATACCAAAATAATCCATTCTGTATAGTAAATAATATTGTATATAGATTATCCTATATGAGGTTCAGGATATTGGGATTATCTCGAGGCCAATATAATATATCTACTACATAAGAACTCTATATTTTGATTGATTATAAGTCAATTATAACATAACCTGACTAACTGTTCAAAGAACATAGATTGACCGAACAATTTCAGCCTTTCAAGGTATCAACAAAATTAACAAAATTTAATGACTTCATATGGACCATGAGACCATTGGTTCACATTTTAAAGTCAATGTATCTCAAGAAGTGTATTGTGCATGGACCTGAAATTTCAGATATGAATGTAAGATAGGAGATACTATATACTATACTAAACATGTAAAAATAATAAGATCTCGTCTCTTGAGAAGCATTTGTGCAAACTTTTCGAACGACCCTTGTATATGAAATATAATCACATAATCACATAATATTGCTGATATTTTTACACTAATTTAGTAGTTTGAGTATTAAAAACTACAATTAAAATGTTCTATCAAAGTGTATTATATTGACCACAATTATTTATTTATTAACAACCGCTTATCTAAACCAGTATTTATCATAATTTCTTCCATGGGCCTTATCATGTCAATACATGCGGAAGTGTAACACATTCGGACCACCTGGAGCATATATCTAATGAGGTTTTTTTTTTAATTACCCTGACCTACATGTGACACCTTCGACCACTCTCAATAGGCCTCGTGTGACCACACCTTGATCCGCAATTCTAAAAAACATTATTGCATTTGCGATTTAAATGACGTCTGACTAGATTAGCATACTATTTTCAATATGAATAGTACCTGGTCACTCCATTCAAAAAATGAGCTTGCCATAAAAGTAGATTAAACCGTCAGTCGTAAGTTGAATTCGCGAATGCTACCTTTATTAGTATTAGAAGTTAGAAATGACCGCAATCCGATTCGCTGTCTCTTTGAAGCTACTCATTCCTGTGAATAAGAGAAGATGAGGTTTATAAACAATTCTTACATTTCTTTTCCAAGGGATTACTTAGCTACCAAAATATCATTTTCAAACGGAATGTTATAAAAACCCTTCGACCTGCACCTTCGACCTTCACCTTCGACTTACAGGGTGTCCAAAAAGAAAATATTATAGAATTTATTTTTGCCGATCTCAGACCACGCAAGAGTCACTTGATTTGTGGTTCACAGGTGAGATCGTTAAGATCTTAAATTGTAGCAACGTTTGCAGTACTTTAGGAATAGTTACAGGGGTGAAATAGCGTTTTCTTATTATCAAATTAAGATTCTGTTGATGTTGATCGGGTAGTTTAAATGGAAGTTTCCCTTTTTAGAACTTACTTCCTGGTTTTGATTGATTGAATCGAAGTAAGATTAGAGTACATGTAAGTAGCGATCAATTACTGTTCTATTTATTGAGTTCCAATGTTATAGTCTTGTTGTGTGATCAATATTAAAACGGGATATGGCGTCAATAAGTTACAATAACTTGTTATTTAACTTTGAAATCTTGTCCGAAAAGTGATGACGTCACCAGGCCTATAAAGTATTTCGCCGATGTAAACTCAAGAGATGGCAGCTATAGCTTTCGACGAGGACAGAGCTCCGTTCAATTTCATAATCTATGTGAAGTTGGACTTAGTCGTTTTTCAAAGAAATATTTTGGGACTTTGACAATTTTCATAAAAAAAGTCAAAGGTGCAGGTCGAAGGGTTTTTATAACTTTCTTTTTGGCCCGCATTTTGAATACCCTGTAGGTCGAAGCTGAAGGTCGAAGGTGCAGGTCGAAGGGTTTTTATAACATTCCTTTTCAAACGTTCGATTTCGCTACCTGAACCTCCGGCCATGGGCTTCAGGGCATACATCTAGGCCTACTCAACATATCTGAGATCTATGCCCATATAACTGTTGAGTTATACTAGTAGAAATACTGAACCATCAGGGCTTTCTTATAAAGTACTAGTTGGTCTGAAAACGTCTCAACATGCAACATGCACGGCTACCTCGTATGGATTTGTTCGAATTGTTCCATATGTTCATCCTTCATTCAAAGAACTTATCTCTCAATTCATTATGGAAAGAAGTGAAATACTCTTGGACCAAGGATGCCAAATGTTGTTCAATTTTATTCTAAGACCTGAATTCTCCCTTTCGCGGTTCACTCTTTGAATCAGAACGTTCGCAAATATGTACTGAAAAAGCACTCAAAAAGGACAACATTTGATTGGTCAATATTTCCCCACTATGCATTTCGCGTAGCTATATGCGTGACCCGAAAGTTCTAAATCAAACTAATTACGCAATTTTGTTTTTACACCCGCACGCTAAATAAAACAATGACACCATCGGAAGTATTCTTCGTTGTCATTGCTTTAATAGTCAGTATACCGAGTTTAATCAATAAAAGATTGTACAATGACCAACAAAATTCGGAAACGAGTATTATAGATTTGCTTTCGGACCACTGAACAGATTGACCTAGATAATAGCGACGCGTCTTCTTTGGTCTACTGCTCAGTTGTTTGTGGGTTTTCAACGTAACTCTATAATGTAATTTGAAGATGAATACTTTTATTCAGTTGTTGCATCGATGTTGCAGTTTGTAGTGCGGTAAGATTGTCAGGGAAGTATTGAAAGTCGAATGGAATTGTTTTTTCCAAAATGGCGACTAGTCAACTGATCATGTGACCTTCTCTTCCGGAATATTTTCTCACTTTTCAATCATCGTTTTCACCACGCTATGAATCAATACAATGAAAAAAATAGCTGTTATATTAAGACTAATAAGAGACCAATCGTTTCTAATAATTTTTTCTGTACTCTCGTACGGGAAAATGAACGAATATATCGTTTGAAAAATAGGTGTGAAAATCCCCATGTTAAATCTATGAGGGAAAACAAGGAAGTATAAATTTGTTCCTCTGCGAACTGCATCATGGGAAATATTTTGACCTTATAAGGAAAGATTTTCGCGTCTCCTCTTTTGAAGAGGGAACAACGATTTCGAGAATTAAATGACTGAATGAGCTTGAATATAAGAAGATGGTGGAGGCACTTGCGCCAGGATAGGCTGTAAAGTATGGCATGGATTTGGACTGTTCGTACTGTTCTTTGTAAGTTAGGCCTACTTCTGAGGCTAACATTGCATAGATATTGATTCTGAAAACAATGATTTTGTAAGACAAAAATTTACCTCATTAGCAAATTGTCATGCAATTGTTCAATTTTCTACATCATTGGTAAACGCATACATGTTACTTCTGTACAACACGATCATTAATGACATTATTTTGGTCAGCTGAATTAATTCACATTATTGTGTTATTAAATCAACCGTTAATATTTCCACTACCTTTATTTTCAGCTGATAACTTTTCTATTTAATAGTTTCAAAAAGTAGTACTCTGAAAATGCTTTAGTAATTCATAATTTCTCTTGAACGTAACATCTAAAATGCAGCTTGTAAGAAAAACAATTTGCTAGTCCTATAGGCCTACTTCTCAGCATGTGGTGGACCAGGTTAGTTATATTATATTTTTGTAAATTTAAAATAAACAATCATTATAGAAACACGTTTCAACTAGAAAAAAAGATTTTTTATTATCCCATCGAACGTAGTTCGGAGGGATATAGGGAACGCCTCCGTCCGTCCGTACGACCGTCCGTCCGGGCAATAACTCAAATATCGTTGGCCTGATTTTATTCATATTTTGTAGAAATATACCCTATGGGGGCGAACTCCCGTGCAGTGATACATCACTGCGGCGGGCAGGTGTCTCGCCGTAAGCATGGTAACATCGTAATAAACAACTGACGTGATTGGTTCTAGTCCCATGCACAGGTCGCGTGATTGTAACATTTAGACAATTTCATTGGTTGAATTGCGCGTATTAACTAATAAACAACACGTGCGGTAAACTTTTATCAACACAACTTTTACTCAGAATTCCTTCCGCGGGGATTTGCTCTTATATTTCATTGATTTTGGAATATTTTGACAAAATAATTATTGGTGAACATAAAAGAACATATATTTTATAAGTTGTGTGAAAAACAAGTACATCTGAGACAAAAAGGGGGACTATCTTCCCCAAATTTTGGGGATTCCATAATCTGCCCGCCGCAGTGTCTATACCGAGACACTGCATAGGAGTTCGCTATGGGGGTAGAAGTTCTGGTCAAAAGCCGATTTTCAAAATGGCCGCTCATTCAAAAATGGCGGCCATTTTAGTGCCGGTTTTACAGTAATTTAGGTACAATATGTAAAACTGTAATAGCAATATGTTTTAAATGTAAAAAAATATATTACTTAAGCTTGAAATGTAGATCTTAAAGAAACACATCTTGTCTGATGACACTTTTTGCTATATACTTTGTTTGTAAAAATGCCAGCCATGGCTGTTCGATGGGATTTGCTACGCTTTGGCGTTGCTGTTGTCTAGTTTATAATCCATGTAATGTCAATTATTGCTATTTTGTATCCATCCACCTATATCAACTGTTCGATTGACATCCTAATTTAATTTCAGGTCCACACGAAAAAAATTGCCATGGCTTGTTCAATATATACTAGCTCTTATTTTCGTCAACGTGTCCTCATTAACTGACAATGTAAGTTTTACACATTAATATTAAGGTTTAAAAGACATAAACTATAACCGCAATACTGCATATATACAATTAAAGTTGAATAAAGTAGATAGACCTACTATGTACGACTTTCAATCAATGGCACAGAATGTATTCATAATCATGTTTTATAAGCATACTGTATTTTCAGAAGCTTGACGAAAACATGGTTTTATCCAGACACAAAAGAGTGGTTGGAGGTAATCAGATAATTTCAATTTTCATATTTTCGTGATACTTTTAAACTCAATTTTTATTGGTAATCTTTTTGACTGAAATCCTTTTATATCTTTTAGGTTCGGACGCTGCTGTAGGGAAACACCCATGGGTAGTTAGGATAGACAACGGTGGTAAAACGTGCACAGGAACTCTCATTACACCCTGTCACGTCCTAACGGAATCAAAATGCATAAAGAATGACAATGGAATAAAGTAAATGATAACACTTATGTACTTATTGATTATCAAAAAGATGTGAAGTACACACATATGATATGACTTAGACTTATACATTTAGTTATGATGCTTTCTTATTTTGTTTTAGAATGTATCTCGGTGAAAATCAAAAAGATGATGCTAATGTCCAGATTGTCACAGAAAAGGTACCAAGAGTGATCGATAAGGCAAAAAGTGTAACAATTACGATAACTCTTCTCGCATCCTGCGTTGATGTAAACGAATTTGTCGCACCTATAAATGTAGCAAATGAACGAATTGTTGATGACACTCCAGCGACTGTATATGGCTGGGGCGAGACGATTCCACAATCAAATGTGTTACAAAGGGCAAGAGTTGTTTCAAAAACTGATGAGTGTTTGTCAAGATTTGACCCATCTAAACTTTTTGGGATGTTGTGTGCTTATGAAAATATCAAGAGTATAGGAGACGAAGGTGGACCAATGGTAGTTCCGGGGATTGACGACCAGCCATGTTTGGTAAGACACAAAAATACATTAACTGCATTAATTCATCTGATCCTGCGTCCAATTTATACACTGGAGAGGTTAAGCTAACGATGTTTTTCACAACGTAACCGTGAACGCAAAGTACAAAAATTAACAAAGGAATGTATCGAGCGCTCATAGTTTAATGCGCGCTTAGTCTACTTCAGATACTCTTTCAGCTTCAGAGTTTCGGGTTTAGAACGGGAGATTTTGAAATTTGACGTTGGGTCAACGGGAACCATTTTACTCGTGTCTATTGAACACTATGCTGTCAATTTTGATTTCGATGCACAGTTGAATTCTTGCTGAACACGATGATGTATGTCATGCATGATTTAGCGCCAAAAATCTTACGAAACGAGCTCGTTTAAAATATGTATTAGAAAACCAGCTATAAAACCGCATCAATGACATACTAGAGAGGTTTCGCAAAACGAATTAGCTAAAACGTATCCGCATCCGTATCTCGTTACGTTTACGGATACGTATTTCGATAATTTTCGTTTCGCAGTTCGTTTTTTGAAGTACGTAATTATAAACGCATCTCAATCCGTATTTAATAGTAGTGAAAACTAGGGTCAAATAAAAGGCTTCATCTGCACTAAGATTTCAAAACACCATTGGGAGTGTCAGCTTTCAGAATCACAACTCCAAAAGTATTTTTGGTGAGTGCAAAAATACATATTAGCCCTTTCATCCCCAAGGTGTCATTTGTTAATTTCATGACATCAATTTCAAAATGAAGAATATCCTTTAGGCCAGAAAAGGTTATTTCTAGGTTTACAATAACCAATTCAGTGTCAAATTATACTTTTGGGAATATTTAAGGGTTTGAAAACAGAATAGCTGAATAGTGGTCATTAACCTATTACAACCAAACACAACAACAGTACAATAGAACATAACCCAGTGTCAAAATACACAGAACGCAATAGAGCATAACCCAGCACCAAAGCCAGTATAGCGCAACCTGACTTAACCACCAAAACACAACCAACTGTCAGATTAACACAATATGTCACAACCCAATAATAAGACAACAAAGACAAACACAACCAATTGTTGAATTAACTCAACACAATTGTGCACAATTCAACACTAAACAATAAAAACACAATCAGGCACAACCAATAAAACACAACTAAACTAACAACCATGAAAACACATCGAACTGTGAAATTATCACCACACAATTTGGCACAACCCAATGGTAAATCAACAAAAGCAAAGACAGCCCATTGTTCAAGAACAGAACACAATTTTTCAAAACCCAAAACAAAACAATCAAAACAAAATCAGGCACAAACAAAAAACTCTTTAAAATTGTAATACCGAGATACACAACTAACTTAACCCAATTGGAGAGAACGCCAATCACAAAACGCAATCAGACACAACAATATACCTCAACCGACTAGCCACAACCAGCTAGCCAACCAACATAACATATTCACAAGAGAAAACAACCCATAATAAGATTAACATAACACAATGGGACACAACCCGATACTAAATTACCAGACTAACAACCATCAAAAGAGAACCGAGTCTCAAACGTACACAACACAATTCGGCAAAACCTATACCCACATGACACTAACCCACCATTACACAACCAGGCTTAAACAAATACTCAATCGATTTTCTCAACCCATCAAAACACAATCAGGCACAACCAATAAACAACAACGAAACGTTGATACCGATTTACTCAACTAAGTTATTCCAACTGGAGACAATCGCACAAAACAATCAGGGACAATCCGATATCTACTGAATATGTACTTGAATAACAACCCCCCCCCTTCCCTATCATCACAAGGCTGCTAATGAAGAACACATCATGGACCACTACCCAAGAGTTAGGAACATCTGGGGCCCCTACCGTGACTCATATGTAAGAGAGAAGATCCGTTACAGGATCTGGATGTCAGGCCTGTCTTTACAAAAATGAAAATAGGAAATGATACGCCAATATCATCATCCTAGGATCAAAGAAATATACTCTACCTGTTACATAATCACTGACGGTGGTTCCGGGAAGCTTGGGCACTAAGCTTTAGTCTCCTTGGACCCCCAAACGAGGCCGCTTACTATTTGACATAGATCGCATCGACTTGATGCGTGTTCAAGTCATACCACGGGAAGAAGCTACCTGGCTAGACATTTTTTCAAAATCATTCAGTTTTGCATCATACTGAGCACTTTTCGGGAGTTTTAAGCCAAAAAGCTCCCCCTTGCCACAAGCTGGATACGGGCAAGAGTGATGCGGGGCGCCATCTTTAGACCCAATATCACATTCATTGTCGAGGTCAGGACCAAGCTACTATATTCAAACTAAGCCAAAGTCCCTGCTCTATATGAATTCGGAGCGTGACTTTCTAGGCACAAAATATATGTTCAGGTGGCCTAGCTGCTAACCATGGCCATTGGTTTGATGTCCCTAAGAAATTGACTACGGTATTACTATTGACCCCAGAAACGATAGACCTTACATCTGCCTATAAGCAAATGTGACTAAAGCTTTATTCGTACATATTGCAGTACAGGCCCCTCGCTTATAATCAAATTTATCGGCAGATAAGGCTATTACTTCATCAAAATTAGCAAGATACACATGATAACATATGTGGGTTACTAAAATTATACATTTAGGGAAAAATTTATCAAGATTTGAAGGACAAAATAGATACGGAGACAACTACGCACAGAAAGTGTTAGTTTACGTACTTTCGGTATTGCTGTTGGTATCACAAACGTATTGAGTACACTTTTACTCCATCGATGCGTTACGGATTTTGATACGGGTAGCTAAAACGTTGTGCGAAACATGTACACTGTAATTATTGCAATACCATTCCATACAGTGTAAAATGAATTGAACATACCATTTGAAAAACTCGATTTATTTCAAACAATAAACAAATTCATTCACCAAATTTTAGTCAAATTATACACAGCACACTGTGCTTGTTCATATAGTGATACCTTTAGAACTAAAAACAATATAATCGAAGGGTAAAATCGGATACGTAAATGACCAACGTACAGAAGCCTCATTTTTCGTGTTTTCCGTACCATTTCACGTATAAATTGAACTGACAACGCATAAATCTGGTAAATACGTTACGGATACGGATACGTGGAGCTAAAAAGCGTTTTGCGAAACCTCTCTACTATAGAATCATTACACGCTATGTTGTAGTCTAAACAAACACTGGATTTGAACGGCTATTTATATGAGAAAGCTACATGAATTTGTATATGGTCGAGTGATACGTACAGGTTCAGTTTCGATTATATATGCAAAGCTTAACCTCTCAACTGTCTCAAATGTACACCCTATCTATATTAATAACCCACAAAAGGAAAATTCTTGCATGCAATTTTAAAAAGTAATGATTCCAAATTGAAACCAAATTTAATTTTGAACTCTTGTTTGATTTTAGTCATTTTCTAGTCATTTTCCTCATGAATCCGATAATAGAGAGGATAAGTAAACTTGAACGAAAACTTGTAAAGACCCCCTGAAATTGTTCACCATTGTTGTCCACCTCTCAATTGGTTCTTTTCCTCATATCTTTATTTTCAATCGGGCAATAAAGGCCAGTGAATTGAAAATAGCCTATAACATGTATAAGAGACCATGATTTTACACATTTCGCGTACACGTTCTTCAAACTAGTGCAAACTCCCTAAAAACTGATTTCCTAGCACATGTTGCTTTTAGGTTGGTTTGACACAGAACAATCGGGATCTCACTGACACAACCGACCAAACTCCTGTAACCGTATCCACATTTACAGATGTAACAATTGGAAAAATTGTCAAACTGATTGGAACATTTATTGGAGGTAGGAGTGTATTTCATTTTCCTGCAATTAATGAGAATTGATGATAAGGAAACAAATAAACTTTCACTCATTACATATGATCAATTTCAATTTCAGCTAATCCTTGTGATTGTGGAAAAGGTTTAACTAATTGTAAACCAGCATTACCAGAATCGCCAACTGATAGTACTAACACTTCACCTACCGACTTAGTCACTGTACCAACGTCACTTTCTGAGATCACTTCAGAGCCCGAATCGGTCCAAACGACAATTTCTTCTGTAGTCACGGATACGCACCCATGGCTTGCTCGAATAGAAAATGGAAGGAAGCAGTGTTCTGGAACATTGATTACACCATGTCACATTATAACAAAGAAGACTTGTGTGAAGAAGAACAATGGTTTAACGTAAGTGAATTATACCAGTCTATGTAGGGATTACCCAATGACATATAACAAATAAGTATTATTTACCCACAGAGATTAGAACAACTTCTTCAAAGCTGGGAGTTATCCTACTAAATGTTAGTTGAATTCCGGTTTATTAAATATAAGTCGCACCTCCACACTCTCCCATGTATACCGTTCCGTATTAGTGAAATTGTTGACATTAATACGGAATAAATCATACCATTTCATGAAAAAATGGTGACCTCGTCCTACGGAAATTGAGATTATGTTTCACAGCAAGTTTGCATGGCGATACTGTATAGCACATGCTCTGGGGAATTGATTCTACTTTCTATAGACACCAATCACATCTCTGTTGATAGAATAATAAAAAAGCCTTAGGGTCCCAATCTCCTTTGTTTACATTTACCAAAACGTGAAAAAATGACAAAAGTTGTCATAACTTTTTAAATCTTAAACTTTTGAAACCGATTTCACTTGCCAGCAACAGATACTTTAGTCGTTGACGCACCGAACATGTCAGTTTAGTTCGTAATATCTCCAAATAAACGATTTCAACATTTTAAAAAACTCGATGCTAGTCCACGTGTTAATACGGAATGTTGAATTCGTTTATTTGGAGATATTACGAACCAAACTGACATGTTCGGTTCGTCAACGACTAAAGTATCTGTCGCTGGCAAGTGAAATCGGTTTCAAAAGTTTAAGATTTAAAAAGTTATGACAACTTTTGTCATTTTTTCACGTTTTTGTAAATGTAAACAAAGGAGGTTGGGACCCTAAGGCTTTTTTATTACTCTATCGACAGAGATGTGATTGGTGTCTATAGAAAGTAGAATCAATTCCCCAGAGCATGTGCTATACAGTATCGCCATGCGAACTTGCTGTGAAACATAATCTCAATTTCCGTAGGACAAGGTCACCATTTTTCATGAAATGGTATGATTTATTCCGTATTAATGTCAACAATTTCACTAATACGGAATGGTATACATGTGAGAGTGTCCATATAATTCGGGTTCAAAACGTTCGTAATTCATTATTTAGTTTACAATGTATATATTTCATGTGTGTATATTTTGCCAGGTCTGAATCCTAAAGCATCTGCACATCATATATTTAAAAGTTGAATAAAACTTTTGATTCATTCAATACGTGCATCGTATGTTAATGCCACTGTTCAAAATATTGGATGCGGGTCTTTTTTGTTTCAAACACTCATTGAAGATGATACGTGTTTGAAAACATTATTAATTTGAGTCAGATTAAGCGTATTTTTATTTCAGAGTATATTTAGGAGAAGAAAGTCCAAATGATGTTAACGTTCAGTCAATCGGAGAACTCGATCCCAGAAGGACTGCAAATAACGACGGTCTCTCAATTATAGTGCTTCAACTTGAGAAATGTGTCGAAATCAATGAGTTTGTTGCGCCTATAAATGTTGCAGATTTGCGAATAGTTGATGATTCAGCGGCCTATGCTCATGGTTGGGACAAATCGGTTCCTTCTAAGACACCCATTATTACCAAAACTAATGACTGCATTGCTCGATTCGGGGCACAGACATTCAGTGGATTGTTATGTGCATATGAAACACTGCCTTCAACGTTTCAACTCGGCGGTCCTTTGGTAATCACTGGAGATGATGACAAGCCTTGCATGGTAAGCAGTCCTACCTACAGGATGTGGCCAAAAATCCATATTTCCATATTTTTGCTAAAGATACGGTTTTCTTGTGACATCAATTTGGTTGCAGTAACTGAAATCACTGTAAAACATATTACCTTGAAACCAGGAGTTTGTATTCACACCCTCATTGAATTTTAACCTCAATTCCATTTAAATACCGCTATGGATTAATAATTATAAGTAATTCCATTTTGAGATTGATTAGAATCGAATCCTGCATACTCTGCGAAAATATACTATTGAAGTCAATGCATCATTTTCTAGGGATTTTTGACCAACAATATGGTTCAATTAATATCAGACTAAGACCATCTACTCTAGGAATCATCGTCCTTCGGACCATGGTTCCCGGGGTATATGGCCATACGGACCTAAATTCTTATGGAGCTTTTACTTTTACACCGGCTGACTCATATATATTCGAACAACAAAACAAAAACACATATAGTTTTCATAACTTCCATGGTAACAAGTGTGTAGGCAATTCTCAATAACAAATTATTTAGGCTTAATAGATTGAGCGCTGATTGTGACATGACAATGATAACACGTTCATAAACATATTTACAAATACTAGTGTTTTGTAATATTTTTTTTATGTCAATCACTTGCATCTTTATAGGTTGGTCAAAATCACAAAAATCTCGTCGTCACAGACCTGTCATCGGGATCTACTGTAACTGTTTCCACGTTTATTGATCTACTTGATTCAGGAGTCACTCCCGAACTGCTATCAGACTTCGTACAAGGTAATAATGTAGCACAACGGGAACCGCACGTAATATTTTACTGTGTGACTAGTAGGGTCTGTCCCTTGTATTGTTGTGTCCAGGTCCAGCTCATCTAAAAATATAAAAATAAAAAAGTAATTAACACTCTAAATAAATCCAATACATTTGTGATTTGATATCAGCATTTCAAATATTTCGTCCTATACTACTGCAGCCATGATTATCTTGCCAAATTATTCCATTTTAGCTAATCCTTGCTCAGCGGAATGCAGGCAAGGTATTACTCCATGTCGGAAACCTTCAGTTTCACAAGTCGTTACCACCACATCCACTTCTACAAGTCCAGTTGATGCCACGGACCAGGTCCCGACTACCCAACCTGACGCTACAACATCTACCCAACCTGATACCAGTGAGTCTCCATCCACTGATCCTTCTGCCACTACACCAACAGAATCTCCTACCCAACCTGATACCAGTGAGTCTCCATCCACTGATCCTTCTGCTACGACACCAACAGAATCTCCTACACAACCTGCTACCAGTGAGAAGTCCACATCCACAACAACAGATCCTACGTTGGCACATCCTTGGCTTGTCAGGATACAAAACGGCAATAGCAAGAAGTGTTCTGGTACTTTAGTTACTCCTTGCCATGTGATGACATCATTTACATGCGTAAGGAAAAATAATGGAATCAAGTAAGAAAATTATTTATATTATTTATTTAAATGTCATGCTATGAAAAGCAATAATTGACTCTTACGAGATTTTCCATAATGACGTCTCGGGCGCTTAAGAAAAGGTATAGAGTGAAACCTGTATATTCGAACACCGTACTCTCAATGCAAACGTTTTTTTCGGTCTCATTTTTAATCTTTCATTGATTTCCATGTTAGAAATAACTTGAAATGAAAACACCTGCCAATCCTAAGACGTTTGGCTGGTCCTAATGGCGTTCGAATTTGACGGTTTTTACTGTTATAGACGTTTGACCAGACACTGACCCACTTTGGGTAGTTTTAGGGGCAACCAACATATTACTGTTCTTAAACCGTAGTTTTTAACGAAAAGCTGCATGCATTGATGCAATTAAAGATTGTAATAATTTGCATTTATAAAGGGTTTACATTGGCGAACATTCAGTTGGGGATGATGTAGAAGTTATTGATGCAGATAAACCCCGTCTTACGAATAAAGCTCTAGGTGTATCAATATTCAACCTTGCTACGTGTGTTGATACAAATGCTCCTAATGTTGATGTCATAAGTGTTATTGACTCCACAATCCCAGATGGATGGAACGCTAGATGGTTTGGATGGGGAACTGAACATATCACAGTTGGTTCACAAAGTCAGGTGGTACAGTCTGCAACTTGTCAGAGCAATGCTGGTATAGCATTACAAACTGGACAAATATGTGCTGCACCGTCGACAACTTTTAATGATAACGGCGGTGCGCTTGTTATAACAGCAGAAGGTCGTGCCTGTCAAGTAAGCCTTATATTTGTACAAGAAGTAAGAGATGGTCGACCTTTGAATTGTTGTCATATATGCATTGTTAATTAAATTGCACCAGCTTCGACATTTCAGTGGCTGATAATTGTTTGTCTATAGGTTGGTGTTTCTCAGACGAATATCGTTGATGCAAACAACAGCACAAATATCGTAACACCATACAGTGATGTGTCAGAAAGACGTGTAATAGTAGACATGCTTACTACGTTTATAAACGGTAGTACAATTTTTAAAATTTTACTAAAAACTTCCAGCATACTGATAATTTTATTTTAAATGTCATAGTAATGGTAACTATCTGCTTTACTTCATATATAATTTTGTGTAGTGCTTTAAGGATTTTATACTTTAATTTTAGAACTCTATGACTAATTGGGAAGATGTCTATCTTCTCAACCCGTTTCTGTGAAAGTTTAATATAATAATATTATGATTGCTTAAACCAATGTTTGACTTTTCGATGCTGTGTATGTTGCATTAGATAATCCTTGCTCGCAATGTGGAGCTCAAGAAGTGAGGCAATGTACACTGCCTACCACTACTCCTACTACTATTCCACCATCAACAACTATTGCCTTAACCACCACAACCGAGAGTGTTGTAACCACATCTACAACATCAAAGGATGATACCACAATCACAGACAGTACCATAAGCCAACAGACAACTAAAGCAACTACTTCTCCATCAACAGAACCTCCAACAACAACTACTACTCTACCATCAACCACTACAACCATAGATCCTGCATTAAGTCATCCATGGCTTGTTAGAATAGAGAATGGTAAAAAGAAATGCTCTGGCACTTTGGTAACACCTTGTCATGTAATGACATTAACATCCTGTGTCAAACGAGATAATGGAATAAAGTAAGTCAATTGATGAATATATATGCCATTCACAGGTATTTATCACAAAGTTATATGACATATGAGGGAACAGAATACAGTGAAGCCATCTTAATTTTTCCAACAGATGAATGGTAAGTAAACAATCGTAACAATCGAAACATGTCTAGTGTGTAAATAATTGGCATCATAATGAGTAATAAAGTTCTTGCCCTTGATTAAGCCTCATTAACCTTACTATCACACCAAACTACATCTCACTACGTTCTCGAAAACGGGCTTAAACTTTGTGCGAATGGAATGAATGTAGCTGCAGCTTTCTACGGGCTTTTTACAAGCATAAACTAGACTTTTGTATGAACTTCATGGACCTGCTCAGACGGGAAGTTGATTTAGAATTTTGAATCATTTCAAAATTCGATGGCGCCCATACAGTTCTGTAATTAGATCTTGTGGCAACGAACTTCAAACGAGATGACCTACTAAACTAGGAACGTAATTGCCGTACTTCGACCCTACTAGGGAACCGTTAACGACATTGTGCAACCGGATAACAATTGCAGTGCGTGTACACACCGACATGGTATAACCTGAACGAACTGCGAGTGAGATGGACGTATTGAAGACTTTATGAACGAAGTAGCTAATTATGTTAGATTTATGAATTAGAATTATGCTAGATTTGCCCCATTTTAATACGATTTTTTTTGTACGACTGGAAAGAATGGTCGAGAACTAGTTTGGTGTGATTGTGGGGGTAAGAACCCCATGCTTAAATTACTTGAATTCTTTAACTTTTTACTCATACGTTTCAGGGTTTTTGCCGGTGAGCATATAAAAGGTGATACGGCTCAAAGTTTAGCTGCAAGTGCCGTTAAGCCAAGAGAACTAATAAAAAATCTTGGTGTGACTGTATTTAAGCTTGAATCATGTTTCGACACAACTGCTCCAGATGTCGATGTCATAAGTGTGATCAATACAACAATTCCTGATGCATGGAGTGTTGATTGGTTTGGATGGGATGCCTTGCACGATAAAGTTGAAATTCAAGGACAAGTTGTACAGACTGAAAAATGTCAGAGTGAACCTGGTATAACAATACAAACTGGAGAAATTTGTGCATCACCAAAAGCATTAGATAATACAAATGGAGCTCTTGTTTTGCCTCTTTCTGCTACATTTGATGCATGCCAGGTATGTGAATAGTGAATACCAGTAAATAGTAAAAGTAGATCGTGATATTGGTCCTTGAATGTTGGGGAGGGGGAATTAGTCTCTGTTTATTTTTACGTTGCATGATTTAGAATAGTTGGGTTTTTCTCATGACAAGTGTACTCTTAGATTTTATATTTTCTTCTGTAACCATTTTCGGAATTATTTTCCCGTTGACACTTACGCATACATATTTATTCAAATATGAAACAAAGGTATATCCTTGAATTCTCATAAAATATCTAAGTAATTTTACCTGAACATTATTACAAGCATATAATGGTATGCTACTATTTTTGACTAATTTTTGAAGTGATCTCGCTGACATACTAGTTACGTTTTTGATGCTATCGTTACTGTTACATAGACAATGGTATCATGAGAAATTATGGCCTTCCATTAGTTTCTTGAGATTTCTAGCTGAAGGCGATATATGTGACGAGTATCAGAATGATTAGTAGATTTATTTACTTTTTGTCTATATTTTTTGCCAATGGATGCATCCTCTGCATATCTTACCGTACACTGCCTACCTAAATCAAGCTTCACATGATTCTTGATCAGTATTTTTTCATCATTTTCACAGATGATTGATCAGTAACAACACTGTCAGTCAATTTTGTAGACGTTGATGTGAATGACTCAGAACTAAAATAGTTGAACCAAGTTGACTTGGTTATATTTAGATTTTGAATAGAATGATACATATATCACTTGCTTGTGAAAGGTTTCAGGTAAAAATCAAGAAAGGATTACAGATACATTTTACAAAAATTTATTGATATACCTTCATACATGAATTTACTTTTTTAGGTAGGCGTTTCTCTGGCAAATCTAGTCGATTCAAACAATGTTACAAATATTGTAACAGCATATCTTGATGTTTCCCAAAGTGTTATTTTGGTCGACATGTTGACTACGTTCATCAATGGTAAGATTTTTTATATCTTTGCATGGAATAATTTAAAAAAACTGTTGGTGTGCAAAAAAGCTTTTTTAAATGGCTAGAAAAGTATCATGACATTAAGGTATTGACATAAAAATTAATTACTGAAACTTAAGGATAGGCATATTTTACCATTCAAATAGTTAAGCTAATACTGACTTCAATTTTCGTGAGATCTTTGAATTTCAATGGTAAATTGTTCATGTGTCTGGGATTTACTATTTTTCCTACCAATGTCCAATGTCTAATACAGATTTTTATCACTATCGTCACTTTGGTATTATTGTTATACTGTATTAATTATTTCACGATCACATGGAGACGAGGACCGAACTGGTCAATAGCGAGGTCCAGCAATGGTAGCTCTCTTTCAGAGGACTGAGGGCTCTTTCAGCCCCAGTTGATTACATATTCCAGCAGGATATCGATCCAGGCCATAGAGTGCAAAAGTCACTTTGGAATATCTGGAGAAGAATACCCCTTGGTTCATTAGTCCTGATGAATGGCCGCCCAATACACCACTTATCAAAGATTGTAGCAGATTTAGTGAACATTATAAATGTGCTATTTATGATCACATAAAATCATAGAACATCACATTTTCTAGAAAAACAGTAAATCTTGGACACGTGAACAAATTAGCAATAATATTCAAACATGTGACTAAAAACTGAGTATTTGAATGGTAAAATATGCCTATCCTTAAGTTTCTGTAAATAATTTTTTATGTCAATACCATTATGTTATGTTACTTTTCTAGCCGTCTAAAAAGTTGCAATTTTTTTTGGCACACCCTGTATACAGTGGTTGTTATGTCACCACCAAAAGTGGTGACATATTGTTATGGTCTCCGTTTTTTTGCGACGGCGGTTGGCGTCCGGCGGTTGGTGGTTGGCGTCCGGCGGTTGGCGTCTGGCGGTTGGCGTCTGTAACAATTTCTTACAACTTCCTATAACTTAACAAATACTGTTTAGACTGACTTCAATTTTTTTCTAAATCATCTACATGTTCTCAGAAGTTCAAATCTGACTTTAGATTTGACATTTGACCTTCAATGACCTTCTCAAGGTCAAAAAGGTCTTTTTTCAACTTGCTTCACATTGACTAAATTTTTTTTCAAAATCATCTACATGTTCTCAGAAATTCAAATCTGACTTTAGATTTGACATTTGACCTTCAAATCTGACTTTAGATTTGACATTTGACCTTCAATGACCTTCTCAAGGTCAAAAAAGGTCAAAAAGGTCTGTTTTCAACTTGCATCAAATTGACTAAATTTTTTTTTCAAAATCATCTACATGTTCTCAGAAATTCAAATCTGACTTAAGATTTGACATTTGACCTTCGATGACCTTCTCAAGGTCAAAAAAGGTCAAAAAGGTCTGTTTTAAACTTGCTTCAAATTGACTAAAATTTTTTTTCAAAATCATCTACGTGTTCTCAGAAATTCAAATCTGACTTTAGATTTGACTTAAGATTTGACATTTGACCTTCAATGACCTTCTCAAAGTCAAAAAAGGTCAAAAAGGTCTTTTTTCAACTTGCTTCAAATTGACTAAATTTTTTTTTCAAAATCACCTACATGTTCTCAGAAATTCAAATCTGACTTTAATTTTGACATTTGACCTTCAATGACCTTCTCAAGGTCAAAAAAGGTCAAAAAGGTCTGTTTTCAACTTGCTTCAAATTGACTAAATTTTTTTTTCAAAATCATCTACGTGTTATCAGAAATTCAAATCTGACTTTAGATTTGACTTAAGATTTGACATTTGACCTTCAATGACCTTCTCAAAGTCAAAAAAGGTCAAAAAGGTCTTTTTTCAACTTGCTTCAAATTGACAAAATTTTTTTTTCAAAATCATCTGCATGTTCTCAGAAATTCAAATCTGACTTAAGATTTGACATTTGACCTTCAATGACCTTCTCAATGTCAAAAAAGGTCAAAAAGGTATTTTTTCATCTTGCTTCAAATTGACTAAATTTTTTTTCAAAATCATCTCCATGTTCTCAGAAATTCAAATATGACTTTAGATTTGACATTTGACCTTCAATGACCTTCTCAAGGTAAAAAAAGGTCAAAAAGGTCTTTTTTCAACTTGCTTCAAATTGACTAATTTCTTTTTTCAAAATCAGCTACATGTTCTCAGAAATTCAAATCTGACTTTAGATTTGACATTTGACCTTAAATGACCTTCTCAAGGTCAAAAAAGGTAAAAAAGGTCTGTTTTCAACTTGCTTCAAATTGACTAAAAAAAATTTTCAAAATCATCTACGTGTTCTCAGAAATTCAAATCTGACTTTAGATTTGACTTAAGATTTGACATTTGACCTTCAATGACCTTCTCAATGTCAAAAAAGGTCAAAAAGATCTTTTTTCAACTTGCTTCAAATTGACTAAATTTTTTTTTCAAAATCATCTACATGTTCTCAGAAATTCAAATCTGACTTTAGATTTGACATTTGACCTTCAATGACCTTCTCAATGTCAAAAAAGGTCAAAAAGGTATTTTTTCATCTTGCTTCAAATTGACTAAATTTTTTTTCAATATCATCTACATGTTCTCAAAAATTCAAATATGACTTTAGATTTGACATTTGACCTTCAATGACCTTCTCAAGGTCAAAAAAGGTCAAAAAGGTCTTTTTTCAACTTGCTTCAAATTGACTAATTTTTTTTTTCAAAATCATCTACATGTTCTCAGAAATTCAAATCTGACTTTAGATTTGACATTTGACCTTTAATGACCTTCTCAAGGTCAAAAAAGGTCAAAAAGGTCTGTTTTCAACTTGCTTCTAATTGACCAATTTTTTTTTTCAAAATCATCTACATCTTTTCAGAAGTTCAAATTTGACTTTACAAGTTCTCAGAAATTCAAATCTGACTTAAGTTTGAACTCATAATATTGTGAGCAACTAGGTGGTGACATTTTGTCATGTTAATGCCTTGTTTTGCATGTGATCATAAACGGACAAAACAACAATTAAGAAAATGAATGAGCATTAAACGACAAATTACACAAATAGTATACCTGGCTTTATCATTGCATTAGATAACCCATGTAGCGACTGTGGCAGTCCGTCGGTTAAAACATGTGCTCCTCCACCTCCCACCACTTCTCCCCCTTCGACAACTACGCTACCAACACCCGCGACAATCACAACCGAACAAATAGCCATAACAACAGATACAACAGAACCCTTACAACAAACAACTACTACTACTCTGCCTCCAACCACCTCCACTATAGACCCTACATTAGCTCATCCATGGCTAGTAAGAATAGAAAATGCTGGGAAGAAATGTTCGGGTACTTTGGTAACACGGTGCCATGTAATGACATCATCCAGTTGTGTAAATCGTGACAAAGGAATAAAGTAAGTCGTGACTTTTAAAGTACGCAAACTTGAATCTTTCAAAAACGAGACATGGCTTGTAGACTATATTGTATTCTCAAATGCAACTAACGCCTGTCGGCTACCAGATTTACCTGCTATTTCATGGGCAACTCATTTAAATATGAATAGTACTTGCCGCTATTCCATTCATATTTAAATGAATAAGTCATGAACTATTAGATTAATCCGGTAGCCGACAGGGCGTTAGTTGCATTCGCGAATACAAGGATAGTTTCCTTCACTCACCATCCAGTATCATAACTGGTTGCAATAACACATCAATATCGATAACTTTTGAAATGCAGGTAGTAAATATATTTTTATCTGGAATTATACCGATTTTAATATATAGTATCTCAGCTCTCCGTAATAGAAAATACCAAACTAACGTTGAGATATCTTTTTCATTGTACGGCTTTCCATTTATCTAAAGAGTCTATGCTGGGGAACACAAAGTCGGCGATTTGGCTCAATTTCTACGTTCAAGTCCTGCTAACCCTAGGGAACACATCGGAGAAAAATCACTTGGTGTAGCTGTATTTAAACTAGAAGACTGTTTCAACATAACTGAAGATGTAAATGTCATAAGTGTTATTGACACAACTCTTCCTGATGGCCTGAGCGGCGATTGGTTTGGATGGGGATCATCACACGATACAGTTGGAACATTAACTCAAGTCGTACAAACCGCCGTGTGTAATAAGAATGACTCTGGGATTATACTTAACAGCGGAGAGATTTGTGCGTCACCACAGACGGATTTTGATGATACTGGAGGCGCCCTTGTTATATCATCAGCCGGAGAAGCATGTCAGGTAAAAGTGCCTGGAATAAAATCATGTTTGTTGTTTTAATGTTCGAATGTAATGCTAAAGGTGGTTTGCAGCATATTTGTGAATGTGTTTAGAGAATATCAACCCATGGTCCAGTGATGGCTGGGCCACGTTTGTTAAAGGACAACTGAAATAGGTTTTCCCAACTTGCAGCTAAAGAAATGCGGTTTTCTTCATTGTAACGTGTCAAAATACATTTTTAAAAATTCTATTCATTCCTTTAGGTCAAAAATACCATTTCATATCTGTTTTCAATAAATTTTTAGTGACGTTATGATTTTTACATTTTTAGGTAGGCGTATCTCAACTAAACATCGTTGACCAAAGTGACTCGTCGGCTGTTACACCATACAGTGATGTTTCTCAGTCAGGAATATTAGTGGATATGCTAACTACATTTATATCTGGTACATTACACTTAACTTGTGACATATACTATGGCAATGAAAACTTGTATTAAATCTTGTAAATTCATTTTGAATAACACGAAGTCTAGTCTCGATTAAAAATATCTTTGATAACAAATGTTATGCATGCGGCATTATGTAGGATGTCACTTTTTATTCAGACCATCCATGTGATACATGTGGCAGTGCTAGTGTTAGGATATGTACTTTACCTGCCCCACCAACTACTCCACCACCACCATCTACAACGCCTTCTCCTACAACAACCCCTGAGCCAACGACAACAACTACGACACCAAGACCAGTAACAACACTACCACCTGGACTGCGTCATCCTTGGGTTGTCCGTATTGAAAATGCCAACAAGATTTGCTCAGGGGTCATCATTTCAAGTTGTCACGTATTAGCACCAAGTATATGTGTTAGGAAAAACCAGGGAATTATGTAAGTTGTCTCCAATTTATTCTCTTGTTCTCACCTCCGATGCTACAATACTTCACAGTGATATCAAAAGAAAAATATTGAACTGATGAAGATACAACAAGTATAACAACGTCTAATAAATAAAATATGCCCTGAGGTGTAATGTTTTAATTAAGCAACAGTAACCAAAGTGATTAAGGTGTTTATCTTGTCATTTTCAATTTCACATTGTCCTGCACAATCTCCAATTTTGCCAATCTAGCACATTTTGACGTATTTTATAAAAGAAGTGTTAGTTTAACTAACTGTTTTTATATCCAGGGTCTATGCTGGGCAACATAGAAAATCGGACGAGGCTCAAATTCGGCAAGAATTCAACCCAGATAAAAGAGAAATCAAGGCAATAAAAGCATTAAGTTTGACAGCATTCAAACTTGATAATTGTTTGGATATGTCATTTAAAGATGTAGATGTGATAAATATTGCTAGTATTGCGGTATCTGATAACACTACTGTTGACTGGTGGGGATGGGGAGTATCTGATACGATAGGTAATACCTATGTTCGAATTGTTACTCATATTAGAAATCAATGATGAATATTAAACATCTCAGTAAGCCAATGGTGTGTGTGAAAATGATTGTTCTGATGCTCTTGTGTGGTTTCGGATCATGATAATGGATGTTTGATGGTGGGGATGGACAGCTTCCAAATGTTCCTATGTGTATTTTAACATATTTGGGATGGTTGTGTATTTAAATGTTACTATTTCTTACTTTGTTTTTAATCTTCTATTCTCTCCAATTTATGGCAACATGTGCTTACACAATGATAAGAATTCCAATAGATGCGCTTGCCATGATATCTTGAAGCTTTCTAACAATAAAAAACAGAAAAGGTCATAATGAATGCAACTTTTGGTGTCACTTTGATATCGGCATCTTTGGCTTTTGTTTTATTGTTTATTTTTTGTTTTACAATAGATGTAATTTTGTAATGTGCATTTACTTCATCATTTACGTTTAGGACACTTACAGATGACTGTTCGAAGTGAAGAATGTATGGAAGTGTTTAGTGGCACTTGGGACCCACTTCAGCAATGCGGGACACCACCGACAGACAATGAGGATGTTGGAGGCTCCATTGTAAAATATGATGATTACGGTGATCCATGTTTGGTAAGCTCTATAGGATAGCGTCCGATTGCTTTCCGATATGCTTTCATTATACAATTTTAGACCTCGCTTAGTGTTAACTGGCAAAATTGTATACCTTGAAAGTACTGTTGACCCAGAAGACGAAATACAATATATCTACCGGAGGATATACCCTGTATCCAAAACCTCCCATTAAATAACCCTCATTTATACCATGGTCAGAGCAATATTAGGTACGTTAAATCAGGGGATAAATCACACATTTGGGGAAGGGATGATATTGGGATTAGAGGGATAATATCATTTTTCTTATCTTATTCTTATCTTATCTCATTCAACAGAGGATTTTAGGTAGATATTACTCTTGACCATGGTATAACGTCGTCGTTATTCACCTGCTAAGATGATATGAGGAATATCCCTCGGATGATATCAATATTTCACTCTGTCACTGCGTTCCCTCCTGAAATATTGATATCATCCTTGTGATATTCACCATATCAAATCCCTCCTGGTGAATAAGTTCTTTTTATCTCATTGTTGCAAGGATATATATCGAATATCACGTGAAGATATATTTGCTATGTGGATCAAGATATCATATTTTAGCCCAAAAATCCCCAAACCATGGGATACCACTTCTTAAAAAGTGATATTTGATGGTTTCAAAAGTGATATTCGATGGTTTGATTTTTTATTTTTCTAAACGATTTTCAATTTTTCTCAAAAGTAGCGGTTAACATTATCTAGTAGCGCATTTTGATCAATTTTTAACTAACCTATCAAAGTTGAGTACTAATATTTCAACTGGGATATTAATTAGAGGTTATGTCACTATCATGGCCCGAGGTCTTAGTGATATATGGCCCGACCTTGGGAGGGACATTGATCTCTGAGAACCGAGGGCACATGTGTCACGGTAGTGACATAAACGATTTATAACATACCTTAATGATGTAGACTGGTCAGAGAGTACCGTTTTCTTATAGAATTGACAAACAAATGGTTTGAAAATGATTGAAATGAGTTTAGAAATATTGCTCGCGCAGTTTTATCTTCGATTGATTGGTTATGACGTCAGCGCCTTGACCAATCAGAAAGTAAGCGGGCGCGGGCTTTTCAAAACTTATATTGGCCCGCTGTCTTGTGTACACTTTGCACTATACATCATCATAGGTATGTTATTGAACCAGTTTGAAGCAGCAATTGAGCATTTAAAAATCATTATATCAAAATGAACATTTAGTACATCATTATATCAAATAACCATTTATCACATCATTATACCAATATAATAGTTCATGGTATGAAATCTCTAGGACGTAAAGGAGCTGGTTACGTAGCTCACGACATTTGACCTAACATTAACATACCTACATATGTTCTTCCGGCTTTTAGGCTGAATTATGCCTGCCATTAACAGCAAATGACCAAAAAATAAAATCCCAATTTTTCACAATTTGGAGTACACAATGCAACAGAGAATATTACAAAATGATTTTAAATATATGATTTAGGTTTCTAAGCTATAAGTTTGAGGTTATTTTTCTTATCAATACCAAAAAATTATGTAATCAGGGTATCGACGTTTTGTATTGTTTCCCAGGTATTAATAAGATAAATGCTACAAATGAATCACTTTTACATTAGAATGACAAATGCTTAAATTATGCTAGTTTTTCACAAAATTTTATATTATGATAATATATTTTTTGTTCGTATGCTTAAAATAACGGTCTGTGTATTATAAAAAAGTTCGAATCATAATATTTACGTTTTTTGACCCCTTGTGATGAAAGACATTTTTCGATCCGAAAGCCGGAAGTTTTTTTTCAGCAAAGTATTTTAAAAGAATCAAGACAAGTGCACCTCCATACAGTTGGACGGCACATTGCCTTAACCCATCAGCTTTATGACGTGCACTTCCGCGATGGACTATATCTTTACAACGGGAATTTCAATTTTTTGTCAGTGTAGACATAAAAAGTTGCGGTCCTCTTACTCGCGCAGTTTTTAATATTTTCATTTGAAACTTGCAGGAACGGTGCTTTGAATCTAGCTCTCTACTCTTTGAAAACGTCATGTGTAATCAATACAGTTGACCTATTTATTTTTTGTCGTGAAAATATTATTTTTTTAGTTTATTTTTATTTTACAACTTTTTGGGAAAAAATGTAACAAATTTTTATTTCTTGTCATATTTATCCGATATTTTGTCATCATGAAATTCGAGATTCTTTTTAATGATGGTGCAAATTTCATAACAATTGATGAATTTTTATTATCAGTGTTATGTTTTCCAAAAAGGGTGTACCACTGTGCATGTTTCTTTAATTGACGGCACATTTGCTTTTAATTGGGCGAACGTACAGGTCCCGGCGCAATAAGCTTTATTTGATTTAATACACTCAAAAATAAAGTTTGCTATCAAATCGGAATGTTCATAAAACATAAACCTTGCCTTCGTTTTCCCAATTCTAAAAGCAGACCAAATAAACTATGATAATCGTTTGACTCTCGAGACTACAGAACTTGAACTTGAACATACTAAAATCGAAGTTGCCTATAGTTACGCTTGTAAAGTTAATTACATGTTTAACGGCCTGCTGAGTGAATGTATCTAATCAAATTTGTGACATACCCATAAGATCGTAGATCACAATTCTAAGTTTAAATGTAATTTGGATTCGTAAGAAGTAATTCTATTTTAAACTTACCTTTGCTGTCTGAAAAAGATCAATATTCATAGACGAGGATGTTGAAACCTATATTTCCTTTGAATGACCTGCATTTGTATTACGAAATGATCCTGTGGAGAAAAGTTGATGAATTCCAAACAGCTAGTTCTAGCAAATCTACTAGTATAAGCTTACTTTCTTTCTTATTTCAATGTTGAAAATATCTATTCAAATGTTTCATTTTTAAAATGATCTTGGCTTCCCTTAACTTAGATGTGTGACTTATGAAGAATGCTTTTTACCACATCAAACTTAAGACGTGAACTTGACAATTACTCGTGTTATAACGCGATTTTCTTTCATTTTCTACAAAAATGGTATGTTTTCGAAAGGTCACTTATGTTAATCTATCACCTTGGTATGATTGAAAATGAAAGAACTGAACCAAGTATTGTCGACTTGTTTGAATTATAAGATTTATTTTGATTGATTTAATCTCTTCTTGAATTTTAAAACTTTTGTCCGAATTACATCTGCTATGGAATTAAAGTTCAAATATACCTCAGAATTGCTTATTGAATTAACCTAGCAATTAATTTGAAAATAATTCTTTTCATAGGTTATATATCATAGATCATAGATATGTAAAAAATAAAAATGTGTTTTGAAAGATGAATTGATAACAAACGTTTTTGCACACGTGCCATTTCCACTTTCAGCCCACTTAAAGCACGAAATCCCGTATGACGTAATGTAACGAAAATGCTCAGATAATTGATATTTTTTATTTTAATTCAACTCACATTGACCGTTCAGTTATGAACGTTTTTAAAGTTCTCATGTTAAAATAAATAAATATGTGGAAAGGCAATGGTTTAAAGCTTATGAAAATGTCAAAATCATAATTCAGTTTAAAAAAAAAGATATTGACATGCATTCACGCACATTTGACATTATCTCTTTTTGTGCGATTCAAACATAAAAATCTCATTACAGTTGTACATAAGAACCAATCTTAGCCATGCCTTTCTAATAAAGGAACTAAATTTGAATCGAAAAATAATTCTGTGTAAAGATGATTCCCCATAGATATAATAAATGTCAAAAATGTCAAAAAAAATTATCAAAAATTAAATACTCACACGCTTTTAAGCACACCTTTTTCAGTTTTGCTCATATAATTTACCTTGAAAACCAAGGAGACCGAACTCAATTTCTAAATACAACCTTGATACGTGTACCAGGTCTATAATTGCATTTTCTCATGGAAGGAATCAAGCAAAAATTATAAAAATAATTCTGCGTAGAGGTGATGCCTCACAAATAATATTGATGTAAAAAATTAATTCATTTCTTCAAAATTAAATACTGACACGCATTTACGCACACATGACCTTTTCCAGTTTTGCACAGTATTTCATTGACCTTGAAAACCAATGAGACTGGACGCAATTGCCAAATACTTCGTTGATACGCGTGCCAGGTCTATAATTGCATTTTCTCATGGAAGGAATCAAGCAAAAATTATAAAAATAATTTTATGTTAAGGTGATGCTTCACAAATAATATTAATGTCAAAAAATGAATTCATTTCTTCAAAATTAAATACTGACACGCATTTACGCACACATGACCTTTTCCAGTTTTTCTTATTTCATCTACCTTGAAAATCAATGAGACTGGATGCAATTGCCAAATACTTCTTTGATACGCGTGCCAGGTCTATAATTGCATTTTCTCATGGAAGGAATCAAGCAAAAATTATAAAAATAATTCTATGTCAAGGTGATGCTTCACAAATAATATTTATGTCAAAAAATTAATTCATTTCTTCAAAATTAAATACTGACACGCATTTACGCACACATGACCTTTTCCAGTTTTGCTTATTTCATTTACCTTGAAAACCAATATGAGACTGGACGAAATTGCCAGATACTTCTTTGATACGCGTGCCAGGTCTATAATTGCATTTTCTCATGGAAGGAATCAAGCAAAAATTATAAAAATAATTCTATGTTAAGGTGATGCTTCACAAATAATATTTATGTCAAAAAATGAATTAATTTCTTCAAAATTAAATACTGACACGCATTTACGCACACGTGACCTTTTTCAGTTTGCTTATTTCATTTACCTTGAAAACCAATATGAGACTGGACGAAATTGCCAAATACTTCTTTGATACGCGTGCCAGGTCTAGAATTGCATTTTCTCATGGAAGGAATCAAGCAAAAATTATGAAAATAATTCTATGTTAAGGTGATGCTTCACAAATAATATTAATGTCAAAACTTTAATTCATTTCTTCAAATCCAAATACTGACACGCTTTTGCGCACACGTGACCTTTTCTTCTTTTGCTCATTTTATTTATCCTCAAAATCAGTAGGCCTAAATACATTGTCCGATACTTCTTTAATACGTGTCAGGTCTAAAATTGCAGTTTATCATGAAAGAAATCGAACAATTGTCATAAAATAATTATGTGTAAAGGTGACTGATGTTCTTCAGATTATATAAACATCAAAATTGTAATTCATTTATTGAAGGTTAAATATCCACATGCTTTTAGGCACACATAACCTTTTCCCTTTCGTTCATTTTATCTATCTTTAAAATCAGTGAGCCTGAACTCATTGCTAAATACTTTTTGATACGAGTCAGCTCCAGGTCTAAAATTGCATTTCATCATGGAGCAAATCGAGCAATCATTATGAAAATAATTCTGTGTAAAGGTGATGTTCCAAAGACAATATATATGTCAATTTGATAATTCAGTTACTCAAAATGAAATATCCACATGATTTTACGCACACATGATAATTTCCTGAATGACGCTACTTTTTGGATTCAACCATGCATATAACGTCGTAAAATACACATTTCTACCGAAATTATGCCCAGCCGTTTTCGTAGAAAATGTAACAAATGAAGGCATTTTATCGGAACTGATTGATATTTGGTACTTATAGAATATCGTATTTACTTTAACTTTTAAGCGATTCAGACATTTAAAAAAATTATGTTTAATCAATGTTAATTTCGCACGAATATAGGGTACAAAATGAGTGAAAGTCCCACGTGTTTGATTGCATTTTACTCCCATTTATGTGCATTTTTCTAACATTAAAACGAGATAGTTGGAAAGAAGAGATCAGTAGAATTCTATCTGTCACTTTCATTTTCAAATGTTTAAATGTTTCCCGTTTCATTGGACCTCATAAAGATGGTAGCCAACGGACCAGAAACAAGTAGTGCGATGACGTCATATATCGCTACACCACTTTGATATTAAGTTTGGTAAACAACAATGGGTTTTTTCAATGTGCCGTCCTACTGATAAATATTGCTTCAAATGTTGCTGCGCTATAGTGTGCTACGGATCCTTCATATTAGGAAGTCATACCATGGACTATAACGGGAACCTGGTATGAATGAACCAGAGTAATGGGTTTACTGCATAACACATATTATTGGGTTATTGTATAGTCCATGGTATGAAATTCCTTGAACGCCTAATTAAGGAGCTGGTAACACAATATAGTGCAGGATATTACACATGCCCAGTATTGCTCTTTTATTACACATTACTATACCTAACACCTAGAAATGCATAAGATACTTTGTTTGTCCAATTGTATTGTTTAGTATATTTTTGAAAGTACCTTATTAACATCTAACTTTCAACCGATAAACCATTAATAAGGAACAGACAAATAAAAACAAATACATAATCATTACTAATAAGCCAAATTGGTTGCTCATGAACACCAAATGCAAGGTATAGTAGAGTGATTATAGCCGTTCAATATTCTTCGGCCTTTTGTGCCGAATAATGCATGTCATTAGCAGGGGCAAAAACATTAGAAAAACGAAATCACCCTTTTTACAATTTGGATTACATACTGCTACTGAAAATTATATGAAATAAATGTTGAGTGTATTTTTTAAGTTTCTCAACTATGATTTGCGTAATCAGCTCATCAACATTTTGAATTGTTTCTTCAATATTGGTGATGTAAATGGTATCGAAGAATAGTTTTATATAAGAATGAAATATGAAAAATGGGTCTTAATACGTTTTGAGATATGGACTGTCATCATCAGGGATCAGCTATCAATGAAGGAGGACGTATTGCTCTTCATTGACTTACTGTGGCTTCGCCTAAAATTATTTTGCCCCTAGTTAGATATTGCTCGGTTGATTATAAAACAACCATTAAGACCTGGTCCAATTCACGAAGCTTTGAGAAAAACGCTTTTGATTTTCACTAAAAATGTGATGATAACCAGCAGTTATGTCAGAAAATGTGATAATATGCAGCAACGTCGAAAGAGAAATGTAAGGCTTTTGATTGCATACGTCTCTTATAAACTATTAGACATGCCCTCTGAATATATAAAGGTTCTGATAACATTGGTCATTGTTTTATTAAACACAGGCAATTATTTATTGTTTGACTCATGGCGATGATAGGGATTAATTCTTAAAATAAAACTTTGAAATAGTAAAAACTTAAAATATTTGAAATTATGAAGTTTTTAAATAATACACACAATTTTATCAGTTCTACTTGACCAGTATTTAAAGAAATAAACAAAATATATACAATTTAATTTTGATATATAGTGATTATCCAATTTATTGAAAATATGCTTACATTAACGTGTCGAGTCTTATAAAATGTGTAAGAATTCAAATGAAAAAATTTACGTTTTTTGACCCCTTGTAATGAGAGGCATATTTCGATTCAAAAGTCCGTTTTTAAATTTTAAGTTTTTTTAGCGAACGGTTTTTTAAAAGAATCAAGACATATGGACCTACTTAAATAATGGTTCAAATGTTGCTGCACTATATTGTGTAACTGATATTCTTCATATTCCGGAGTCATGCCATGAATTGGTAAAGCGCCGTTTAAGGGACGGGGTAAAGCCGAAGCGGGTATTCTGGTCACGTTTGACATCACTCCAAATATAAAAGTATAGGTTATAGAATTGAGATTGACAAACTATTTACTTCAATTATCACTTTTCATATTGAAAATATATAACATGCATGTAAACATGCAGAAACATTATTCAGTTTTGTACTCTTGTTCTGTATTTCTTTGCCCTTACATAGTATTTGTAAATTTTTCCTTTCCTTTATACAGCTTCACCTATAGTATAGCTCCAATTCAGCCACAACATGTTTGTATTCTTTTTTACTCCTATTATTTTCCTTTTTCTGGGACCCCAAAGACAGAGGCAGAAGATAGTACATGTAAATGCAGATACAATTTCATTTACATTTTAGATTTACATCGAGGGATACCAATAATGACACTGGGGATGGATTCCTCATGTCTGACCTGTACTTTTATGAATTAATGACAATAAAATCTGTTTATAAAAAGAACATTGACATACGTATTAATTATTTGGATAGGTCGGAACAGCAGCAGCAAACAGAGCCCAGTTGGACCCAGTGACATCTGAAGCGTTGTTTACAGTGACTCCATTCACTGACGTGTCAATCCCTGATGTGATCAATGACCTTAGACTTTACGTAGCAAGTACGATATTCTATAGTCTAGCTATAACCCCTTGCACAACAAGCGAGAAGGTGTTATTCAAGTAGAGGGGGTCACAACATCATGACAAAATGGCCTTCTATTTGCTTCACACTAGTATCATATTTCTGATTGAAGACAGAAAGATGTGATGAGTATCAGAATGGGGTCACAAAGGCTTGTAGCTAGACTAGATATATTTTACTCAATGTTGGTGCATATTCAGGGTGATCAATCACATTGGTCAATACTGTTATGCAGCAATTTTAGATCATCTATAATTTCAACATCTCTGATCATATACTGCAATTTTGAGCATCTTATCGTTTGCAATTTTGAACATGTGTCTTAAAACAAGAAATTGACACTGAATTCTAATCAAAAATGCTAAAGGTGAATGAGATGAATGAGCGTTATTACAATTTTTGCGCAATGCCATGAAAATGAAATTCCAAACACCCGGATTTTAAATATTACATGCATATAATCATAGCCTAAATATTTTCAAATTGAATATGTGTACTTCTAGGCAATCCATGTACCGAGTGTAATGAAACTCCATCAATCAGGAACTGTCGATTCGAGCTGCCACCTGGCGCAACCCCCTTGCCTCCACCTACCCTCCCCACTTCGAACTGTCCTTCGCTAGATATCAACAACAGTACCTACACGTAAATATATATGAATGACTAGGCTACACAAAGAAAACAAAATCATTATTTTGGAGAATATCGTACTTTTTCCAATGTTTCATTATCTTTACATTTCGAAATAGTTTAATAGAGCTTCATTTACAATGACACCAGGATTCTTTATCATAAGCTAGTTGTGTCTTTATATCCACGTGTGCTTTTCTATTTTCATTCCTCGTTACATACAGGGTGGTCATTTTAAGAAATAACTTTACACAATTGTACATCATTCAATTTCCTACCAGCCTTCTATATTTCATGGTGGGGTTGTAGGAAATTGAATGATTTACAAAAGTGTGAAATATCAGGGAGTAATTTCTTAAAATGACAAAGATATATGAGGAAAATGCAGGGTTCCCATTTTTTGACCACCCTGAACATTTTTTGACTCATATATATGAACCGTGATTAAAGAATACACTTTAATTTACTATATCATCTACACCACCGATTTATCAAAATTCAGAATAACTAGTTCCTCTCATTTGTTGAAAAAATAAGAACTAAAAATTGTACTTTAATTCCAGAATGGAGTGTAAGACGTTAGAAAGATGTACTGCCATTGTAACATGCGATATCTGCCATGAAATAACAGGATATGGAAAGAGAGAATGTAGCAAGGGAAAATGGGATAAGCTTATCACAATATGCAGCCCAACGGGTGAGATGACAATACGTTTGATATCCCCCTACTGGAGGCATGATATCATATGATGATTGATATCAATATCAGCAGTGAATATATCAAGAGTCAAAGAATAAATCAAGAGTCAAAGAATATATCAAGAGTCAAAGAATATATCTAGAGTCAAATAATATATCAAGAGTCAAATAATATTTCAAGAGTCAAAGAATAATATCAAGAGTCAAAGAATATATCAAGAATCAAATAATATATCAAGAGTCAAATAATACATCAAGAGTCAAATAGAATATCAAGACTCAACGAATAAATCAAGAGTCAAAGGATATATCAAAAGTCATAGAATATATCAAACGTCAGAGAATATATCAAAAGTCAAAGAAGTGCTGATATTTACAGATTTAACTCGGTTGCAACAGATGAAAAGAATCATATCAAGAAAATCATAAAAAACAATGGTTATTTCCAAATGTATTTTTGTCCCAAAGTAGATTAAATAGTTTAACTGACATCAACACGGAGGGTTTGAGAGCATACGTTGTAACCACGCACACACGCAGGACTTACGCATGTTCACTACAATTTATAATTATCCTATATAATGAATCATTTGTGCGCCTTTTTACGTCACACATTTACACAAAATGCCTCCCACACTATTGTGGGCGAGTATTAGTTCTAATAGACTAGATGCGAGTAGAAATAATCTTGATTTAAGTCATCAAAAAATAAAAATTCAGTCAAACTGATGTCATATTTGGAATCTACATGTAGAATTACATCTAGAAATGTGGTTTTGAAAAGAGTTTATCAACTTTGAAAATTTAATTTCCTTTGAAAATGTGACTTCTAGGTCGGGGAGATTCCCCATAGAGCCCATGTTGTAAAATCAAAAAAAGTGAAATATCTTTTCTTGTGTTCGGCAGATTATATTTTCTTTTACTGGGCATATTTTAATTTGTATAACTATCAGATACAAAAGGGTAATATGGAAAAGTGAACCACTAAAACTGATGAATATGCAAGTTTAAGGGAATTCTGTAATACCCTGCCATGTTATTTCCCCCGACTCAGCCACCTGGTGGCGAAACTGGTAACTACCTACTCGCATCTGAGTAATTGTTATAGCTATTGTCATATCCGTAAACATCCCGTAAGTTTAGATGATACATGTGTATGATTGATGATGAATGGTCGCGTGGTTGGTCGGACTACCACTGTCATATTGGTTAATATCATATATGTTTAGATGATACATGTATGACTGATGATGACTGTGTCAGTCGCTACAACACAAGCCGACCTGTTTGTAAAGATTGTCGGTGTACGTGCATTGACGATTACGATTGTCGAGGATTTAGCCCTGACGGCGGAGTTTGTGATATCAAGGCTGAAATTATAGAATGCAGTACGTGAAAGTATTCAAACATGATATTTTTGTGTTTTGCTATATATGTATTCACTCCCCTCAAAAATTGTATTAGCAATAGGACCAATGGCGTAGCGTCATATACGCATAAAACGCCATGACGTACTTTCGAAATTCAGAGAAAGGTTGATTTGTTATACTGATTGCCCTACACTTTAAAAATGGACAAAAAATGGCTAATAACTTGCATGTTATTAGTCCTTATTAAATGATATTTCGTGTTTTAAAACGCCCCAGAACGCCTCAAATGTAAAAATCATTTTCAAATTTCCTTAAGGGGTCACCCTAAGAGCTCGTTCGATTTACTCATTCGTAGCGTACACTCTCAAAATCCCCACGCTACGCCACTGAGGACGTCCCATTTCAATCCATGTTTAATTTGATGAAGATAAAACCATAATACGTCTTCATGAGACAATACTTTCTGTCATTCCTACAGAGCTGATGTGCCCATATCTCAAAGCACCGGAAAATGGATCAATCGTGTTTGATCCTCCTGTCATAGAAAACAACGCCAACTACACGTTTTCATGTGATCCTGGATTCGAGTTGTTTGGCTCTGAATCACGTGTGTGCATGAACAACACTTGGGATGGGAAGCTAACCGCCTGTGTTCCGGCTAATGGTAAATGTCTAAAATTTTTCATACGTCGCCAGATTTTCCAATTTGTGATAGAAGGATGTCAGTTTCGGAGGCAAATCATAAATGGTCAATATTCAGAAAAGGTGGCAACATTTAAAATGAATAAAACATGTTCCTCAGGTAAATACTAATTTATCGCTATTGTTTGCAGATGAATGTGAAAATGTGACTTGTGAAAATGGTGCAAATTGTATTGACGGACCTGGTTTCTTTACATGTAACTGCTCCACTGGATATACGGGGACTTTCTGTGAAATAGACATAGGTAAACAATGTGTCCTTTCAATCTACCAATGGATTCATGCAGTATATGACCCATAGACATAATACTCCTTGAATGTTACATAATTGCATTTGTATTACTTGACAAAATCAAATACAAAAATGACAACATATCCAATGCCCTTTGTGGTAGGAACGTAAAAACTGGTTTCACTTTTCAGATGAATGTGCCAGTTCGCCATGTATGAACAATGCAACCTGTAACAACTTGATAGGCAGGTTCAGCTGCAATTGTACTGCTGGATGGATTGGGGAATTTTGTCAAGGAGAAGGTAATGTTTATTTCAATTGTAAAAATGGCATAATATACCAGTAGTGCTTTTTGAACACGAAGGCAAGATAACAAGAGGCGGGACAAGAGGCCAATAGAGTAGCTCTACCGAATATACCAACCAACTAAAACTCAACGACTCAAAATAAAGCTGCTTTTCAATGACAACAGAATAATATCACGAATTTTCGTTGCAGATATTTGTTACAGAGACGATCCCTGCGTTAATGCAGGAACATGTGCCAATATATTAACCTCATATGTAGTGCCTCTTTGTGAGGAAAATGCACTAATATGTAAAGAATACGGCACCACTCTTCCAACAACCGTAGCCTATATTGCACCTTGTAATGAAACTGCTGCAAACTGCACCACTGTTGAAACAATGATGAACTTCACCTTAACGACGGGAAATTCCTCCATAACGAGAAATATTACCAATATGACGACAACGGTTCCCATGACAACGGGAAATATGACCATGACAACAAGTGGGTTTTTGTTAACAACTGCAACGCCAGTGCCGTGTAATTCAACATTAGAAAATTGCACAGAAGTGTCAACAACAAACCCATGTAATTCATCAATTGAGAATTGCACAGAATTTTATACAACTACAAGACCGTGTAATTCATCTGTTGAGAATTGCACAAAGTTGGTCAATACAACAGAGATGATGCCGATGTGTGATTATGCATTGGCTGAACGATGTGCCATTTTGGATCCTAACAGTACATTTTCCTTCCAATGCACATGTCTGCCTGGATTTACAGGTGTTCGTTGTGAAACAGGTAATATATGGAGTCAATATTAATCTTTCACGTTTCTTTTGAGGCAAGGGGAGTAAATCGCCCTCACATTAAAAGCCTAGACTATAGTTTATAATTCAGAGGATAGAAAGAATGGGTGACCTATACTCTACCTAAACTGTCAATCTGGCAGTCAATGCTCTGTATATTTAGATTATTAATAGAGAAGAATAAAAGCAAATATGATGTCAAACAGTGAACATCAGAATGCAAAAAAGGTTGTGAAGAGTTATTTGTTTTTTGGGAATCTCGTGGCTTGCTCTGTTCAAAACCTCGTGGTTATAATGATATACTCACTATTTCAGATATCAATGAGTGTGAAAGCTCACCGTGTTTGAATAACGGCACATGCGTAGATCTGATTGACATGTATGAATGCAACTGCACCTCTGATTGGAACGGCACACATTGCGAGAATCTACTGAGTAAGCTTTTACTTAATAATAAAATGGACTTTATATTAGTCAGAGACATATAAAATATATGTTTTATATGTCTCTGATATAGTCAAGCGTTCTGAAATCAATTGTTGTAACCATGGATATTATGAAATCATAGTAAGATAACAATGGACTTAAAAATCTTATTCTACTAAAGCCTCTGGTAATGAGGCTGCAGGACGAGTTTATGATATAGACACAAGATCCTAAAGCTCTCACCTGGCTGGGAAACATGGTCACATGATCCCAACTAGACTTGCCATTTGTTTTTATTCAGATTATACAATCAGTATTTGCAAAAGTTTCATGTTCCATCATTCCTTTGCATATTCGTTTCAGATGATTGCTTTTTTCTGCCATGCAAAAATGGTGCTACATGTATTGATGGTGTCCAGTCCTACACATGTATATGTCATGAAGATTATACAGGCGAAAATTGTACAGAGCTAATAGGTGAAGAAAACTTTAAATATAAATCCGTAGAAAAGTGTGCCAATGGCTAAAAAAATCACGATATACCATGCACAGGGTGTCCATAAAATATTACAATTTTGATACAAATCCACTGGTATTGCACTCTTCAAACTAGAACCGAAACGACAAAATGTCAGTTTTTCTGGAAATTCTGCCTACAACTTCAAGGAGGATTGGCTCCCAGAGTGCACCACCGATATTCTGTCCCATATATGGGTATGTCGTTATACAAAATTCGAATTCAAACAGCCGCCATTTTGTTCACTTCAACATTTAAATCGTGAATTTTGGTCTTATTTCCAAACGAAAAATTCCAAAACTCACAAGAAATGATCGAGATATTGGTTCGAATCTTTTGAACTGTTTATTTTGAATTTATAGTCGGTTTTAATTTCAGAAAATAACGACATTTCGACGTTTTCATTGTTGGAAAATATCGAGTTTCGATCCTGGGAGCCAATCCTCCTTGCTACAACTTGTGAAATACGGAAAAAAGAAAAATCCTAACTTCGAAGTTCCCATAATTTGTTGCAGGTAATACACGCGGTGTCTGTGCAACAAAATGACCTGCTTGGTTTCTCGAAGCGCCATATTCACTGGGGAGTATCGTGATGCAACAACACCGTGTTGTTGCATCAAGATGGCCAGACTTCCGGTGATAGATTTTCGTACGATATTTTGTTTCCCCAATTAAACCCATTTCTAGGACGAGTTGCTCAATAACCATACACGTGCAGTTAGCGAACGATCTATATTTAAAGAAACTGTCATTAGTATACATGTACCATCACCAAGAAGCAATAAGTTCACGGTTTTAGTTCCTCACTATTGATGCAACAACACCAAACCGAAGATGCAACAACACTCCTCTAGATTTGAGCAATGATGCAGCAACACCAATTAATAGTATAATTTCAGAAGACCATAAATCTCGAGAGGAACAGATTTTTAAATGCTACTATTGCAATACAGTTACCAATTAGCCTACCCATATTTGCGTTCTTCTCAAGGCATTCAAAATACACGTCCTGTGGGCGAAGATCCTTTATATGTATTTTCAAAAATTTATACTTTTACATATTATAATGTACTGGACGTTATTCTATAACATAGTTCAATCGCCTTTAACATGGCAAGCTTTAGTAACCCAATCTATTTTCATAAACCACTGTTCCATAGCTTGATGGCCCTGACTCCAGTTAGTATCATTCAAAGTGGTGGACAAACATCTTTCGTTCTCGGTAAACATGATGAGCTATTGGATATTATCATGATATTATCTGTCATCCATCTGTGGAACAGTGATAAACTAGTAGATGTACAGGGGCGGATCTGGGAACCAACAAGGGGGGGGGGGGGGCCAAATTTCAGGTCAGAGAAAAACACGTCCGCGCTTGCTGGGAAAAAAATTTTGGGCCCCTAAAACCCAAAAGTGGGCCCAAATTTTGAAATTTAGAGGCCCATTTTCTTCAAAATTTGGCCTGAAATTAAAAAATAAGGCCTTAAAAGGCCCATTAATGATCAAAAAGGCCCACTTTTTGGGGCCTGAAGGCCTTTTTTGGCCCAAAATCTTTTTAGGGCCCAATTTTTTTTCTGGGCCCACCAAAGGGGGGGGGGGGCGGGCCCCCAGGCCCCCCCCCCCCTAATCCGCCAGTGATGTACGTTACCACTGTTTATCAAATTATAACTAAAACAGTTTAACTGTGACATTCGTGAGCTGATGTTGATGGGATGATTGCTTCATCTATGATATAATATGACATGATTCTTTATTTCCTACAATTTGGAGAGCCAACGTGTAAAAACGTCTAATTGATTTATTAGAGAGGCCGTTTAGTTACACGTTTAATGGAAATCTTGCACGACGCACATGTAGAATTATTGCTCTCTTTGGATTCCTTCTCTCCGACTGAGTAAAAAGGTAAACAAAAGTGATAAGATTTAGGGCCCAAAAAGGTAAATTGATAGGGGTACAGTTATCCCAGATATCCCGGGCCCTCGGGAAATATCATATTGTCTCTCGAAATAAAACCAATATTGAGTCCCTCTCAGTAAATAACTTTTATATAATAGCATTGTATAACTGCAATATCATTAAACCAACACTCATCCTATACAACTCTTGAGAACGATGTACAACTCCTGGATAGCGTAAACTCCTGAGCAGCGTATACAACTCTTCAACTTGATATATGACATCATACTTTGGGTGGGATAACAAAGGATATACAATATACAATTGTAGACCCCTCTTGAGGTCAACTGGCAAAATTGTATACCGATATTGTAAACGTTGAAAGTACTGTTGATCACTGAGACCAGATGTCGAGGACACTTTTGCCAGTTGACCGAAAAGAGAGGTTAACAATTGTTCTGTTAGTCCAAATAATATAATAATTGGACGAATATATAATCGAATATCACGTGAACATATTTGATAAGTAAAGGTATCATATTTTAGCAAAAAATCCCCAAACCGTCGAATACTTGTAATTTTTTACACAACTTATTTTTTCAAAATTAAAAAAATTTCAACATTAAAAAAACAATTTTTCAAAAATAGGGGTCAACAGTACCTAGTAGTGGTCAACAGTTTACAATTGTTGACCTCCCCAGAGGCCAACCGGCAAAATTGTATACCGAGACTGTAAACCGAAAAAATACTGTTGACAGAGACCGAAGGTCGAGGTCAACAGTAGTTTCAAGGTTTACAGTCGAGGTATATGATTTTGACGGTTGATCGAATGGAGAGGTCTACTATTGTTTTGTTAGTCCGAGTAAACTAATAATACACATATAGACGACGATCATCAATCGGCATGGCTTCATTTCACAACCTTTTCTCCGAACCACGTTAGCAATATTTTTTTAGAAAATATGGAGACAGTGCAAGAAGCTTAACTCTGTATTTGGCACATCACGGCGTACTCGTTAGTGAATTAATGTTAATTTTAAGTTTCTATTTGTATTTTTGCTATACTTGTCGCCTAGTAAAGTCATTTTCATCAACACTTACAAAATGTCCGTCTTCCATGATTTTTTGTGACGTCATGAAACTTTTTTTAGAAGTAGCGGTCAACAGTACCTAGTAGCGGTCAACAGTGTACAAATAGTGACTGCCATTGAGGGAAATAGTGCAAAATATTTTCCTCAAGGGAATATCCTGTCCACTGACATGTTCCCGAGGCTGCAGGCCGAGGGAACAAGTCAGTGGACAGGATATTCCCGAGAGGAAAATTTTTACACTATTTCCCGAAAATGTGGCAGTCAATATTTGTTTTATTATATACCTGATAAAGTGATAAGTACTCTGTAAACAAAAACAAAATTGAGAAGTCTTTTCATTTCAATATCAAATGTTCACAGGTTCTTATTGGCATTTAAAGGCATTTTACCTTTCAACTCCTATAATCTCAGATTTGGGGGAAGATAAAATGTACTATTGACTGGTCACATGACCTAACTGGTGATTAGTACAATTCATCTTCCAGAGGATTCCCGTTTTAAGTTATTATTGTTCAACATCAATACAGAAAACTCCCCTATCACTCCTAGTTCAAAAGCTCGCCTATTTTCAAAATGGTCGCCATTTTTGTCTCGCAAAATTGTATTGTAAAAAGTCATGTCATTGTAAAGAGTATTTGTATGAAATAATTTTGTTACAAAAAATCGGCAAAAAAGTATATCCTTTTTTTATTTTCTGCCATTTTAGCCATCATTCATTTTTGAGCAACACCATGTGAGCCCAGTACCCACAGTACTATTTATTTAAAAAATAGAGATTATGTACTAACTGCACGCATACGATTAAAGTAAAAAGTATATTCATTCCATGTACATGAAAAAAGCAACATCGTTATAGATTTACTAGGGTTAAATGGAAGAGCTGACCAGTACGCTTACTTTTGATTATCCCCGCGATAAAATATATTAGTACAATATTTTTATTTAGTTATATTGCCGAACGAGATATCCACTTAGTTTGTTTTTGTAAATGTTTTGATGGTTTTGTACAGAGATCGACGAATGTGAAAGTAATCCCTGTCAGAATAATGCAACTTGCTGGGATGGACGTTTCTTATACACCTGTACCTGCCCTCGTGGATGGGAAGGGGTCAATTGTGAAAATAGTAAGTTTTTTCAAGGATTGCTTACAGGGTGTCCCAGAACTCATGAGAATTTTTTGAGGGAGATATAAGGCATGAATGATTTTCCTTCAAATTAAGTGGACTTAATAAACAAATATTGAGGAATAACTGACATGAATTTCAGGCACATATCTTTTATATTTCCGAATATATTGACATTTGAATTCTACATCGCCACAAACCCCGGAGTAGTCAGAGAAATACAACAATTTACGTCACATTTTGATAATATTAATATTAATATTTACACAACTTCTCTACTCTAATAGCATTGTTTTCATTGAATTATTTCAGCGTTTCAGTACATTAATTAATAGGATCATACACATTCAGCTAACGTATCTCCACGGAGTTATTAGAGCATATTATCTGCAGTTGATGTCGTCTTTTCAGCTACTCTATACACATTCCCAAATCGTCCAATAGCCATTTCTGTAAGGTCCTCTGAAACAACATGACTCAATTCTTCCTCTGTTTCAGTAACATGGCTCACTAATCTTTGTTTAAGGTCCCCAAAGAAATCAAAAGTCTAGTAGAGCATATCTGGCAAGTATATGGAGCTACTATAAACTGTGAAGTCTCAATAGAAAGTAAATTGGATACACTACTGACATGCATGTAGTGACTTATTCACTGGTGCATTGTCAATATGCAAGATCATATTGGCTAGCAAATGGGGACATTTCTTTCAGTCCTTAGGAACATGTCATTATGATCTTTCAGCAAACCAATTGTACAATCTGTTGATGTATCGGGTCTCTATCAAAGTTTATATATCGTTTTATCAAAGTGCATCATCAATATGAGAAAAATGCTGAACTGAGCTTATACAAAAAACATTGGTTTTATAGTTGAGAATTTGTATAAAATTTACAAAATGTGACATAAACTGTTGTATTTTCCCGATAACTCCGGGGTTTGTGGCGATGCATAATTCAAATGTCAATAAATTCGGAAATATAAAAGATATGTGCCTGAAATTCATGTCAGTTATTCCCCAAAGTGTGTTTAATAAGTGTACCAAATTTGAAGAAAAATCACCCATGCCTTGTATCTCCCTCAAAAAATTCTCATGAGTTCTGGGACACCCTGTATTTATAAGACATTTTTACTGATTTACAGAGATTTATTTGTGTTTCAAATGTTGCCCAAAATATGACATTAATACATGTTCGACTTTCTTCATGGGCTTCCATAGAGAGAATCTTTTTTGAAAAAATATATTTTTCATCAATTCATGATTGAGTTTCTTCATGGGCTTGTTTTTTTTAAAAATTCATTAATAGTGCAAGACAAATGCAGATATATATTCAAATAAGCCATGAAAAAAGCACAGCTGCTACATTTGTAAGGAAACCACCTTCAAATCATGAAACACCTAGACATATCATCCTCTTGTACTTACATTGCTCAGTTATTTTCTATTCTATGTTGTATGATGTGTACTTTGGGCATGAAAATAGATAATGAGGTCAAATACATGCAATGACTCAAACATTTTTCTAATCATTTTTATATGATTTTTGATCACTCTGATTACATCATGAATACGCAGTTGCTAATAAGTAGCCTGTAATTGGTTATACATCATATTCAAATAATATACGTAATTCGTGTCCAGGGTTCGAACAAACTTATGAGAAAATCATGAATGTGTTCTCGCTAAAGATTCTAGCTTATTGTCAAATAGCAAATTAGTCGCCATTACTCCCATTCAGTAACAGGAAGTTAAACGTATATTGCATGTCATTATTCGCTTACAAGTACAGGTACGTGACGAAGGTAACAAGACCATTCAACCCCTTTACAACTCATCCCTGGACACCTCAGTCTTTAGACCACTCGACTCCTCTATCTCCTAGGCAACTCTGATAACTTATCTCCTTGACAACTCATCCTTTAAAGGAATATTCCTTGCCAAACCATCTCTCTCCTCATATGGTAGCTATAACCATAAATATGCTTGCCATGTTTAGCAAAACACGCAAAAATGTTTTGATATGGTCAAATTTGATCACTTAGAAATGTGATGCTCAATTCCAGTAAGCTGCCATCTTTTAAAATTTCACACAGGAAGTGATGTCATCGACTCTCAACTTTGCATATAGCATTAGGTGAGGAGCTATTAAGAATTACAAAACCAGCTAAATATTCTTTTTCAACTTTGTATCTTATTTTATCCTTCTGAAAATCTCTTCTTTTACTCTAAGTTGACAAGCCCTGAAAATATTTTTGCTCAGAAAGTAATGATCACTTGTCTAGAAGTGATTTTGTGCTACTTTCCTATACTGTTATGGGCAAGGTTATAGAAGTTGAGAGTTGATGACATCACTTCCTGCAAGAAATCTTAAAAGATGGCAGCTCACTGGAAATAAGCACTAGATTTTTAAATGATCAATATTGACCATATTAAAACATTTTTCCATGTTTTGCTAAATATGGAAACTATATATATGATTATAGCTACCATATCAAGAGAGAAAGGGTCTGGCAAGGAATATTCCTTTAAGCGTAAGCGAAAATTTCACTGATGCATACATATTATCATTGACACAAAATGGAAGTGCCACTTTAAGATATTAGCTTCTATGCCTGAGTCCAAGCCCTGAGAAATCATTTGAAAATCAAAAATAAATGGATAATACAGGTATAGGTAACAATTCAAAGAATATCAAATCATGTACAAATAAAAATCTCCCTGTATCTTTGTGTTGTGACCACTTATAGTGTAAATGTCTTGTTAAGGATGACGAATGACATCGCTTGGGAACTATTCATTGTTACTTAGGTTGACCTACTTATGATACAAAATACAAATACATCTAGCTTAATTCTAACCATACTTTTCATCATTCATCTGTAGGGACTGAGCCACCGCCCGATTGCCTTCCTCTGGAGACACCAACAGACGGCTATGTGATACACAGGGGAAATGGCAGTACAGGGACTAATACGACGTTTGGATGTGATCCTGGTCATTTACTAGTTGGATCCAGCACACGTGTTTGTATTGGTAGAAATACTAACAAGTGGTCTGGCTACAAAAACAACTGTGCCAAATGCTGTAAGTAATAATGTACTGGTGTAAATTAAAAACCTTCCACAAGGAACATTGTCCATATTGCATTGTTGAAGCCTATATAATCCCTGAGTATGACCATCACTCGATGATGTAGACGTATAATAGGCCATCATATGTGAACCCAGGCAAGAAGCGCTTGTACTCTGGCAATGTACCAATTCACATCAGAATGTGAGATTAACATATCTTAGTATTTGCAATATGTTGGGCACGTAAAAACAAAAATCATTTTAAATTCTATTGGTTCATGAAGTCAATGAACCAGCCATCCATGATCTTCATAAGAATAGATCAATGTATACTGACATAAATATGTGCAAAGTTCAATTGCACATATGACGTACATAACCGGTCATAAGTAACCAAACCACCAACATCCCAAACAATGATCTAACATACAAAGGAAAATACCTAACTTCCATATTCATAAGTTAACTCAATATCAGCATTTTTATAGAGGCTATTATTATTTACAGGTGATGATGCATGTAACATCACAGCACCAGCTAATGCCATGATTGTTGCCAGTAGTGGAGGTTATATAGGTCACTGGACTGGTCACATGTGCCTCGAGGGTTACATACAAGAGTCTGGTACAAATTACAGAATGTGTTTCGCACGTCCTAACATGTGGACTGGAGATGGGCCTATCGTATGCACTTCGCCCGAGGGTGAGAAGATAAAGCTATAAAATAAAGATCACGTGTACAATGTACATTAAAACAAGAAGTGGCCTTCTTTCAATCGTTAGCAAAATTGAAAAATTAATCTTTCAAAGCCTTTTGAAATGCTGCAGTTACGCTTTGCTATTCCTGGTTATGTTCAAGAGGACCAGTAAATTCTAACCTAGAGAATCTTCCTTTAGTTGCTTGGCTTCTTTCCAATGAGAAATAAAAATGCTGATCGTGAGATTGTTTGTTCTTTCAGGATGATTTGTTCAGGTGAACGAATAAATATTCTTAGTGTTAATACATAATTTTCAGTGATCCCATCGTTTCCAAGTGTTTACATGGGATTTGCTACCGAAGTGGAGTTGCTTTCTACCCTTTGCATTCGTTCGACTTCACTTCTTAAAAGAGAGCATCATTCAAACGCTGTCTATCTTTTTGCAGACTTCGTATGTCCACCCGGAGAAACAAGATTCTATGAGAATTACTACGATTGTACTAGATACTATAGATGCTTCAATGGTCAGCTCTCTGAACTACAATGTCCTTTCAATTTGGCGTTCGACATAAGGAGGGCGACAAAGAGGGGCACGAACGCATATAGTTGTACACAGCAATTTAGAATAGCAAACTGCCGTCATACTTATAATAACATTTAAAAGACGACATTTCAGATTCAGATAGACTATGATGTTAAACAGAATTTGTCCAGTAGTTGCATAACATCCAAACGCATTAATGACAGCTATACGCATTAATCCAAATGGCTCGATATTTTAAAATAAAAAAATGTTACTAATGTCTCATCAAGTCTCTGACCCCCCCCCCTCCCCCCTAGTGGAGGTGAGCGGTGAAGGGAATTATAATGAACTCAAGCAAGACTGACATGTAACATTAGAGTTTTTGAGCAAGGCATATAAAATTGAAACGTCAACCTGTACGTATAAATTGCCCTATTATACACGAATGCACGTAGTTTCTCACATAAACAATTGTTCAGTTACAGTGTTTACATAGTCCGTTTCTTACCTTGTATTCGCGAATGCAACTAACGCCTGTCGGCTACCGGATTAACCTACTTAACTATTTTATGACCAACTCATTTAGGTTAAACCGGTAGCCGACAGAGGTTAGTTGCATTCGCGAATAAAAGCTTAGACTACGCACCCGGGACTACACATCATCGTGTAATATGCCATTGATAGTACATGTAGCTGGTTTTCTATGATAGATATTTTAAACAAGCTCGTTTCGCAATGTCGCATTTTGCCCCAATTTAAGATTAATTCTCAAGTTTGCAAATATCAGGTTAATACGACGATCATGACGTCATGTTATGACTGACAACTTGTCGTAATAGCAAGAATAAGTGTAGACAAATAACGGAGGGCTATATAACACTTTTAAAGATATGACGGGACAGTCCATACCCAATTAAGGTTCACTGATTAATGTTCGGTATTTTCGAATGAATTTAATTGAAATTGGAATTGGAATGGAAGGGCATTGCTGGTTTATTGGAAAATAAATGTATTAAATGTAATATGAACTAAATCATAAACAATGATGTTCTGTACATTTGAGAAAACACGAAGGACATTAGTGTAGGGGAGTGCATTCAACAATCATCGACCAGTGTCAAAATATATTTAAGTTTGGATATTTCGTCATCAAGACTAACATTATATATATATATATATTTATTATCTTCAAAGAAACCCCCTGGATGAATATCATTTCAGCTGATATTCCTCTCGAAACGTGGTGGATCTTAAAAAGCTATAAGTCGGACTCCCTTGTGGTCCATATCGGCAAAAAGACATTGATATTTTGGAGCAAGGACAGAGAAGAGTAGTCAGGTTGTATATCCAAATGCCACTCAAGAGAACCAGGCTGCGTCACCAAATCACTCCAAGGCCTGCAATGGGATTCACTAAAAGAGCGTATGAAAATGAACTTTTTATTATTTTTTCTCTTGATTCAAACACTTTGGAAGTGCATAGAAATCCGCTGAATAGCAATATACCAATACGCGATAACGTTTAATTTCGTTCAGTTTAGCTGCTTCCCGTTTGAAGAGCTCTCATGTATGGTACAACTTCGTCTACATCCGGGTTCTTTCCCATTGGATTACACAGGGGTGCTATTTTCAATGCCGCACTGCGACTCTATTAAACATTTATGTAGAGTTTCATTTGCACAAACGATAGGTATGTATGCAATTAAGATATATGACAAAGCTCTTTGAACTATTATCCCAAAATCCGAAGAAATCTGTAGTTGAAAATGCCGTCCAATTCCAGTGACGTCACTGATATCCCAGAAATTGCTCAGACGCCATCGAAGATAGAAAAAACATAAATAATGTTACTTTGAATCTCCGATTATCTTTCTGATTATTGAATAGATTGGATTATATAACTATGCTTGAGGGCTTATGGAAGATCAGAAGCTGAGAAACGTTCAGAGTAATCGACTCGTTCGGCGGGCCAATGAAAAGTTGTCCCTTCCAAAGCGATGCATCATGGGAGATATTTATGTAAATTACCACCTGAACTCATATCGCGAATAGAATAGCATTGTACCCCTTGCACCCTCGCACCAGAGAACAGTGGAAATAAATATGTTTTAATTTTTTATTGTCTGAAACAAAAAAAGTTTCAAGAAATCATCCCAAAACAATTCTGTAATAATTCTGATTTTTTCTGTTGTCTCTAACACTTAGAGTACTTGTGAAAGGATCTGTCAAGTGTCATTCAGTATAAATTAGATAAATCGAAAAATTGACTTGGTATAACACATATTGATATATGATCATCACCAATTTTCTCCAATTATGAGCCAATTTTCACCAAAAATGCAGCATTTTATATCAATTTTTACGACTTAATTGCCATGATTTACCGCTCAAGGGGGCTCGTACGAGCCACCTTGATATCTCCCTAAAAAAATGTGGAGTAGTGGATCTAATCCCATTAAAAATGCATGATTATTGATGTAGTTGTTTGGTAGATACCCGGGTAGATATACAGGCCCGTAGCCAGAACGAGACCCCAGAGCCCCCCCCCCTGATATCTCCTAAAAAATGTGGACCTACCTTTTTGCTTCCTTGAAGTAAAACTTGCTCTTCCCCACATTCACTGAGCAATGAAGATTAAAAACTGGCATAATTGTGCATTGTTTTTCGAATTTGGGGATTATTTTTTAAAATTTGGCCCAATTTTTTTCGCGGACATATTTGTGCCCCTTTCCCTCTGTTTTTTAGGATCTTCCTTTGTGTTTTGTTAAACAAAGCCTTCTGGCGGTTCCAGGAGGGGGGGGGCATGGGGATGGGCCCGGAAAAAATGTTGGCCCAAAATGTTGTAGGGCTTCTTTAGTGGGTCTTTTTGGGCATTATTTTTTCAATTTCAGGCCAAATTTTCAAAAACAGGCTATAAATTTTCAAAATGTTGGCCCGAAATTTTGTTTAAGGGCCTTAAAAAATTTTAAGCGCGGCCCTAAGGATGGGCCCAGGAAAAAAACGTTGTGATAAAAATATTGTAGGGCCTCTTTAGTTGGCCTTTAATTGACCTTTTTGGCCTTATTTTTTAATTTTAGGCTAAATTTTCAAAAAACGGGCCATAAATCTTCAAAATTTAGGCCCAAATTTTGGTTCTAGGGCCCTAAAAGGTTTTCCGCGCGCCCATAGGATTGGCCCAGAAAAAAATATTGGCCCAAATTTTGGTTTAAGGGCCCTAAAAAGTTTTTCTGCGTTTTTTCCTGACTTGAAGTGTGCCCCCCCCCCCCCCCCTTGTTAGCTTCCGGATCGGCCACTGTCCTCAATACAACAAAGGGGCTTGTTTTAGCATGGGAAAATTTTTTGAGGGGGTTTGCGGGGGGGGGGGTTCGAGCCCCCCCCCCCCCTTTCAAAAAGCTGGCTACGGGCATGTATGAGATACAGCATGAGGCGTCACGCCTAACTATAATATAAAATTGCGTCCGCGGCCCTATTTTTGTGAAAAAATAAGCCAACGTTCGTATTTTTGAGCGTTCGGGAATTTACTGCATTATTAAAAGGTGAAAACAAATTTCTGACTTACGATAAGATAAAACATCTTTAAAAACGATCTAGAGTAGTAATGAAATAGGCACCAGGCAGATTGAAGGTGAGATTTTATTACTCTGATGCAAGTGAACTGTTTTATTTTTTTTACTTTCAGCCAGGTAGGCTTAGCATTGTAGTTGTAGACGAATTCACGGACTTCAAATTTCAATTCAACTAGGCCTACATTCTCCGAACTCTTTCTCCCAAGATTATATGTATTTAAACAGGAAACAATTTTCAAAAAATAAAGTTACGTTTTTAGATTAGCTCATCTTGGTGACTTGAACTCGGGCAGCTGCATTTACCAGACGAGTACAGCAGGGGGGAGATTTCCCGAAGATTTCCTTTCGTATTGGCACGTTCGAAAACAAATTTTATTAACAGGCCTCATTTGCCATTGAAATGGATCTCCAAATGTTCGCTGCAGTTTTATGAGTATTCTCTAAAAGTATGGATCGAGTAACAGGGGCGTAGGAAGGTGTAAATTCAACACTACGCCAAAAATCCCGCCAAAAAATATGAAACAATAACGCAGATGCGAGTAGGTAGTTACCAGTTTCACCACTAGGTGGCTCGTTCTGGTCAGATAGCATGGCGGGTATAGAAGGAAGTTCCCTTTAACTTAAATTACTTCTGTTTTTGTGGTTCAATTTTCATATAACCCTTATGTATCTAATAATTATGCAAATTAAAATATGTCCAGTAAAAGAAAATGTTATCTGTCCAATACAAGAAAAGATATTTCACTTTTTGTGATTTTGTAATATGGGGTCTATGGGGAATCAACCCGAAAAAGAAGTCACATTTTCAAAAAAAATTAAGTTTTCAAAGTTGATAAAAACTTTCGAAACCATATTTTTAGATGTACTTTTACATGTAGATTTCAAATATGACATCACTTTGTCTGCATTTTGAATATTTAATGACGTAAATCAAGATTATTTCTACTCGCATCTGGTCTATTGTGTCAATATTCTATATCAAAACGCCTATATTATGTTCGTAAAACGTCATTTTATGGTAACAGAGGTTTTAAGCTTGCAATATTCACAACCTAAATGTGAACGAAAATTTGTATTTGTATTTGTATGGGCGATTGGTCATATGTATAGGTTGACGTTTCGATTTCATATGCAAGCTTTAAATCCCCGATACCTTTTTAATGTGCTTTAAAATGTTCGAATGATTTTCATCATTTAAAATCACCTTGGAAAGCCTATCTTTTAAATCTCGACACAAATCATTCTCACTTTGCTAATGTCTCGAACGATTGAGACGACCAATTTCAAAAAAATAATTAGAGATTTTTTAATCATTTTCGAATAATTGAATTAAGATATATAGTATTGTCGGATTCCATCGTGTACCGTGCAATACAATACGTACAGATTAAAGAAACAAGTTTGATCAATTGATATAAAGAAACGCATTCGTGATCAATGAAACAAATAAACGCACCCACCACAAAGGTCAAATCGAGGTCAACGTGACTTAGGGGATGCCAAAAAATGTTATAAAACAAGAATCTATTATTTTTCAAATGAAAAAAACTAGGTTATCGCTTTTCTAGAACTGAAATCAATGGAACGCGTAATTGAATAATCAGCATTTTCAAGTTGTTTTTGTCTTTAACATCCATATTTCAAAAAGTACTACCAACAATAAGTGATTTAGTAAGAAAATAGATATTTGTTGACTTAACTTTAATTTCGTGTCTATGATTTTGCATAGCAACGGAATATAAATCGATAGTGAAATTGAAAAATTAGGGTAGGGGAGAATAAAAAAAATATACATCTAAATTTAAAGAGGTTCATCATTATAATTATATGATACCATAGTTAGCATAAGCATTACGGAAAATGCAGAAAAAATGTCAAAGGTATTCATCAAGTAGTTTTTGAAAAAAAAACAGTTTTCCTCTCAAATTCGTAAAGAGAACGCGATTCACGAATATTTGGCGAAATTGTATTTATAAGACAGTCAATAGTGGCTCGATTTTCATGAAATAAAGCATGTTGGTAAGGGAATTCAATCTGTTAAATGATATTTGCCAGACAGACCAATAATGATATGGTATCCACAAAACATTTCTTTAGGCTAGTGTGCTCGAGATTACTTTTACAATTTAAACAATGAGAAAATATGACTAAAGAACATAGGAAAATTAAAAAGTCTTTTTTATTCTCACTTTTCAACACTACGCACTGGCGTTTTGGCGTACATTGTTCCTACGCCACTGAGTAACTACGTGCAGTTGGGGACAAAAATAAATGACAGGTCGATTTTCAATCACCATTTCCTAATTATGGTGGTCTGAAAGCCCATAATTTCCAATATTGTCTAGATATATATCCCTTAAAATTTGTATATTTTACATTTTGTATAATCTCATCCACTGATGTATGGCCTCTTGTAAATTCTCTTATTTTTAACATGGGAAATCCTCACTTCAGCAAATCCACCTGTCATTTATTTATGTCCCCAACTGTAGGTTTGAAATGATGATGTTGAACTGATGTTAACACGATTCCCACGATTTCAAATTTGACTTTGCGCATGCGCAGCACTGAGAGACCAAGTGCTCGTGATTGTTCAATTGATCACATCTTGCAATTTGATTGGAAATGATGCGGGAGATGATGTAATGGGGAATCCCCGAATACGATAGAATATGAAAGAATTGTGGGAGCTACTCACTTCTTTTGATAAAAAGGTTTATATTCATCATGTCAAGTCTTAAACGGTGAACACCGCCTCTAATGCGTTGGATTGTCTGGGGCCAACACGATCCTCAGTGACCCAGAGGGTGCATGAATGCACCTAGTCAAGTGTAATCTTAGTATGTTGAAAGTTACACCAACTAATTATCAGCTCTACCACATTATTAAATTGGTTTGCTCTAATTTTGGATGGTTGGGCAAAGGTTAATCAGTGTTCAAAGCTAGAAAATGTCCATCAAAATATATTATAAGTATATAATAACTTTTTTTAGAATTATAAATCACTTTCTACATTAAATAAGAAGTACACATATTTTAAAGCATATTTGACTGTCATTAAAATGTGTCCCTTGCAGTTTAAGGTGTTAGGAGGTTCATTTTGATTGAAATATTAAGCGAATAAATTTGGAGATACCAGTACCTCCTGTTTATTGTCAGGCACCTGATGAAAATACTGTCAACACTTAAGTGAAATAAATTACCTGGAATTTTTTGAAATTCGAACTTTTGGAATTTCATGGCTATTATTTTTTGCGAAAAGTGCAAAATATAGTAGCACAAAAAAATTACTGGGAGTACAGTAAGCGCTACGCTCTAAAGACAATTTTACAGATCTTCGGCCCCACCCCCACTGCTTGTGGCCATCCATCTTAGCATGGGCCATAAATCAATTCAAATCAACTGTGCTGACATTTGAGGGATTCATCTGAAATTTTTAGGGATGTTTCTACATATCAACGTCAAGAACTGATTAGTTTTTGGGCATTCTGGGTAAATTTTAAGGTGGCCATTTTGGATTTTCCGTCCTAAAATCTTTACTTTCAAGACTTGTCTACAGGTTTCCAGCCAAACCTTTTGAGGGATTCATCTGAAATTTTCAGGGATGTTTCTACATATCAACGTCAAGAACTGATTGGTTTTTGGGCATTCTGGGTAAATTTTAAGGTGGCCATTTTGGATTTTCCGTCCTAAAATCTTCACTTTCAAGACTTGTCTACAGGTTTCCAGCCAAACCATTTTAGGGATTCATCTGAAATTTTCAGGGATGTTTCTACATATCAACGTCAAGAACTGATTAGTTTTTGGGCATTCTGGGTAAATGTTAAGGCTGCCATTTTAGATTTTCCGTCCTAAAATCTTGTCTATCGAGGCTTGTCTACAGGTTTCAAGCCAAACCGTTCAAATTTTTATATAAGTTACACAGTGATAAGTTCTAGAGCTGATTAACTTTTCTGCGGCCATCTTGCTTTCTTGGTCAACAAGACCACAATGCTGTGTTTTAGGTACGATATTGTTCACGTCTGTGCCTTGTTTATGTAAGTATTGTCTCTTGACAATTTTCTCAATAAGTCAGCCATTTTGAAAAATGGTGGTCATTTTCACATTTGTCATTTTACATATTTCGATTGCTGGCAGTCTTGTCTGATGCTTATCTGATGTTATTAGATGAAATGTGTTTGCCTTGGTCTTGCCATTAGCTAAATGATTACTATTTTAATAATGGACAGGAAACTTGATTATTAGATATTGCATTTATTAATCATTCAGTCCGCCTTTTTTTCTTGATTTTTTGCTACCTATTCAGCCAGGAACACATTAATTTCCTCGCCTAAAATATTAATAAGTAAGGAGTTGACCAAACTCTTTCATTCAAACTCTTAAAAAAGCTATAGGTAATTTATGCAGGGAGGGGAGACTGAGGTAATAAGGATTGTTGGGCAAGAAGGGCCACTCAGCTTATTTTTTCGCTTTGAAATATATGTTTCCTGTATTATCTCCTGATGGGAGGTCCTCACTTGACTTGGATTTTTCATCCAAAGTAGCCTTTCCTGCCTCATTCATTTAATTATGTGGTAAACATTTTTGTCAAAGTATCACACGGAATGCCAAAATTGTCACTAGTTTTATGGTCAAAAATCTAAAGTATTCTAACCATTGGTTTTAGAGTTGATTAGATTTAAGGATGCACCTGGAGGTGGAACTTCCTGGGAGACAAACTAATTTGTTGTTGTTAAATATTAATTGAAATAATAAATTTGTATATTTGTATTTATAAATATATATAAAAAACACCCATTTTGACTCCTACATTACCTACCACCTATCAACATGCCTTTCATAATGTAGCAACACATCAAAATATTTATAATTATATTATTTCATTTGGATATTTTTAACTTTAAATAATTGTTCATTAATTATCCCAACGAACGAAGTTCAGTAGGGATATAGTAAAGCATTCCATCTGTCAGTCTGTCCATACACAATGAATAATCAATAAAAATCATAATAATAATCATAAAAAAACTAGAAAGACAAGGATTTAGAACACGCAAATTCGTCTAGAAGGAAAAAGAAGTTAATAGAGCAAGTAAAAGGGAATTAAAGCTTGTAAAGTTACCACATTTTGATCAAGGCCACAAAAACCGAGTAAACAACAAAAGGAAAAAGAATGAGTTTAATGGAGCAAAGACAATGACAGATAAAGACAATTGAAGAATAAGAATGGCCATGTCGCTAATGTAGCATACCAAACCATTCTCCTTTAGTTAAGCTCTTCTGAGCCTGGAGGCCGTGTTCCCAGTGAAGCAGGTGGCGCTTAAATTGGCCAAACACGGGTCACAGTGGTTTGATATGGCACATTGGTGAGGTATACCACATGACTAAGAATAAAATAAATTCCAAATAAGAAAAACAAAGAGTTAAAAGAACAAATGTATTCTCAAGCTAACAATACAAGCAGCAACCTAAAGACGTCCACCTGTCCGTCCAGAAGATAACTTGAATCCTCACGCTCGGTGATCGTACAAAATGGATGGAGGGGGGATTAGGCAGTTTCTGCAAGAAAACTTAACAAATTTGGAAGATTTACTTTTTCAAGAGAAAATTTACAACTGAATTGCCAAATGAATAGGCGCAGTGCATGGCAAAATATGTTAGGTCATCTAGTATTTTTTTGAACTGATACCCTTCTAAGATATGAGATCTATTAAAAAAGGCGCATCATCACCAACATGCAAAGGTCAATGTTTTTGCTATAAATCGGCAACAATGGTCTACACTCTGTAATAATTAGGTATAAGGGACGTTATTAAAACAATACTAATGACATTGCTCACTTCTTAAAGTCAGTTTCCATGCGTTATACAAAAAAATCGAAATAAATTAATATTGGATGGAGGGGGGATAGAATGGAGGGGGGGGGGTTTATATGTCTTTACTATGGAACAAATTCACAAGAACTCATGTATTTGAAAAAACTAAACTCAGTACCCCATTAAGAAACTGGATATTATATCTTTGGAGAATGAAAAATGGGAAAATTTGGAGTCATAAGAATAAATTCAAGTAGCATGTCTTATCATGTCTTATATACACGTTATCCCCCCCTCTCCAATATTAAGTTATTTCGACTGTTGTTTTACTGTTGTTTTATTGTCTAGATTACGTAAACATATATATACAGAAATATACACAGAAATATAAACACGGATTATAAACCTCAAGGTGACATATACAGATTCATGAATATTTTGCATGAATTACTCAGATGCGAGTAGGTAGTTACCAGTTTCGCCACCAGGTGGCTGATTCGGGGGAATTAACATGGCAGGGTATTACAAAATTCCCTTAAACTTGAATATGCATCAGTTTAAGTGGTTCACTTTTCATATTACCCTTACGTATCTGATAGTTATACAAATTAAAACATGTCCAGTAAAAGAAAATATTAACAGCCCAACACAAGAAAAAATATTTCACTTTTTGTGGTTTTACAACATGGGGTCTATGTGGAATCTCCCCCACCTAGAAGTCACATTTTCAAAGAAAATTAAATTTTCAAAGTTGATTTACTCTTTTCAAAACCACATTTCTAAATGTAATTTTACATGTAAATTCCAAATATGACATCAGTTTGACTGAATTGTTAATGAAGTAAATCAAGATTATTTCTACTCGCATCTGGGATATCGTACATGTATATGATATAGGAATGTAGTTAAATACTTCAAATATCATTTTTTATCATACTTTTTCTGTTTTAGAAACATACTGCTGAAGGTTAACCTTGAGAACTCGTAATGGAATTCAGAGCTTACATTCTTTTGCTCTCTCTCATATGCCTTGGTAAGTCTGCATTCGATAATTATTTTTCTATCATTTAATTCCCATTGAAAGAATTACATGTAAGTTCAGGAATGATATAGAGAAGCTAATCCCTCATTCATTCATCTCAGTGAAAACTCAAGTACCAGTTGACAGATTAGATTCAAATTTTACAGGCTGTGCCATATCCTCATGGGATTTCTATTCAAGAAGGAATTTTTAATATGGTGTCATATCATGTCATTGGTTATATCTATCATGAAATATTCATAATTACAAGTGATTTGATAATATGTGTTTTGTTTAGTGGGACTTGCTACCCCGGGTGTGGAGTTGCTGTCAATGTTCTGTTTCTTTTACAGCATCTGCGGCCACTAAAGAAAAAAAGCCTGTGATTTACACTGGGCCAGTGCAGCCTCTAGAGAATGTCAATTGTTACATGTGTACAGTAAGGATGAAGAACTCAATGGTATATGAAGGGCATCAGGATTGTCTTCAAATTGATTCAAACAGGACATCCATTAAGGCTGAGCCTTGTCTTGCTGGCTTCTGCTCTGTAAGTATGAAGAAATTATTTTAGGCTTTACTTCCACTTGAGGATTTAAACCCTGGACTCCATGCAATGTGGAATAATCATTCCTTCAAGGTATTGCTTTCTAAAATTTGCACGAGATGCGCAGTTGTAGCATAGTGTTAATTTTAGGAAACAATGCCTGAAACGCCACTTTTTTTACTTCATATATTCTGTATCTGCATGCTGTTGGATATATCATATACACATGTATGTACTCTGCATATACCAACAGAAGGTTGGTTGAGATGTATTGTGAAGCCATACATAAATAAACAATAGGGTATCATTTCTCCGATCTTTCAGCGTCGCTTGTAAATTACAAGAAAAAAAAAGGGACCATACATAAGAAAAATATTTTGAAAAAACAGGCCTCTTTGTAATTACAATTATGATAAAAATAGGAAGATAATTACTCTCAGCAATATATAATAGTTATGATTAATATTTATGACATATTGTTGAAAACAACTTATAGATGAATGTCCTTGGGTTTACACAGCTTACATAACTTATTATTCAGAAAATACATGTACACATTAGATTCTGCTCTGCAATATATTAAGCTCTAGTTTATCAAAGCCGTCTTGCCATTAATTTGTAATTTCAAAGTGAAATGAGTCAAAGGACGATTCTCGGTTTGGAGAAAAGTCTCCTGGGCTAATAATTTTTTTCATGAAAAATATAGAAATATTACCCAAATTAAACTATGAATATTCAAAAGAGGACATTTAGATCTACAAGATGTAAAAATAACAAATTGGTCTGAAGCAGGGATAACGCTCAATTTGACCGATTCAATAAATTACAAGTCTCGATTTGGGGAAAGAAGTTCATCAGTGTACTGCGCGAATATTTTTTTGCGAAAAATTTAGAAATATTACCCAAATTAAATTATGACTATTCAAAAGAAGACATTCAAATCTATATTATGTAAAAAAATCAAATTTGTCCGAAGCAGGGATAATGCTCATTTGGATTGATGAACTTCGTTCTCCAAACCGAGAATCGTCCTTTCAATTAATGTGTTTAAGATTCAAATTGGCCCACTTTGCAAAACTAATGTTTTTAAGATTCTGATTTTTAATCTATATAAAGTTATATTTGATAATTGGCCCATTTGGTTAAACTAAATCTACCTAAGACTGATTTCGACTTTTATGGTCAGAAACTGAAATTCAAGGCTACATTTCAAACCTTACAAAATTAGAATACATTTCAAAACTTACAAAAGTATTACCTTGAAGACTGTAATAAGTAATAAGTCTGTAATAAGTAATAAGGAAATCGATGGATTGAGGATATTACATTATGTGTGTTCCAGATCATGCGTATAACACAGGGAGATGTGATGACTGTATCAAGGATGTGCCTTCCCCATTGTAAGGTTACAGACAAAACAGACCTCGTAGGTGGCTATAGATCAATTGTTAACTGTTGCACCACAGACAAGTGTAACTCGGCCCAAGCCATCAGGGTTGGGTTCCTCACCATCCTCATGGTGTTCATCATGAAATTTTTATAAAGTTTGCAGTGGTTAATGTGCGCGGGTTGTTCAATAAATACTGATACAAGTGCTCTAATTCTTTTGTTTGTAAGGGAATCAAGATGAAATTTTGTATGAAAACTTTGTACAGTTGGGGACAAAAAGAAATGACAGGTCGATTTTCGATCACCATTTCCTAATTATGGTGGTCTGAAAGCCCAAAATTTCCAATATTGTCTAGATACATATCCCTTAAAATTTGTATATTTTACATTTTGTATAATCTCATCCACTGATTTATGGCCTCTTGTAAATTCTCTTATTTTTAACATGGGAAATCCTCACTTGAGCAAATCCACCTGTCATTTATTTATGTCCCCAACTGTATCATTTTGGAATTTAATTTCAAACTGGTCAGGCTAAATTAGTTAAAATTGTATGCAGCATGAAGGGACATTGCACAGATATGTGTTTGATCATTATATGATTACACCTATTACACAGTGATTTATTCTCTGAAAAACATTGAAGGAGATAATCTTCTTTAGCTCGAGGTTCGTGCTATAATATTGCATTGTATGATGTATAAGTGTATGATATGTTATTATGTTGCTTCAGTAATTATCCCAACGAACAAAGTTCGGTAGGTATAGTGAAACCCTCTGTCTGTGGAATTTTGCAATAAAGAATGGGTATCGATATGGCAAACTTTTTGAACACATGTCTCTCTTAAACCGGTCATCAAAAAATTCTGAAAATCTTACAAGTTGTCAATTTAATGACCATCTTTTGAATGGTAACAATATAATTTGAAATAGATATACATACTTTCATCTATATTGTTTTAAAAAACACATCAAACACTTGTTCTGTTCTTGGTATCATATTTCCAGGGTGAAATGAAACATCTTTCCGAACCTCATTGGAACAAAACGACATAAACACAACATGTTTAGGTCTCTCAATATTGTACAAAGGAAATTTTGGTTGATTTTAAAAAAGTATCTTGTTAATGAAATAAAAGTTTTTTCTTGATTTTAATCTATTTAAGGGAATTTTGTTTTAATTTTTTCAATGCTTTTTTAAAATCAACCAAAAATTCCTTTGTATAACTTTAATATTGAGAGGTCTAAAACATGTATATGCTATTTTGTTCCAACAAGGTTCGGAAAGACATTTTATTTCATTCTCAAGAATTGGTAGAAAGGAGCAAAAACAATTGCACTAAAAAAAACAAAATGTTAACAAAAACAGTTATACAAAATATTTCTAAATAGTTTTCGCATGAAATTGTTGTCAATCAGTCAACATTACATAAAATACCATGTTTTTTTACAGAATGTTTTCAATGATTCAACGAATGAGAGAAAAACATTGTTGAATTCAGTTCTCCATATCGATACCTATCCTTTCTGATCTCTTCAAGTATGACTATATTATTCCCAAATTGAAGGAAAAGGGCAGATCACTATTCTGGTATTGTTTTCCTGATTTGTGCCTCAGAAAATTCAAATTGTCAAATTCAAATTATTTGTGCCTTTAAACGGTCACCCGAATGCTTTTAAAATTGGTAGAATTCTGATATACCTCTAATGTTTCCAATGTTTATATTTCTGTGACAAATACAGATTCATATATGTTATAGTGTTCGTTGGGATTTGCTACTACGTGGAGTTGCCATTTTCAAGTTTGATTAAAATCTTTACTCATGAAAATTGATTTGTACAATCACCACGGGAGTAATCTCCAGGCATGAGACCTATCAGTATTTGAAGACCTTAGCTATGTTCCTGATAACTGATTTACATGTATTTGAAAATATGAAGTAGGTCACAAACAGCTGAAATTTGAATTTTTTTATTTATTTTATAGTACCTAGTACCCCTCCATCCACTCCCCCCCTCCATCCAGTATTAATTTATTTCGATTATTTTTTGTATAACGCATGGAGACTAACTTTAAAAAATGAGCAATGTCATTAGTATTGTGATAACAACGTCCCTTATACCTATTTATTACAGGTCGTGTAGACCATTGTTGCCCGATTTATAGCAAAAACATTGACTTTTGCACGTTGGTGATGATGCGCCTTTTTTAATAGATCTCATATCTTTGAAGGGTATCAGTTCAAAAAAAATACTAGATGACCTAACATATTTTGCCATGCACTGCGCCTATTCATTTGGCAATTCAGTTGTAAATTTTCTCTTGAAAAAATAAATCTTCCAAATTTGTTGACTTTTCTTGCAGAAATCGCCTAATCCCCCCCTCCATCCATTTTGTACGATCACCGGGCGTGTAGTAATATTTCAGGGAGATACATGTAACTGGGGATGTGAACTTCATATATGCCATGAGTGGAGAATATTATGGTATTGTTTATTCTCGACCCCAAGAGATAAAGTTGTATTCCATACCTACTAAGGTTATAGATAAATTACGAGCGGGAATATATACTGGATCTAGGGATCTTTCACTGAAGAGCAGGGCGGGATGGATTCAGGCTGTTTTCATCCCGGTCCCGCTCCTAAAAGCGAACTCGATTTACGTTCGTTTTTCCTATTCATACAAAAAATAAAGATAATATTTCAAACTCACAAACGTTGTATATTTTATCAATTCATTGATCTGCTAAGAGTAAGAAAATGCATATTTTTGAATTTTGGAACTTTATAAGACAATATTGATATATAAGAATATACCTAGAACCTTAGTAGGTATGGAATACACCTATTATGTACAGCCTTGGTCCCTCGGGATATACACATATTCCCTTGGGATAAACCCTGTATCCAAAACCTCCCAGTACATAACCCTTATATATTCTCTGCTTCAAGGGATTTTTGTTGAGTGATAAATAATCATCATCAATTTCTTATGTATGAGAAGTATAAAATCAGATATGTAATGGTTTATATAAGTTATATGTATTATAACCCTAATATATGCTTTTTAGTTTTGAATGACGTAAATTAACATGTTTGCATTAGCAAAGAATTTATGTTAGTTAACAGAGCAATTTCCAATTCATATTTCTAAAAAACAAAGTGTAATGAAATGTATGTAGAGTGTATATGAAGCTCAAAAAGAATCTGTTGATTAAGACAGCTCATATTTACTTTTCATAAATGCAACTAATGAAAGATAAGAGCCATATGGAATATATACACAAACAAATGAATTAATTTTCAATGTGTTCAATTATTTATACATTTATTTCTTCCCCAGGTAAACTGAAAAAATTCATATCCACTGGTATTACTAATGTAGAAATAATGCTATGAACTCAAGTGCTAGCCTTGCTCAAGTCGGTATTTTTTTTTACTTATCTGATCTTGAATTATTAATAGAAATCAAGATAAGTAAAAGAGACTGACTTGGGCAAGGCTACTCAAGTGCATAAACATTATATACATTAAGTTATGGGCAGATATATTTATTAAGTGCATAAGATATTTTATGTACATGTACATGTATTCATTTATAACTGTAAGAAATGAACTGTCTTTGCTGTTGTGTAACCTCAATTGATCCACAGTGTATTGCCTGATCAGATGATAAGCCTTATATTGTATTAATGAAGCTTGTATTTTGTGAATCAGGGAGGATTGAGGATTTCATATGTTGATGAATGAGTAAATTTGGGATTTTAAATGAGTAGTAATTGTATTGATATTGACTGGTGGTACAATGGGATCGCACACGCGTGTCTATATTCATTGTAAACCAAAGATCAAGAATGCTCTTGTGACTGAACATTGGATCTTATTGGTATCTAAAAATAAATTATATTGAGTAAGCTTTATGAGGTGATAAGTGATATACAACTTATACATATTGTTTTTTATATTGTATGAATCTAAATAAACACAGCTACCCAATATTACAATGTATGTTTTTCTATCACAAAACCCAAGCCAAACTGTCTCATGTTATATATCATGAAACACCATAAATATACCAGTACATATTTACATGCATATATACTACATATACTATTCTAGTATATCATATTGCTAGAAAATGAAAATAATTGTATAATACTATCACATTGTCATCACTTGTATTGATATCATGATACAAAGTAATTTATAAGCCTTTTAAGTCTAGGTGCCTTTGGTGCCTGGCACTAAAATAGATACATGAAATCTTATTAAAAAATTAGTTGATTAATCCGTGTGTTGTTAGATATTTTGATGTTTTTTTAAGAATGGTTTGATTGTTTAGATGGAATGTTTAAGTGTCTATATATGATATATGTAAACCTTTTTATTAAAGTAATGAATACTGATGTGTTTGTTTCGAATTTGATTTGGAAATATAAAATGTTCATGTACATTATACTTCTAGTATTGTTTTGTTCTTTCAATGCATAATGATAGAAAAGATGATTTACAAACTACTGTATTTTGCATCCATTTAAGCTTGGTGTATTTAATTAACAGATCCAAAGGAGTGAAGAGTCCTCAAAAAGGGCTAAATGTTTGTTCTTTCTTGAACAACTGCCCTGATACAAAATTTAATACCTGTTTTTCTTACTCAGTATCTCGGGTCAGTGTCAAGATACAAATTATACAGCCAATAATAAAGTATTCAGTAATTTGAGAATGGTCGTTCTTTGAAATATTTTACTCAAAGAGATGTCACTGCCTAAACTCAATAATACTTCTTTAATCTGTATACTATACAGGCCTGTAGCCATGGGGGATTGCCCCCCCCCCCCCCCGGCTAAAAATTCTTTCAAAATTATGCAGTTTTTCACCATTTTGAGCACTTCTCAAGTGATTTTAGCCATATTTGGGTCAAAATTGTCAAATTATGAATAAGATAACTTTAGGACACGTAATTTTTTAAAGCATCTCAAAGAGTAATGCTCAGCTATAACCATAGGCCAAGGGTAAAGTAATAGTAAGCCGTATATAGAAGAGACTATAAGGTTTTGACTCGATTTAAAGATGGCAGCAAGTAGAATTCCGCTTAAAAGTATAAATAAACGCAGATTGACTGGCCTGCCCTCTTTCATTTAAAAATTATTTATTTTGAAGGTTTAATACAAAATTATAGTATCCCCTGGCCCACTCTTCGGGAACTGATGTCACAATTCAGGACCACAAGACCGTGGCTCATTTCATCGATTGAATAACATTACAATTCATGGCGAAGAATAAGATCAAACTGAAAACCAATACTTGAGATTGAGTTAGTATTCAATACTACATTGAAGAGATCGAGTGTATATTTGTGATCTGTTTTACTTTTAATAATTAATTTTTGAACCTGGTCACTCTGCCAAGAAGTTGTGCCAAAACCATAGGTATTCATTTTTTCTTAATTTCTTGAACGGGCGTTTTATGAACCTGCACTATACCCATCGCATATCTAAAAAGTAGGCAAAGCAAACCACATTTGAATTTTGTGGTATATGTGTCAATAACAAACGCAACAAGTGTTTTTCAGGTGTCCTCGGAGAATGATTTGAAGAAGCAATCGTTCTCCGGCTAGATGATCTTTGATAAAATGCCCACGACAATCCCGAAACCTCACTTACAGTATACTTCACTTAGAAGTTACAAACACAACGGCAATGAATGGATTTATCATCTTTTAAAGGGCCTCCAAGCGTGAAAGAAGCACCTTAGTAAACATGATAAAAAGTGGTTTATGTTTTCTATATGTTTTTTCTTCTAGATTTTCATATTGTCGAAGTCAAACTGTTGACATTCAGGATATATAAATAAAATGGATATCGGATATTTTACGATTCTTTTGCTCTCGCTAGTGTGTCTCGGTAAGTAAATGTGTAGTTTAGCCTATTTTCAAAATTCTTCTATTCCAATATCAAGTTACGGTACGTGAATAGTAGAGGGACTGAGCTTCGCGCGTTATGAGAACTTGGACGCGAACGTGCATGTGAAATTATCGTTCTCTGGGGATAAGTTCTTCGAAGTAAACACTTGCCCAATTGAGTATAAAGGTGAAAGGAAAATAGGTGCAATTAGGCCCCTGAAAAAAACAGTTGATCGAAAAGGCCGGGCAGTAATCCGACCATCATGTGGGTCATAATATTACACGTGCACGTTCTATAACAAACGCGTAACTTAACTTTCATAATGTTGAACTGTTAAGATAAGTGGGCAGTGGTTCTGATATCCATGGGTTCCTAAATCAGGAATCTGCAGTAAACATTATATAAAAGCATAAAACTGGGTTATACAAAAGTCTCAGTATGGTTAATTATGAGAGATTTTGATAAAGGGTATATCTGAGGGAAATACAATATATTAACCCTAGGGACCGTATATCACCCGCTCACTTCAGATATCAATTATATTCCTGCATGTTATTAATAACACTACGAAGTATGGAATAAACAACATTATCCCATACTTAGTAGTGTTATATACCCTTTACATTCGTTTGCCTTCACTTCTTAAAAGAGAGCTTCGTAGTTTAACTAGACTCTGCACGCAGGGTAAATGTTATAGGGAAATAAAATGCGGGAATATAATCGATGAGGTGAGCGGGTGATGTATATATCTCCCGCTGAGGTGAGCGGGAGATATATATATCCCCCGCTCGTCAGCAATCCCCGATCTTTCGGTGCTTTTTGAATTCCCGGGATATACTTTGGCTCTACTTGATAAATATTAATTTCATACACTGTTAAATGTTAAAAGCTGTTGAGTTTTAAAATTGAGATAAAATACTAAGTATAGGATAAATCAGTTATTGAATGCTCGATTTTTGATACAGGGTATCCCTCGATAAATACAATATATCAACCCTCGGTCCCTACTAAGTCCCTCGGGTAGATATAATGTATTTCCCTCAGATATGCCCTGTATCAAAAACCTCCCATTAAATAACCTCTATTTACACTTTTTAAGCAAATGGGGCTACTAAAGTGGAAAAGCCTGTGGTTTACACTGGGCCAGTACAACCTCTGTCGAATGTAAGCTGCTATACGTGTATGGTGAGGCTAAAGAACTCAATGGTATATGAAGGGCATCGGGATTGTCTTTATATTGACTCAAACAGAACATCCATTGAGGCTCAGCCTTGCCTCGCTGGCTTCTGCTCTGTAAGTATAGTATGAACAAAAGCTGACCTCGGATTTTAGAAACACAACATTTGGACATTTATTGATTGATGATTTGAACTCTGATATAAGTAGGGGAGAGCGGGGTAAGATGGAACGCGGGTTGAGACGAACGATGGATTTTTATTGAATATTTGTTTAAAAGAGGTTACTGAAGTAAGCTTTTTTTGAAAATATATCAAGTGATCTTTCTATTCAATCACAATTTCTTGTCGGCTGCAACTAAAACCCATCGTTCCGTCTCACCCTGCGTTTCATCTTACCCCGCTCTCCCCTAGTAACCAAAACCCCGCAAAATCTTGAAAAATGTCCTGTTGAAGATTCATATTTTTATTACTTGGAACCTTTAGTATCGATATTCCTCTACTGATTCCTGTGCAAATCGCTCGGAGTTTGTTTTTTGTAGTTGTGGAGGATTTCAGTAAGGGGCGATTTTCAAGAATTATTTAAAAGTACAAGTATTTCTAAAATAAATCCATTCACAGTAGGCTATATACAGAATATCACATCATTTTGAGTGATATCATTTTTGTCGCCGAGTTGATATCAAATATCAACACGAGTGAGCGAAGCGAATGAGTGTTGATATTTGATATCTACGAGGCGATAAAATGATATCACGAGAAATTATATGATATTGGGTTTATCCCATGATTACAATCACCTTGTGATGTTCTGATCCAATTTCCAGGACATTGGCAGACAATATAAACTAGAAATTAAAATATCAATTGAATATTTGAAACACTTTATTTTAACAATTAAAAGTAAATAACACGATATAGTTCGTCATAAATACCATTTTTTAATCGTTAGTTAGCAGCCTTCTAATCAAATTATATACGCAATCGTAATTCAATACACCAATGAAACTTAAAGAGAATAAATTAACGGACCTATTTTCTCAAAAGAGAATAAATTATCTGACCTAATTTCCAACAATATTGTGGCGCGAAATGCAAATGTGATATCACACGGATATGCGTGAGATAAACGATATCAGTTTGATAAACGATTTTCTGGAAAATATCACACGGATTTCAATAATATCAGAAATATCAATAGCTGTTATTCATGTTATTGTACAGATAACACATTTATCGTGGGATAAACACAAATATTTTATGAAATATGTTATTAAAGAACCTCACAGTGTCAGAAAAAAATAAATTATCGGTTGAGTAATCATCAGATAAGATAATAAACTCTATTTTTAATTTTTTCCCTTTTCTATGATCTTGCTACTGGTGATCGTCACATTTGTTTGCACTCAAACAGTCTGTATTGACTATATACATGTAATGCAAGTTGCAACATATTAATGATGGCGGATATTCATTTCAGATCATGCGTATCACACAGGGGGATGTTATGACCGTGTCCAGACAATGTTTGCCTCATTGTAAGGTCCGTGACAACACAGACCTTGAGGGGGGCTACAAAACAGTTGTTAATTGTTGCACTAAACACCTTTGTAACTCGGCCACATCCTTCAAGTTTGGATTCCTCACAACAACCTTTATTGTATTCTGTATAAAGTTTTTATAGAGACAACTGCAAAATTACAGTATATAACTATGACTGCGCCTGTGAATCAACTTTGACTTCGTCCGTTCTGTGCTACTTCATATACAGGTTTCTCTCTAGTTTTGACAAACAAGGTGTTGCGTCCGAAGAGAAAATACAAAATAGGCAACCCACCACACTGCCATCTTTCTATTGGCCCTGGTGTTATGGGAGGAAACAACAAATGTAGAGTAGATCCTATTATTGGACCCTTCATTTAGACTAGAGATGCAAATCTTGGCAATTTATGACTCGAATATGAAGGGACTATATAGTCTTTTGGCTTCGTTTTTGTTAATAAAGTAACAGTATTATCGTTATGATTAATGTTCGCTTCAGTCATGTGTTTTGTACTTCCGTAGTCCTTATAGTATGCAGGGCTTCCCAAAAAACGCAACACGATTGTAAAACCACAAAACCAGTGATGATTACATCAATTTCATTTATTTTACCATGAAGCCACGTGTCTTCTTTTTCAAATGATATGTTATTTATTCATATATGACCACAGACCACTGAGGTTTTAGACATTACGACTATTAACAGAGAATCACCAATGAGGTTGCTGCTCTTCGCTAGAACACATATGATTCAAAGAGGTATTTGTGACATGGAGAGAAGAGCCAATCTCTGTTTAGAGAAATGGTGGCCATGTGATAAATGAAATTGATGTAATCATCACTGGTTTTATGGTTTTACAATATTTTTGCTTGTTGCGTTTTTTGGGACGCACCGCATATAACCATGGGATTTGCGAATTTGGCGATTATACTAAATAAAAGCATGAATAACTGCACTTTTCATCCTACACTCCCCTCAGTAAATTTGGCTACTGGAAGTCCTAAAGCCTATTCATGTTTGAATCTTTGCTTGTATTCGTGAATGCAACTTTCGGCTTTCGGCTACCAAAATATGGAATAGTGGCAAGTCCTATTGATATTCAAATGAGTTGCCCATAAAATAGTAGGCTTAAGTTAATCCAGTAGCCGACAGCCGAAAGTTGCATTCGTAAATACAAGCTTTATTTTGTTACTTCAATACAAACATTTGTACCCTTTGCATTCGTTCGACTTCACTTCTTAAATAAGAGCTTCGTAGTTCATAACTAGACTCTACGCGCAGGGTAAAACATTAGAAAATGATGAACATTTTTTAAGTCCACAAAAATATAAGGCTTAATGCGAGATTCAGAAGGGAACTTCTGGTTTCCAAACTAATGGAGGGGTGTAAATAATCTTGGAATATTTTTCAGCCGTAATGCTATGTATCCTTCTTCTTGCCTTCTTTTCTGAAATATTCGCACGTTTTTTTCGATTCTAAAAAGAAATGTCTACATGTTTTTAAGCTTCGATAATCACAGAAAATGAGCTTTATGAACAAGCCTTTTGATTGTGTAAAGCACATGTCATTATGATTTATGAAATATGAGAATCTCAGCTATTAACTCTTAAGAATGTTTTTGTACCAAAAGCGAAAAACTGAATCCGTGAATCCATCGCTAAGTTAGGATGCTAGATGAAGAAACTAATAACATTATTTGGAACTTAGATCGTACGTTAACTACACGTATAAGATTATTGAGAATTAACCTTTCCGAGAATTGGGTTTAAATTGGGAAAACGAAATATTTTTCGAAACTCTATCACCGGAATGGCCAAATGTACTGTTTACATTAAGAACCCCTATTCTTACGAATGACAATGTATTCTAGAAATACTATCCAACATGAATCTACTTGTTGAGACTCGATCAACTTGAGTTCTTCTGAGAAATGAGGATTTCAGCAAGCGTACATTGACTTGGTAACTGGTCAACTCGTACCCAAGACAACTTGTACTCAAGACAACTCGTACCCAAGTATATATTTTGGGCTTGGAATGTAAATAGATATACAAATTATAATTGTTACAATATAATTGTTCAGAATAGTTTAAAGTTTGAAGAAGAATTTTCGGAAGAAATTGATTTAATTTTGTGACATTTTGATTATTGTCAGAAGTCACATTCATGAAAGTCACATTCATGAAATTTAGCAAGAAAATATTTTGAATAATATAATATACATAATAATATAATATTAATATCGAATATTATTTTGGTACTAATTCATACATGATATAATATACTTTGTACGCATGTGCTCAAACATAATCCAATTTATTTACGAAGTGGAAAAGAAATTAAGAGATTAAACTAATCCTTTAAACTTTCTCTAAATGCACAACATTTATTGTTTGATTCATTTGTAGAAAAGTCACTGTTGTAATTATATTTATTTATTATATGTTTGACAAAAAAAATGTTGAGAACAAGCGCTTCAATAAAAAGGTGATCCAAGTTAAATGTCTTTTAAATTCAAAAAATATTGAGGCTTATTTGATTCACATTATAACATGAAAACATTATTATACAAACTCAATTTGTATTCCTAATATGCAGCCATAATATAAAAAAGTAATACTGAAAATAAACTTAGGTACGAGTTGTCTTGGGTATGAGTTGTCTTGGGTACGAGTTGTCTTGGGTATGAGTTGACTAGGAAGCCATTGACTTTACATGAGGCATAGACCATTGACCGATGACTTAGCCTCGGGATACCATCATGTATGTCACCATGTAAAGCCGATTACAGCCTTAATTGCTAAATCCTCATTTTCTCAGAAGAACTCAAGTTGATCGAATGTCAACAAGTAGATTTAGCATAGGCGTAGCCAGGATGGGGTGCGATCTATCTAAGATAGAGAAGAAAGTGCTTTCCATTTGAAGATTCTAGCTCAATTTTGAAGGAAGTTGCATCAATTTTTGTAAAATTCAAAACAAATGTTATAACTTTTTTGGGGTTGCGTGTCGCCCTGACTAAAAACCGAATGGCGATCGCACCCCCCTCCCCCCCCCCCCCCGACTGAAAGCTGACTACGCCCCTGTTCATGTTGGACAGTATTGGTAGAATCCATTTTCGAAAGTAAGAATAGTGGTTATCAAACAGGACACTAACTATAAGGCCGTTTTGAAATTTTGGGTTAGTGCAACTTCTTTTTGTGTGAATGATGTGTATCGTCCATTTTGTGAACAGCTCAAGAAAATGAAAACCCCGAATTTCACATGTGGACAACGTTAGAAAAACAAAACATTGAACAAATACTTATATTAAAATACTTATATTGCCAAAATTAAACAAACATATATGAAGACTTTTCTCATACCCTCGTCGCTTTTGCATGTGAAAAACTATTGAGCTTCTAAAATACGACCACTAAGCTTAAAGTTTACCCCGATTCTATTCATTCAACAACTATTGCACTATTGCAAAAAAAACTAGGGCTACATTATGATGTTTTCTGAAAGGCCTCAATGACAGATTTGTTAAACAACAACAATATGGTATTCAAAGAACTATACAATTCTGTTTTCACAGTGTGTAATTCAATGCAAAAAATATGACACCCCTGTCAAAAAGAATCGAAATGGAATCGATCGATATATGGTTTCTACAAATTCCATTGGGACTTTATTTTGGTGAAGACTAATATTAAAAAAATTAAGAAGGTCTATTTTGTTGATATTCCGATTTATTGGTGTACATGGGAATGGCGATTTTCAAAAGTGACTCAATCTCTAATTGAGACAAAATCCTGATGAGCTGGATAATAAGCATTGGAAATGTATATACACTTGAGGAGTTTCTTCATTTTAGTTTGACTGCAGATGAAAAGTGTAACCAAGCAAGGGAAGCATTGATGGGTGATTTTGGGTGGAAACCCATTTTAAGCTTGATTGATAAAAGACAGATTGATTTTTATGCCTTTTTAAAGTATGCCACAAGGTCTGCACAAAGACATCTTTAATGATTTATCTGACCTCTATCATAATGATAATGAAATCCCATGGAAATTTTTCTCTAATATTCAGTCAATTTTCCCAAAGATGGTGCCATGTTAAGGAATGATAGAGACTGGTATTCATCCTTTCTCTCAATATCTAAGGAAGAGCATCAGAACAACTTCTTGAAGGCAATAAGTGAGAAATCATCTTTGACCACTTATCGTGATCTTCAGCCTACAGTGCACTTGTCAGGGAGGATTACTTGTGCCCCACTTCTGACTTTTATGGCCAGAAGATTAGATTTAAGGCTCTTATAGCTGTTTTAGCACTAATGTTGATTTAAGTAGTCAATGCAAATGCAAAGATATGTGTACTTTATGAGATTGCATCTACCGCGATACAGTTTGAATGTCCAGCCGACCACTTTATTAGACATGAACTCATGCTTGACTTTATAAATGCTTGTAATAGTGAAATGTTCTCATATTTCCGACCTAGCCAGAAAATTTGATGCTTTGTCAAAGCGATTTTTAGTCAAATTATATACTGCCATTAAAGTAAGATTGTATGACATGCAATCACTTTTTAATGTGCATGTATATTTTTAATGTGTATGTTTTACTACATAGATGTAACTGTAAAAATGCTGCACTACAAGGTTGTATGTGCCACTGTTCTAAAAGTGTTTTAGCAAATAAAAAAATAAAAAAGATATGTAGTCCATACGGAGCTTACGGCATGTGTTTATTTGTCTTTTCTCCTCAATCTAGTAAAACAGAAAGGGTTGCCAATTTTTTAAAGGGGCCTGTATAAGTTTACGCGAGAACGAGGCCAAGTTTCATTTTACCTTTTACAACGGAACATTTTTGATTTGTGATATTCCAACAGAGTTAAGAACTGGCAGCGAGTGTCATTAAGTGTATAAGGTTTCTTAAGGATAACTAGCCGGCCAGCATGGTTTAAAAGTGAAAGAATAGTTTCACAACACGATTTGCCATAATAGATAACATGATAAAAATAGGAAGACTGACTGTGAAAATGAATTTTCAGAAAGTTATTCTAACATTCTTGGGAATTGTAGCATGTTACGACTGTCTTGCTGCTGAGTATGGGATCATCATAGATGCTGGTAGTAGCGGCAGTCGGGCAAGAATCTACACATGGCCCGAGAGGACAGAGTTGACAGAAGTCATCCAACTCAGGGAAGTTGCGAACAAGAAAAGCAAACCAGGATTAAGTGCTTTTGTGGGTGATGCCCAAGGGATCAGAAACCATCTCTCCCAACTCATTGAAGCTTGTAAAGATAACGTACCAGAGGAGAAGCGACCGAATACCCCAATTTATCTCATGGCCACTGCTGGAATGAGACTTTTAACTGGGACAGACGCCTTCGCAATCTACCAAACGGTGAACGATTTACTTTCTCACAAATCCTTCTCACCATTTGACTTTACCAAGGGGAACGCAAGAACTCTTTCTGGGGAGGAGGAAGGAGCATTCACATGGATATCCGCCAACCAACTTAATGGTTTGTTCGGAAATGATCGCACAACGAATAGAACCGTTGGTATTATGGAAATGGGTGGAGCCTCAACCCAGATGGCCTTCGTACCACGGGGGAGTCTTTTAGCTGACAAGTTCCCTGTTTATGTGGCTGGCAAGTATTATCCGTTATATGTCCATAGCTACCTCTACTACGGCCAGGACTTTGCAAGTAAAAAGATCAAGGACTACATCTACAGAATGAGAACAGACAGAGACGCAACTAACTTTTCTAACCCTTGTATGTTAGTAGGTGATCAGAAGACCGAGATGATAGAAGGTACGAACGTACAATTTCAGGGTACTGGACAGGCGGACGATTGTCTGGAACTCATACAAGCTGAACTTGTCTTTAAAGTCCCAGATTATCGTTGCTACCCCAAACCATGTTCTATAGGACAGGTATACCAACCAGTAATTCCTGCGGATATGATATTCCATGCTGTTTCTGCTTTTGCCTTCACTGTAAAAGATATGAATGCCTATTCTAGCGGGGAGAGCACCACGGCTAAGGTGATTTTGGCCACGAGCAGGGAGTTTTGTAAGATGGATCTAGAGACTGCCTTAAATAAGACAGGTAATCGCTTTGTTGACACATTGTGTTTCTCGGGTCTATTCATTTCCACATTGCTCACTGATGGATGGGGCTTTGGTGAAGACAGGAAGATAGATGCGGCTGGGGAAATTGCAGATCAAGAATTAACTTGGACTCCCGGTGCAATGGTCTACGAGGTAGAGCGACGGGATAGGGGTCATTTCGAGCCTGTTACTGCAACTGCGTCAACTCAGGAAACTGCTATTATCCTGACAGTTATGCTCATTGCAGCTGGTCTATGATAAAAACATACATTTTTAGGCCGGTATAAAGATGGCAGTTGTGTTGTTCGAATTATTTAGATATATTCAGACAGTTTGGCTCATTGCAGCTGGTCTATGAAAAAAACATATATATTTATAGGCCGGTATAAAGATGGCAGTTGTGTTGTTCGAATTATTACGATAAATAAAGTAATATAAAATGCCTTTGAATAATTGCCATGCATCCTTTTAACAACAGTATATATAATATGTTCAACTCTAAGGTGGCTTGTGTACTTCTTCTCCAATCGTATGCACATGTAGTATCTTTACTATATTTATCTTAGTCCAGAGTTGAGCTCTAATATCATATTGTCTTTCTGTACCAGATTTCATCCAGACATTTTGAGCTTTCAATCACAATACTTTTTACGAGCTAGATGATTAGCGTCAAGTGAAAATATTTTTAAAATAAATACATAAGAGATATAAGACTTCGGTGTACCCCTCGTGTTGATTTTGACCATCCTTCTTTGCTTAATTTGATTCGTTTTGCTTAGACGGATACTTCTCTGTTCTATGAAGATCTTTATAATGCACGATGGTGAATTGGTGTAGATAGGCAATGGTTGATTGTGTTGGAGAGTGATAAGCGTGGTTATATTGTAGAGTGGAATTGGCGGATTGTGCTGTAGAGTGGTAATGATCAATTGTGTTTCATAGTGCAAAGTAATGGTAAATTGTGTTGTAATGTAGAATGGGAATGATGACTTGTGTTGTAGAGTGGTTGGGATAGGCTATGCTGTAGAATGGTAATGGTGAATTGTAGAGTGGCCTGGATAGATTATGGTGGGTTGTGTTGTAGAGTGGTAAGGATAGATGGTGTTGTAGACTGATGGCAATGGTGGTTGGTTTTCATTAGAGTGGTACGTATATAAATATGTTGTACAATGGGAATAGTGGAATGTGTTGTGGAGTGGTAATTATGAATTCTGTTTTATAGAGCATAGTACGTAATGGTGGATTGTGCAGTAGAATGGCAATGGGGGATTGTGTTGAGTATTAATGATGAATATTATGTTGTATAGTACACAGTAACGTGGATTGTGATGATGATGGATTGTGTGGTAGATGGGAAATGGTAGATGAGGAATGGTGGGATAAATTGTGTTGTCCAGTGATAACGATGAACTATATTGAAGAGTGACAATGGTGAATATGTTACAGAGGTGTTCATGGATTCTGCTGTAGAGTAGAAATGGAGGAGGGTTGTGTTGTAGAGATAACAGTATATTGTACTGTAAGGTAGAAATGGGGGATTGTGTTGTAGAGATAATAGTTCATTGTACGGTAGAGTAGAAATGGATGAGTGTTGTGTTGTAGAGATAATGGTGTATTGTGCTGTAGAGAGGAAATGGTGGATTGTGTTGTAGAGATAATGGTGTACTGTGCTGTAGAGAGGAAATGGTGGATTGTGTTGTAGAGATAATAGTACATTGTACTGTAGAGTAGAAATGGAGGAGGGTTGTGTTGTAGAGATAATGGTGTATTGTGCTGTAGAGAGGAAATGGGGGATTGCGTTGTAGAGATAATGGTGTCCTGTGGTGTAGAGGGGAAATGGTGGATTGTGTTGTTGAGATAATAGTACATTGTACTGTAGAGTAGAAATGGAGGAGGGTTGTGTTGTAGAGATAATGGTGTATTGTGCTGTAGAGAGGAAATGGGGGATTGCGTTGTAGAGATAATGGTGTATTGTACTGTAGAGTGAAAATGATGTATTGTGTTGTAGGGATAATAGTACATTGTACTGTAGAGTAGAAATGGGGGATTGCATTGTAGAGATAATGGTGTATTGTGCAGTCGAGGGGAAATGGTGGATTGTGTTGTAGAGATAATGGTGTACGTGCTGTAGAGGGGAAATGGAGGATTGTGTTGGAGAGATAATGGTGTATTGTGCAGTCGAGGGGAAATGGTGGATTGTGTTGTAGAGATAATGGTGTACGTGCTGTAGAGGGGAAATGGAGGATTGTGTTGGAGAGATAATGGTGTACGTGCTGTAGAGGGGAAATGGAGGATTGTGTTGGAGAGATAATGGTGTATTGTGCAGTCGAGGGGAAATGGTGGATTGTGTTGTAGAGATAATGGTGTACGTGCTGTAGAGGGGAAATGGAGGATTGTGTTGGAGAGATAATGGTGTATTGTGCAGTCGAGGGGAAATTGTGGATTGTGTTGTAGAGATAATGGTGTACGTGCTGTAGAGGGGAAATGGAGGATTGTGTTGGAGAGATAATGGTGTATTGTGCAGTCGAGGGGAAATGGTGGATTGTGTTGTAGAGATAATTGTGTACGTGCTGTAGAGGGGAAATGGAGGATTGTGTTGGAGAGATAATGGTGTATTGTGCAGTCGAGGGGAAATGGTGGATTGTGTTGTAGAGATAATGGTGTACGTGCTGTAGAGGGGAAATGGAGGATTGTGTTGGAGAGATAATGGTGTATTGTGCAGTCGAGGGGAAATGGTGGATTGTGTTGGAGAGATAATGGTATTGTGCAGTCGAGGGGAAATGGTGGATTCTGTTGTAGAGATAATGGTGTACGTGCTGTAGAGGGGAAATGGAGGATTGTGTTGGAGAAATAATGGTGTACGTGCTGTAGAGGGGAAATGGAGGATTGTGTTGGAGAGATAATGGTGTACGTGCTGTAGAGGGGAAATGGTGGATTGTGTTGTTGATCATGATATAATAGTACATTGTACTGTAGAGTAGAAATGGAGGAGGGTTGTGTTGTAGAGATAATGGTGTATTGTGCTGTAGAGGGGAAATAGACGATTGTGTTGTAGAGATAATGGTGTACGTGCTGTAGAGGGGAAATGGATGATTGTGTTGTAGAGATAATGGTGTACGTGCTGTAGAGGGGAAATGGAGGATTGTGTTGGAGAGATAGTGGTGTACGTGCTGTAGAGGGGAAATGGAGGATTGTGTTGGAGAGATAATGGTGTATTGTGCAGTCGAGGGGAAATGGTGGATTGTGTTGTAGAGATAATGGTGTACGTGCTGTAGAGGGGAAATGGAGGATTGTGTTGGAGAGATAATGGTGTACGTGCTGTAGAGGGGAAATGGAGGATTGTGTTGGAGAGATAATGGTGTACGTGCTGTAGAGGGGAAATGGTGGATTGTGTTGTTGATCATGAGATAATAGTACATTGTACTGTAGAGTAGAAATGGAGGAGGGTTGTGTTGTAGAGATAATGGTGTATTGTGCTGTAGAGAGGAAATGGTTGATTGTGTCAGTGTAGAGATAATGGTGTACGTGCTGTAGAGGGGAAATGGAGGATTGTGTTGGAGAGATAATGGTGTATCGTGCAGTCGAGGGGAAATGGTGGATTGTGTTGTAGAGATAATGGTGTATGTGCTGTAGAGGGGAAATGGAGGATTGTGTTGGAGAGATAATGGTGTATCGTGCAGTCGAGGGGAAATGGTGGATTGTGTTGTAGAGATAATGGTGTACGTGCTGTAGAGGGGAAATGGAGGATTGTGTTGGAGAGATAATGGTGTATCGTGCAGTCGAGGGGAAATGGTGGATTGTGTTGTAGAGATAATGGTGTATTGTGCAGTCGAGGGAAAATGGAGGATTGTGTTGGAGAGATAATGGTGTATCGTGCAGTCGAGGGGAAATGGTGGATTGTGTTGTAGAGATAATGGTGCATTGTACTGGAGAGTAGAATGGAGGTGGAGGAGATAATGGTGATTGCGTGCTGCAGAGTAGAATGATGGAGGATTGTGTTGTATAGATAATGGTGTATTGTGCTGTAAAGCAGAGACATATAAATGTTTTATATGTACCTGTGTAGAGTGGAAATGGTGGATTGTGTTGTAAAAGTAGTAATGATCATATGGATTGGTAAGGATGAGTTGTGTTGGAAGGTGATAAGTAAGGATACTACATCTAAAAAATCTCCACCATAATAGTTTTAATTTGAAGCCTAGCTCCTCCACTTCCTTCACTAGAGCACATAGTTCTCCTTCCCTCAGAGTTTTCTAGACTAGCATCGCCAGGCAGTATGTGATGGCCAGGCAAGTTGAATAATATTGGCAGGATTGGCAAGCCATAGAAACAATGTTGTCGGTGTTGTATAGATGTCGTTGCGAGAGGGGAATTTACACTGACGTCATTACGTTCGAATCATCATAGAAGCTGACGAAAGTGATGGAATCACACCTTTTCTCTAGATTCCTTCATCTATCTGAGGAATAAACCATGATGAAAGTAACTAAACAACAGCTCGTGCAAGCAGCACGTCTAATAGACCATTATTCACAATATCAACCGTCTCCGTTGTCTTTGAAGAAGTTTATAGCATTTGGTAAGTTTTGTTTTGATTTCGAAATTGGGTCACTTGGATATTTTAGCTCTTGATCTATAGACACTTAGGCAGTCATTTTTGAAAACCTTTTTTAAATTCAATAGACCTGAGAGTACAGTCATGGTCTTTCTAGGTCTAGACATCCTATGGTTAGTTTATAAAAGGCATAAAACACACTAAATTGTTCAAAGCCTCTTGCAGTTCAGCTCGGACTCATCATCAGAGAATGAACATACATGCAGACAGTCATTTACTGATTTAAAGGGGGTGCAGATAATTCTCCCAAGTTGTAATCGTACAGGCAAAAGATTGCTCTCGGTCCAGGACTATAGTCTTGGCACGGGATAAGGCCTATACCATGGGTCTAACTGAGCAAGATCTAACTTAGATTTCTCTACCATGAGTCACTGACCCTTATCCCGTACCAGGACTATGGTCCTGTACTGAGCGCATACATTTGCCTGTACGATTACAACTTAGGAGAATTATCTACGCCCCTTCTACTTAAGAAACCTACCTCAATGCATTCTAGAACTCAAAATGTAACTTCTAATATATTGGAACCGCCGATTGTCTGGGTTAGTTGGCAGAACGAGGTCTTTTTTGTTTCTCATGGCTCTTTTGGTCGAAGTTCGATTAAGGTAACTTATAACTAAATCAAAAAATCCAAGATGGCCGAATCCAGGAAGCACATGGCATTTGAGTATAATCTGACCATCAAAATTAACTGTCTTTTGGTTGGATTTTCTCTCAATTTTTTAGTTCCACTTATCATTTATATAACCAGGCTCACTGTGGTAATGCAAATAGAAACAGTAAACATTTTGGAATGGGAATTTGAGTCCTCTGAAAATGTGACAGAAAAATTGAAAAAAGAGTAGCACAGCAAAGGTCCCTGAACATTTTTTTTTCTAATTTCTCTGAAACATCCCTTTAATATAGCCCAAAATGGAAGGAGCTTTAGAATTTTGAAATCTCTCATACAAATTAAAAAAAATAGAAAAAAACAATTTGAGAAGTGTACTTTTTTCCTTATTTTGATCCCAATTTTTTTATCGGGTAATTTTTCAAATTTCCGTTGCTCCTTCATTTTTGATATATGTTTGAAGTATATTTTCTGAAATGTTCAGATATTTTGAATCAGCAGTTTTTCACGGGCTACTCCTAGAAAAAATCTCCTCAAATTTTTTAAACGGCACTTTTTTTCTCAAACTAAAGTTTTTTGTTGTTCTTTGATGTCTTTGTAATGATTACAGTGAACAAGCATATGTGAAATAATAAAAACGACTTCTCAGGAAGAGTTTGAAAATTTCAAGATTGTGAAATTGAATAATTTTTTCTGAAAATCTATTAAGTTAACAGTCACCTTAAGATGGCGGTTATAACGGAATTTCCCGAACTTTTCCGTAATAGCACGAACTTGGTATTTCGTAACGTCACTTCCGTTTAAATTGGATTTGTTTCCGGTAAGAAACATTGTTTAACCATTCGGTATACAGTTAAGAGCATAGGATGTCGACATGGCAGTAAATATTGAAAATATTGTCCGAAATTTTCGAAATTACCTCTTACCGGAAACAAATCCATTTTACACGGAAGTGACGTAACGAAATACCAAGTTCGTGCTATTACGGAAAAGTTCGGGAAATTACGTTATAACCGCCATCTTAATCAAACTTCGACCAAAAGAGCCATAAGAAACAAAAAGACCTCGTTCTGCCAACTAACCCAGACAATCGGCGGTTCCAATATATTAGAAGTTACATTTTGAGTTCTAGAATGCATTGAGGTAGGTTTCTTAAGTGGAAGGGGCGTAGATAATTCTCCCAAGTTGTAATCGTACAGGCAAATGTATGCGCTCAGTACAGGACCATAGTCCTGGAACGGGATAAACTGACCCCAGGCCTAGTAGCTATTTACATGAGACTTGGTGGGTCTTGATTAATACTTCGAGTTGAATCTGGCATTTGCTCAAATCAAGTTTGATGAAAGCTGGATACGGGCCTAGGGGGTTACATCTTTCAAAGGGTAACCTCTTTCAAAGCCTTTACATGCCCCCTAGTCTATATTCAATAGACTGAATTTCCTGAGAATTCAGTCTATTGATCATTATGTCTCTCCTGTGGGAAAAAATAGGAAATTTCCTGCATACAATTTAATTATCAATTTTAGGAAACTTCACTTCCAAAAAATAAGCATTATAACAATTCAATTAAGTAGTAAGGTACAATTAAATGCTATAAAAAGTAACACAGCATATGTCAAATGGAAATAAAGCTAGGAGAAGTAACAAATATGCAAATTAATTTACCCAATCGGCCATTTTGAATGACACTTTCTATGTAAACAAATAATTTTCAATCCCATATTTTAACATATGTGGGCTATAGTCTGAATATTTTCATTCCAAATTTCAAAAAAATTTCAGACTAGAGGATATAGTCTAACATGCCCCCTATCATCCACTACAGAATCATGACTGCTAAAACTGAGATCAGCTGCTTACTTTATATCTCCTAATGTTAACAAATTGCTGAACCTCCGGTTATTGTCATTTTTTAAATCTCTGGAGATTTTGATACTACTTCGTGAATTTTGGTAAAAATTGCTCGATATTTACTCGAGGATAAAGAGAAATCCTGATCGGCACAGAAGCAGCTGATAACTTACAGACTTTGGCAAACAGAGAGTGGAGATGTTGGGAACATTTGGAGGTATAAAGTTAAGCAGCTGATTTCAATATTTAAGTTTCAGCAGTCACTTTTCTGTAGTGGGAGATAGTGGGTGAGCAAAGCAGCGTGTTCTATCAGATCAGTCAGCCTCTGAAAGAGGTAATACAGGGGTATTATTCCAGGGTGTCTGTGTGTGTCCTTCCTAGAATGCAAATAATAAGTTAAATGGTGGCTTTTTGAGGCAATAATAATGGGGTTTCATTCCTGATATGAGCTACTCTGCAAAATATTAGCTTCCAACTCCAATAGCTTCCTTTTTTGGAATTGGACCTCAAAATCTGAAATTATGGGTCAAAATCACATTTTAGCAGGGTGTTTCATGATTGCTCAAGTCTATCAGAATGAGTTGCCCCTGTGCCCAGTGGTGACCAAGGTTGGTACAAGTCTCCTGGTGCAATTTTAGACCTCCCCCAACCACGATTCGTTTTCAGTCAATCCCCTGTCACTGGTACAGAATGCCCACTTTAATTTCAGATTTTGAAATTCCAAAAAGGAAGCCATTGGAGTTGGAAGCTAATATTTTGCAGAATAGCTCATATCACTGATAGAATTGAAACCCAAAATGTGCTAAATGATCAGGAAAAATCCTCATTTCATGACAACCTAACTTTCAACTTGTGTTATTGATTGCGTAGATAAACAAATATTATTTGAAGAATTCAACCCCAAATATCAATACCAAATATTTACATGGATCACAAAGTTTGGATTCAACTTACATTGGTAAGTAATGACTTCCTGTCTGTGTTACATTGTGAATATTCATTTTCAGGGGAGAAAAATGCAAGCGAAAAAGCATCATTCATTTTCCTCAAAAAGGAAATACCAGTTCGACTGGCCAATATCATGAAGGAAATTAATTTACTCCCAGAGAGTTTACTGATGCAACCCTCTGTCAGGCTCGTCAAAAGCTGGTAAGTGTTATTAATTATTATATTGATATGTATTAAAGGGGGGGGAGGTAGTGACATTAGTTAGAGGGTAAGTTATTGAATAAGATTTCGTAGCTTCAACTATTATAGGTTTGGTGTTTGCTATATTGCAAAGAAAGTAGTAAATAGTTCAGTATATATTTATGTAACTCATTTAAAGTCTGAGGCAATGGATATCAAGTTTATCAACCAAAATATATAAAAAAATCATGTGTTTCAGGTAGCAGTAAAACATCTGTAGCCTATTGTAATTCAGGAAGTTTCAGCCATAATGATTTTTTTCAAGAATAACATGTCAGAGAAGCAATAGAGAATAAGTAGCCACTTATAGGTTAGCATTTTATGTTTACATTTTCACTGCCTTGGACTGTACAAGGAGCAAGGTCATGAATGATAGAATCCCTAACTTTGAAATACACTGTCTAGGTAAACCCATAAAAATATGCATTGGTAAGTGTCAGCATGATTTTCTGAGAGGAACTTGTTAGCCTCGTTGTTACTGAGGTAAAGATTTCATTTTCTAACACTCAGCCCCTCAGCAGAATCTCTAGAACATGAAATAGCAAGAACATTTGTCCACTATTTGGTTCATGAAAACATGTTTTCTAAGTTCTAATATTCTGCTACTGTTAGTAATACAATTTCAGGTCATTGAACTTATAACCAAATCGCTTAGTCCTTGAAGTACATGAAACAATATTGGACAAATAGTATTTCATCAGCTGACACATCCCAACACACACCCATTAAAATTAGCCAATCAGAGAGTAGGATTATAGCAACACCCATATAGACCTTGAAATGATATAAATTATAATATTGTTTACCATGAATACAGTGTAGTTGTACTATTAATAACCTTGAGCAATATGTGAACAGTTTTGTTTGTGTCACAATTTCCATACAGAACTGTCTCAGTATATTGAACCGAGTGCTCATAAATCACATATAAGGTTAGGGTACCATGCTATAGTTTGTGGTTTAGTATTTTATTAGACACAACTACAGCCCATTTCATTGTTTTATTTCGTCAGTAATACCTAAAAAATAAGAAAATAAGAAAATGTGGCCTCTTATATTTTGATGCTTCTCTGCCATAGTATTTTCAAAAAGATTAACATGGCTGAAATTCTTTAAATTACAAGAGGGCATAGGCTTATTGCAAAAAACCTCAATAATCTGAAATATACAAATGTCATTCATGTACAATATGAATTTTCTTTTCCATATATTATTGCAAAATGGTCTCCTAATTTCTTATTTCTGGGGTTCTACTGACAGTGAAAACAGTGAAATGGGCTGTAGTAAATTATATATCAAATTATTGATGGCATGGCTAAAAGGCGGACTAAGGGGCATAAAACCAAATTGTCCTACAAAATATAGAATATCTACAGGATAATCCAACCTTTATGAATTAATGTTGTGGTTGCAACATTAGGGACTGACTATTCGATCTTGGGGCAGGTTTCTTAGAAAACCCCTGCCCTAGTCATGGAGATACTTAGAAATTGTCAAATAAAAATATTTGTGAGGTATTTATTGTATTTTTTATTGTTAAAAAACAAAATACTCTTGGGCTCCTGAGTAGAAGAAATATTCTTGTTCAAGTATAGTTTAGCATGATAACTCTGAACAAGACAGAGAGGATATCCTATGATTTTTGAGGGATATCATTTTTATCCATAAGAGTGATATCACCCATGGAGATCGGCGAAATTCAAGAGTGGATAAAAATGATAGCCCAAGAAAATCATAAGATATCATATTTATCCTATGGTCGCTATTTTTGTATGGACTTAAAATAATTTGACCTAAAAGCTGTTGTTTTCTCATTTTCATTTTATTTTATGTTAACTTATTTGTACAAATGATTGCATTTAATTTAAATAATTTTTACTGAGCACATAATCTTAGAACTATATTGTTGGAGATCAAACAGACAAGTGGTTATTTGGTGCCAAATTCATCAGCTACCAGATTAAGGTCAGGGTGCATGATGGGAAATTTTCTGCATTCCTCAATTGAGTCACATGTTATTTTTCAAACAAAAATCACTCCTTCCCAACATTGTCTATATCTTCCAGTTTTGCACAAAGAGTGCACTTATGTGCCTAGAAAAGACTTGTGAGAAGAATGTTTCGATAAAGTGTATAAAAAACAAGAAAATTCAGTGAAAAAATTCAGAAATTTTTTTCACTGAATTTTCTCATTTTTTATAGATTTTACAAAACGAATCTTCTCACAGGGCTTTTCTAGGCACATAGGTGTACTTTTTGTGCAAACCTGGAAGATGTAGACAATGTGGGGAAGGAGTTATTCTTGTTTGAAAAATAACATGTGACTCAATTGAGGAGTGCAGAAAATTTCCCAACATGCACCCTGTCCTTAACCTACTATTTATGACTAACTCGTTTTAATATGAATGGAATAGTGGTAGGTAGTATTCATATTTAAATGAGTTGGTCATTAAATAGTAGGTTACTCTGGTAGCTGCAACCAAAAGTTGCATTCGCGAAAACAAGCTAAGTCAAAGTATTTTGAGGTTGTATCATGGTTCATGGTCTTAACATCTAGTTGTTTCAAAAAAATATTCTTGACAAAACATTACAACTTCTATTGAATTAATGGTCTGCCTCAATTATTTTCAACAGAATGTTATCAATGAATATAGTTTCATGACATTTAGGTCCAAAGTCTATTCATAGTTAGATTTTATACTTCAACTTGAATGATAATGACCTTGAAATACTTGTTATGATTCACATTCTCCTTGTATTTCATATCATTCAGTACAACCAGTAGTCATACTGTTCATGTGTTTCTATTAGAAAAACTAAATGTCTTTCCACCTGTTATTACCACTATTTATCCCCATGGATATATATAGGGTAATGTCCTGGGAGGTTTTGTATAGGGTATATCCTGAGAGATATGTCTATATCTCCCCAAGGGACCAAGGGGAGATATAAATATTTCTCGAGGGATATACCCTTTATCCAAAACCGACCGTACATAACTAGTGTATCTCATACTTGAGTGGGTTTTGTAAATGGAAAGTTAAAATTACTTGCACAACTCGCAAATACAGATTTTCATGAACAGGAAATGCAAAATGTTTTCTCCTAGATGCAAAATTTACAGTTTCACAATTCAGATCAAATTTAGTCAAAATATGCCTTTCTTCATGATTTTTAAAAGTAGGTGCAAACTCCTTCTAAAAATCCAAGTGGATACAAAGCTCATTTCGTGCAGGGTGATCAAAAATATGGGGGTAGTATCAGGTCACATGTTTTGACACACTGGTAGACTGATATCAAATGATTATTATGGGATTGTTGTCAACTGCAATTGTCAATTATTCATATATAACACTGGTTGAACATTAGAAGATAACAACTGTCCTTGAATAAATAGTTCCTTTGTTGTTTTGTTTTCTCACTGGTCACAATCATGATTCATATATGGAATTATGTTGTCTTTCAAAATTATGGATGAGAATCAGCAATTTCAAACTTCTTCCTCTCCATTGATTTGAACTACTCTCCTATTGGAGTTTTGGCTTTAAAAATTCCAACAAGATCAAGATTATAGTACTATGCCATCCAGTGTTTTTCCTAAGGCAAAATACATCACAGGACCACCGGACTGACAGGTTCTACATTTTGGCCAGTCCATACCAAAACTCAACGGACATTCGGACCTGTAACTTCAGTTTAATCACTGGTCCGTGTGAAAACTAACCAGTCCAAGACTAAGAGAGAAATGAAAGTAACAAATTTTAGAGCGAATTTCTTGCGAATTCAGTTTCAAATCAGCCCAAAATCACGTTTTTATACATGTTAAAGGTGACCTACTTCTCAGCGTACACTTAACTGCAAATTATATTGAATTCGGACGAAATTTCCGAAAAAATCATCAAAAAAATAACTTTAAAGTTTACATTATTAATGCGCATGCGCATAATTCTATCGTTTTGAAAATGCTTTTGATTGGTCGATCAACTAAAAATCACGTGCCATCACTCGTGGCTCACCATGAGGTCTGCATGCTTATGAATACGGTTTCACGATAGCCCTGATAAAACAGGCGTAATAATCATGGGAATCTCGAAACCGATCCAATATATGACAAAATTAACCAACCAATCAGCGATCAGATTTTTCAATGATACCGAAAGATAAACCAAGGGCGAACGTAATACCCGGATCGTTCGCAAATTGGCGTTCGGTTTTTTACCGCATCCGATTTGAATTAGCCAATAAAACCTCACGCGGTAAAAAAATCGAGATGATTACCCAAGAGTCTAATCAACCAATCAGAGAACAGTTTCTGTTTGATGCTGATAAAAAAATGATGATACGTAAACATCCTCCCGTGCAGCCAATTTCACTAAAATGATTTTTAGAATTTCAAGGTTTTACCGTAGATATAATGAGATTTCAGACAGCGATCGGACCAAATTTGGGAGTAAAGAAATGATTTTAGATGAGGAACCGGACACAGGCAGAATTGAGGACTGGCTACTTGATAAAACTCATCAGTCCGAAGCCCACATCACCGGAGATGTCCTATGATCCGACGCTTAGGAAAAACACTGATGCCATCAGTCTCTGTCTCAGTCTGGCATATAAAAATGCTGTCAATATCGTGTGTAAATGCCAGAAGTCATGCACAAATTTCTACCACTTAAGGTATTATTCCATAATTCGAACATGACTATTCACACCTTCTATAAACTTTTAACAAAGTCAACATTTCACCTGGGGTATATTCGCAAACAATAACCCTGGTGTAATGTGTGACGTCATAACGGCGGGCCGTAGTAATGGCGAACCATAATGAATATTAGAAACATTTTGGTGAGTTTTTCGGTCGTTCAGGGTACAGAAAACGTTTGTGCCTAGCCCTGCAGGGTGTATTCGACAATATTACCCCTGCTCTTCGGTTTATATTTCTTAATTTTCATATAGTTGGTCAAATTATGAGTATTTCTTATTTTCAATTTGCAGTAAATGCATTTTCATATTGCGGGACTCATTTGCTTTTATGCTTGGGAAGCTACTGGTTCAATGCATTGTCTGTTCAGGTGTTTTTTATATTATCAGCCAAAGCCTACATGATTCTACTCTGACCAGTTGAGGAAGCCAGTACTAAGTGACTTACATGTAGAAGCTTTGGGGTAACCAGTACTTAGCCACTTTGGTGACTCATGAACAAGTTGTAAACAAGGTCTCTTTGAAGATAGTGAATGGTCAAAAACTGTTGGCCAGTTTAATATTGAAGTTAAACATTTTCATGTTATTTATAAAAACACTGAAGGTTAATGACCTCAGGTAAAAAAGTGAAGCCTCCAAGATAATATAAGATGATAAAATACAATGTGATTTATTTGTGTTTAACTATTGAATGAATCAATGAAAAGTGTGTAAATCCCCTTCTTTTTTCAGGTGTTGTGTATTCTTGGGTTCCTAAGTAGAAAGATGCTAGTGTTTGTATGGAAGTAGTCATTTCATTTTAGGTTTAAAGTGCTTTATTCAAGCACCTTCAAAATTGAGACAAATCATTTTGGTGAAGCTTTGTGGAAGGGAAATGTATTTGAATTTGACTGAATAAAAGGAAGTTTACCTTTAAAATTTAACACATACAAAACATTTTTCAGCTTTAATTAATCTATTTCTTCAAGTTAGATTATTTGTTTTTTAAATCTGATTAATTTATATTTATCATTTATTTAGATGCAAATCAAAATGAGAACAAAATTTGAAAACAATTTATAAGCTGTAGCAGACACCTTATAAGTCCACTTATAAATGTGAGAGCTCTTTAAAAGAAAAGGAATGATAGCTTCACCTGAAATTCATTCAGTGAGTGAAGTGGATGTGTAATATTAGTGGTGGGACTCGCCCGAATTTTCGGACACGATTATCGGGACCAAACTGACGACGATTAATCGAATAAATTCGATTTTTTCTAAAGTTTTGAAGGGAATCTCCCAACACGCTGCCAACCACTTTTTTGATGTAAATCATCGATGTTATTGAAAAAAAATAAAGTGCAATGTGTTACATACCTTCAAACATGTTTTTTGTTTATTTTATCAACTCTAAAGGTGAATAACAAATAAAAAAGACGCCCGGAAGTAAAATTTCGAAATGCATTTAATTATTCTGACCCTATTATTATCCTACTGTAGCATTTCATCCAGAGCTCACTGAACGAACTGCTTTTGGAGATAAGGTTAGATCCCGGTAGTAAAAGAAATGAACAAAACAAATTGTTTTCTACATGTTATTTTACGTTTTATTAGCTGATTATAGATCAACATGTAATTACTTTTATAGTAAATGGTTTTCCTGACTCGAATTGACGTAACCCAACTCGAATGGTACACAATTCGAGCCGAAATCGGAGGTGAAAACAAAAATTGAAATTTCCATTTTTTTCCCCAAACGAGTGATTATTCGAGTTGCCGATTTATCGTAGCACCATGAGATGTTGTGTATTCTTGGGTTCATAAGAAGCAAGGGGCCAATGTTTGAATAACAAAATTCAAAAGTTACATTTTAAATTTACAGTGCTAGTTTCTAGCACTCTCAAAAGTAAGACATTCATTTTGGTGATGGATAATAGAAGGGAAATATATTTAAATTGGACCAAATAAATGGAAGATAATTTGCTAAAATTATAATAAACAATATATTTTCAGCTTTCATTCATTTACTTTTGAAGTTAAAATTATTTTTAATGAGATAATGTACAAAATTCCTTAAAATTGACATCTGCAAAAAATAGATGAAGAGTGCACTCGTGTTTAAACAATGTTCACTTATTGTTTCAGGGTCTTAGTGCTGTTTTTGAAGAGAGAGCATTGATAGTGTTAAACTTATTGTTTTCATTTGTTTTGCCTGTTTTTTTATAGGTATGAGAAGAGTTTCGAAGAAGTGATTGAATTTGAGAATGTTAGCATTGAGAGTACTGTCCGTGTAGCAGAATTTTGTGATGCTCTCGTCAAAATACGTAACAGACATACCAATGTGGTGGAAACCATGGCTCAGGTTAGTAAGTTGAAAAATTTTATTGGCTCAGACATTTTTTGACTGACATTGAAAATTATGTTACATAGTAGTATAACATCCTGTTTAGCTTAGGTTTCTCTGATAGGCATAGTTTATGCAGCAACATTGAATATTGAAGTTCATCGTGACCTAAAATGACTTCTCTCAGATCCAGGTCTAGATTAACATCACCAGGGTGGGGGGGGAATTGAAAGCGCCAAATCTGAAAATTTGGGGCCAATTTATTAAAAATAGGCCCAAAATTAAAAAAATATGTCTAATAAGGCCAGGTTGTTACTAAAATTGCCTAGTTTATGTGGGGAGAAGCAGATTTTCTTGGGGCCCACCAAAGGGGGTTGGCCCTTGGCCCTCTCCCCCCATATCTGCCTCTGATAGCAGACAATGGAAATGGAAAAAGCTGTATTGAATTTTCAACACTGCACTAAGAAAGTGCCAAATGTCAATATATATGGGAATAATGAGCAATAAATAACAATCTGATTAGCTAAGAGTTTTTTTGCCATGGTTGAATATTGAGTAATATAACATGAGGCTAACCTTGGTTAATATCATATTTTCTTTCAGTATAAAATCCATATTTTTCGCTCTTATTAAATAATGTATGTGTAAATAACTGACAGTATACTTCGTGTATTTCAGGGTATCCTGGAATTGAAGGACAACTATGGGTATGACCATGTGATCCAGAACAATATACAATATTTTCTGGATAGATTTTACATGAGTCGTATCAGCATTAGAATGCTCATCAACCAGCACAGTAAGTACCTTTACAGCAGTTTATGTAGTTTTCAATGTTATATTTATCTCCAATGAGTGTATCTGACATTTATGAGGAATGAAAGGGACAGATTTGGAAACTAACTTTTTCAAAGATTTCAGCCCAATTTTCTTTATATTAGACCTGCCCCCTCCTCCCAATCAAACATTCAGATACCTTAACTAAAGAGCGTGGACTTCCATGTCAGCAATTCTTGATTAGTCCTGCATCAAGACAATATCTCTCTTTTTCATACTCTTCCACGACATAACAGGTCTGTGCAACTCTAGACCTTGCAAAGTTCTACACTGCAAGAATTTCTAAAAAATCTATAAATCTATATGAAATGATTGAGATGAAAAGAGAATTCTGGAGGAGGTAACAGTGCTCAAGACCACAGAGATAGGCAAGATATGGTTGGTCTTGTTGAGAATTGGGATTGTTATTGCATCATGTTCCAGTTCCCTTGAGCTATTGGAAACCTAATTTATTATTAGTAATGTACCATCTGACTTCATTGCAATAGTGGCATAGGTACATGTACGCAGAGTACGCACGTGGGTATACTCAAATTTTTCAAGCAGAAAAATAAGATTTCCAGATTATAAAAAGTTGTCTGTAATTCAACGACAAACTCTGATTGGCTCAGTGAGTTCAGAGATTCATTGTAAACTGAAAGAGTGAAGACGAAGCTTTCTTTTAAGAAAGTGAATTAAGTCAAACGAATGCAAAGGGTATTGTATGAGCTGCTTGTATCAAGCATTCTATGAGCACAACCCAATAGTGAAAGTGAAACTTGTATCCCAGAATGCATCAGCTAACCATGTCTATTTTAGGACTTTAGAGGACTATTTTATGTTAGTCATAACTGCAATAAGTTAACAAGAAATAACCCTCATAATGATATTATTGCAAGGTGCGCTACAATTTATATGCCATCCCACATTCAGTATTCTCGACGAAAGCATAAAATTGTATAAGAAAGTTGTTAATTGATTTTATATATGCATGTAAATTATATATTTTATCCATGATTGTGGAAAGAAAGTAATATATATGGTGGTCCAAAAAAGTGAACTGTTGCAACCGGCTATATTTCCCTTATTACCTGCAGGAATCATTTCATAGTTTCACATGTTGTAGAGGAAGGTCTAAATTTTTTGTTGGTTCTATACATTTTTGTAGTCTTGAAATTTGCAGAAATTAAAAGCCCTAACAAAACATCACTGAAATTCAACAATTACGCTGAATATGTATTGTCTTAAAATATAATATAGCGGTATAGAGTCATCTTCAGAAACTTTTACATGTGTAAGAAAATCTATTTGATACAACTTCTCATGCGTACCTGAATCCATTTCCATGCCACAAACAAAGTAGCAGTTCGAAACGGCACATTCAACTTTGAAAGAAAAAGATAATGTGCTATTCTAACTATGTGTGTACACTGATAAAATGGCATAGCTACCCCTGTATGAATCACATTGGACTGAAAAATAAAAGCTTCTGCGAAGGCAACAACTGGGAATATCTGGGACTACAGCTCAGAATAATTGATATTTTTTAAAGGTCAAGGATATCAACTTGTTAGAGAGCATCTGTACATGAATAATGATGCAATAGGTGTATGGTGTTGATATTAAACTTGAAAGTAATCTTGGAATATTTATTGTTAGAGTTCTTTTTAAAGACACTGATGGATGACAATGGGTTTTTATTTGGGCTATTAATATTAATCATATGCTTCCTTATAAGTAGAAGTATTATTTTGCATATGAGTCAACATATGTTTTGCGTTCTAAAATCATTTAGCACATCCTTTAACATTAGATTCTTTTTCTGTGGTCTTGCACCTTTTTGGGTATAAATAACCAAAAAGAGCACACACTGATTGGTATGGCCCAGAAAATAAATTTGAAGGGTGCACGAGACATTATGATAAACTATTTTGCTTTCTTAATGTGAAGATTAAGCCTGAAATACTGTGAGTTTGTTTCAAGACAAGTAGATCAAAACGTATTCATATCAAAGTGTTAACATTATGTTGAAATGTAAATGTTTATAATAGTTACCATCACATGCACTTTAATTTGAGCTGTGATAATATAAAGGTGCAAAGTACCTTCCGTTGTGGTTATCTAGCAGCTGGGCGGCCAAACCAAAATATGACGTCACGATTATCACTACGCGCCGGTGATTAAAAATTCTCGGCATACGTCCAGAATCTCCACTTCCCGAATAGATATTCTAATCCTGTAAAAACTACAGAATATTTACACTTTATACTTGGCAGAGACATAATGTATAGTTTCTTTTTACGATTTAAATAGGTTTCGATCACGCAACTTCAATATAAGTAGGGTAATTTGAACTTTCATTGCGAGAATTTTGAAGACCCCTTGAAACAATCGAATAAAAACCACTAGTTCGGTAGGCAGTTTGAACTGTTGTTTTCGACTTGTAACATGTATTTTCAGATTTCAAGGTGTAACTTTATAAGTCATGACGTGAGTGGTCTATGTCCCTTCATATAAGTGTGTCTGGATCTATACTAGACAGATTCGCTGGACATTAAGTTGAAATGAGCTGTCCTTATCGGGGCTGACTCGATTTGGAATCAGCTGAATGGCGATTTTCCTTCTGACATTCGACGAGTTTAGTGAGCTCTTCAACCGATTTGTTCTTGGTAAATCGCTTGACCAACGAGATTAAAAGAAAGTCTATATCATATAGGTACTGCACATACCTTAAAACTGCATAACACGCGCGATTATTTGTATTTAATCGTCTCTTTACCGTCTCCTGATGTCTATTCTAGAGTGAGCAACTACATGTACTTGTCAAATACATTCCACGGGAGGTCAATGATACCGGTCACTGAGTACAGTGACCCAAAAGGCAAATTATAACATACCGATTACTAGTAGTACCCGGTTACCATAGAAAATATAAATTCTATTGGTAAATGTAACTAAATCAGAAAACTCAGAAAATATAGAATAACGTTAATTTTGATTTTCAACTGAATATTATATTGAAATTGGAATCTGAGAATGTTCAATGCTGGGGCATAAATAAGGAATGGCAATAATATATGGAAAAGTATATTCATAATGTACATGAATGACATTTGTATATCATTGCAAGAGGTTACATTTCTTCAATTATCACTGAAGGGGCTTAACTTGAGGCAACCATTGTCTAATTCAAATATAGACCGAAAAGCAGGGGTAATATTGTCGAATACACCCCGCGTGAAATGTTGACTTTGTTTGACTTACATTTTATAGAAGGCGTGAATACATTCGTGTTCGAATATAAAATTTAGCATAGAATTTATGCCTGGACTGGAATAAAAGGAGACGTCGCCGTACGGAGAACAGTCTCTTGGGCTCATAATTTTTTAATGAAAAATTTAGAAATATCACCCAAATTAAATCATGAATATTCAAAAGAACACACTTAATTCTGCAAGATGTAAAAATATCACAATTGTTCGAAGCAGGGGTAACGTGCAGTAGACCGATTCAATAAAATACAATTAGTCTAGAATTGGAGAAAGAAGTTCATCAGTTTACTGCACTCATAATATCACCCAAATTAAATCTTTTCAAAAGAAGACATTCAAATCTAGCCTAAATAATGTAAAAGAATTGTGCAAAGCAGGGTAACGCTAGAGTGATGAACTTTGTTCTTCAAATCGAGAATACTCATTTGTTGAAAATGTTATACCTAGCATTTGTAACAGAATTATGCCTGGTACATACTTTTGCTCTAATAATGCAATATTTAATGTTTTCATGCTGGGGATATAATTGCAAATTTTGTAAAAATTATGCTAACAACAAATATGACACAGACAGATGTTATAATTATTTTAAATATTATCAATAATTCACTTTATTTTCATGATATTCAATACAATTTATATAATATTGCATGTGTTCAATATAGCAGAACTTGATTGATACCTTCTAAACCATACTATATGGGAACGAATTCATCATCATTCATAGGGAAGTGATTTTAAAGTGTGCCCCAATTTCAGACACAGATAGACATGATAGAAACCAGAACAACGGCAATGCCAAAGCGTAGCGAATCCCATCGAACAGAAATGGCTGGCATTTTTACAAACGAATGCAAATATCATAAAACAACACACCAGAAAGGCCACCATTTTCAAAATGGTTGCTCACTAGCCAAGTTGTCATCAGGAGAAATAATATGCTTTTAAGTAGCCATCTCTAAAAATTTCGAAAAATCGCACACATACTTGTAAAATAACACACATAAAAATGGTGGCCATTTTTCAAAATGGCCGACTACTCCCCAAAGTTTAATTAGACAATGTGCCATACTTAAAGTATTCACATATCAAATATGAACAAAATCGCTCCAATACTTTTCGAGTTATAGTAAAATACGTTAAAATGGCGGCCATTTTTCAAAATGGCCACCTTCTACCAAAAGTGTCATTAGAAATAGACAGTGTACCATGCTTATAGTGTTCACATACCAAATATGAACAAAATCGCTCTACTACTTTTTGAGTTATAGTAAAATATGTTAAAATGGCGGCCATTTTTCAAAACATTTTCAAAATGGCCGCCTTCTACCAAAAGTGTCATAGGACAGTGTGCCATGCTTATAGTATTCACATACCAAATATGAACAAAATTGCTCCACTACTTTTCGAGTTATAGTAAAATACATTAAAATGGGGGCCATTTTTCAAAATGGCCGCCTTGTACCAAAAGTGTCATAGGACAGTGTGCCATGCTTATAGTTTTCACATACCAAATATGAACAAAATCGCTCCACTACTTTTCGAGTTATCGTAAAATACGTTAAAATTGAGCCATTTTTCAAAATGGCCGCCTTCTATCAAAAGTGTCTGTAGACAGTGTGCAATGCTTATAGTATTCACATACCAAATATGAACAAAATCGCTCCACTATATTTTGAGTTACAGCAAAAATCGTAAAATGAACTTCGTT